CAATTCCTTCTCCTCCTAGCCTCATTAGCCTCCACGGCCTCAATCGCCCTCGCCGTCCCCTCGGGCTGGTCCCCAGATACTGCCAAATTCTACTCAACCGTGGCTAAAGAGATCAAGGAAGCCAGGAAGCATCATAAAAACCCTGCGCTACCAAATTGTGACATGTCAAGAGCAAGACTACCAACGACAGATGAGCCGCTGCCGGCTGTGCCTAAGGGACAGAAGTTGTTGCATGTTACTATTGGAAGGGGGATTCAGGTAAATATTTATATTTTATTATTGTTTACTCCGTATATTTTCTAAAGGATCGCCATACACGTGGATTGTTTGTTCTGTGGTCTGTTCCATTATTTTTCTTCTTTTTTGCTTTTTCCTGGACCCCTGTTCTGTTTTATTTTCCGATGCATGGGTGTCATGGGCGTGGATGATATGCACAAAATGGAAGAGAACAAAGGAATGGCCGGAAGGGAACCCTGCAAAGAATGCAGAGAACCACGCCTTATCCGTCCCAGGAACTAAAGGAAACCAAAAGCCAACAAATTAATTCCCCGACAATAATATATATATATATATATATACTTTTAAATACTATCTATACTAACAAACTTCTCTTTACAGAACTACACCTGCCCCTCCAGCTCATCAACCGACAAACCAAAAGCAACCGGCGCCCTCGCAACCCTCTTCGAAGCCTCCTGCCTCGCCTCCACATACCCATTCCTCCTCACCCTCCTCCCCCGAGTCGCCCTCCACATCTCCAAGCCCCCTTACCCTCAAAACTCCCCCTCCTCGTCCCCAGGCTCCCAAGTAGGCATCGCCAACCCCTTCACCTTCGGCCCCAACGACATGCCCATCGCCGGCTACCATTTCTTCGACTCCACCGGCGTCCCCGTCTTCGACCTTCAGGCAGACGGCCACGCCGCCGTCGAGAAGATCTCCGGTGTCCCCGCGCCCAAGGGTGCGATGAAGGGCGTGGGCAGGCAGAGTTGGGGCGCCGTGCCGTGGTTGTATCTTGCGGCTGTGGATGGGAGTCTGGGTAAGGCGAAGAGTGTTTATCGTGTGGGGACGGCGGGGGGCAAGGCGCCACCGACGTGCGAGGGGTGGAAGGGGAATGATGGGGATGGAGGGGTTTTGAGTGTGGAATATGCGGCGGAGTATTGGTTTTATGGATAGGGGGTTTACTTTTTTAGGGTAGGGTGTGTGTATTTGGCACCTCTGTTGTGGTTGGGGATGGGACAGGGGATGTTTGCAAGGACAAAATATTTGAATATGATACCTGAGAAGAAAAAGAGAAAAAAAAAAAGGTTAACTAAACCAGGATGAGGATGACTAGATTTGTTGAGGAGGTTCTTTTTGGTTTAAGTTTTTTTCGCTTTCGATTTATGCTGTGTGAGGTATATTCCCAGTGATATTTCTGTATATATATTTCCATATCTGTTGTGCATCAGGGAGTTTCTCGGAGTTGTCCTATTTACTTTGTTATACTTGACTCTGTTCATTTCTTTCACTATTCCTTACTATTCTCAGCTACGAATACTATTATGGTGATCCATTTAGCCCCTACACTTCACAGCTCCATCATTCTGCGAAGTAAACCAATATTTGGTGTTGCTAAGGATGCAATATTTCAGCCCAGATGGGTGGGTTCGTTCTAGTTTCCTGATGTAACGACGAAATATCATACATCAGAACATGAGGGTCTTACAACTGAGAGAAAATTTTCATATCGGATTCGTTATAGTCGGCCGAATCGATATACTGCCCAGAAACAATTTCTTGGAGTAGTAATGCTAATGCGATGGAATGTGCAGACAATTGAAACCATCAAACTAAGTGAAGGATGAATCTTCGTAGGCACATGTACACCATACCGTGGAATTTGAGAGGCAGAGCATGACTCCTTCCGTTAGTTTCCTAGCAAAGGATCAAGGCCTAGATCTAGGAGCGCAGTTGTTTGAGGTCGAATCATCGAGAGCATCCCTGGACAGGCGAAACCAAATTGCATTAAGAGTCAGTGAGTTTCTGTTCATGGTACAAGTACATCGCGATAGGAAATTGGGGACGAGGTATAAAACATGTCTCAGATGGGAAAGGGGAAATCGATGGAACATATAATTACTTCCTGAGCAATAACAAAAATGCAATAGGCATACAAATAGGCATAGAACTTTTTTTTTTAAAAAAAAAGACAAAACCTCGTAATAAAGACATGATATAGTAATACGGGGAGATATCCCGTACAATACATATACTATTGACATTGCGCAAAAAACCTTCCTACCAATGTCGGATGGAGTTAGTACGCAGGGTTGTTGAACTTGTCCTGCTGCCAGTCGCCACTAGCAGGGCTGCCTCCCGCACCATTACCTGTACCAGCACCACTACTGCCAACGCCCGCTGACCCTGCCATGGCAGCTCCACCAAGCGAACCCAACGCTGCGCTCGCAGTCTGCCTCTCAATCTCCGACGTGCTCATTATATACAACATGACAAACAAAAGAATATGCAACGCCACACAATATCCCGCGAACAGGTTCCTGCTTGTGCGATTCGCAAGAACCATCCGGGTGACAGAGAATATGATGCGCTCCGGCACGCTCATGCGTCGGTAAGCACGGGCTGACTCTCGGCCACGGAAGGCGGCGAAGGGCGATATTTGCGCCTCGTAGGCGGACTGGTACCGGTCAACGGAGAGGCCGGAGGCGGAATCCGCAGACGGATGGATGGAGGTCGCCTTTGGGTTGTTGCCGTAGGCTGATGCAGATGACGTGGAGCTTTGGCCGCCGCGATTGTATGTGGAGACATAGCGCGTCTTCTCGTACAGGTTAAGGTTATCCTTTTGGAGAGAAGCGACTTCCTGCCGGAGGGATTTGACGATTGCGTATGTCTTAGATAACTCCTCTTCGAGCTCGTTGTTCTTTTGTTTGAATCGGTCTCGTTGGGCTTGGACCATTGGTAGGATTCCTGAGCCGCCACCTACAGCTTCACCGGCTCTGATGGCTTCCATTGTGTTTGAGGACGCGTTTGCATGGTCGAAACCGGATATGATTGAGGAAGTGGGTGAGGGAGCCCTACCCCTACGGGAGGAATGGGGGTATCTGGAAGCATAGGTGCCTGCAACTGACATGGCAGCAGACGGAAAACTTGGTGCCTCTCTTTGCATCTGCAGAAGGTCATTTTCTAGGGTAGCGGCCAAATTCTGCGATTTTTGTAGATCTGCACTCGTTTTGGACAGATCCTCCCGCAGAGCTTCTAGTTGATTTTGCAAATCTTGATGCGAGACTCTCAAAATCGTCAGCTCATTCGAAAGCTTCTTATTCCTAGTTAACAAGAGCTGCTCCAACGAGCTTTCTTTTGATTTGCCGGACTCATTAGGAGCAGTCGAGTTTGTATCATCCATCACGTCCTTATCATCATCATCATCATCCGCAGTAGAAAACTCTATGGACTAGTTTCAATTAGCCAACGGAATGGATAAACCAACTATCTTGTGCGGTGCATACCTTGATAGCTTCGAGTTCCCGCCGAATATCTTCATAGTCTGACCATTTATCCAATTTGGATTTTATTTCATCCCGTTCAGCGGTTATCTTATTGTTTTGTCGCTCTATCTGGCGGAGTTTGCCTTCCCATGAATGCTTGTCTGCATCCTTTTCGTAGCGGGCAGCGTCGAGTTTTCGTAAAAGGGAAGAATTTTCAGCTTGCAAGCGTAAAAATGAAGGGTCGTCCTCCATGGTGCGGTGTTTGTTCTCTGACTGGGAATGAGATACAGCCTGCGCGAGCTCTAAGCTCAGCTGTTCGTTTCGAGCCTCGACCTCTGCCAATCGCTCACTAGTCTTCTCCAGCTCCGAAGCAACGATTTCAAGCTCCGCTGCGGTTGCGGCACTCCTTGATGTGTCCTCACCATCTGCTCGGTCCAATCTTTGATTTACTTCGTAGCTTGCCTTGATTTCCTTGAGCAGACGTTCGTGGTTTTCTGCCTTTTCCTCATAATTCTTCTCCTTAGCTTCCCAATTGCTGGTCTTCTCAGCCAGTACCGCGGTCCATGACGCCTCAACCTCCTGAATCTTTGCATCCTGGTTTTCCTCAACCTTGCGCCGGAGTGATCGTTCTTCCTCCAACTTCTTTTCTGACTCCTCCAATTGAGAAGTGAGGCGATTTGTGCTCTTTCGCAAAAAGTCTATTTCGGAGTTCAACTTGGGGACAGTATCTTCGGAAACGACTAGGGAATCAACGGATGCTTCAAGGAGTGGGTATGGGTCGGGGGCTTCTGATAATGCGGAGTAAAGCTGCAAAAATGCTGACGAGGAAGCCTTGCCATGGTTGGTAAGGAGGTCGATGAACGTTTGGTATGCTACGTGTTTCCGATGTTAGGGAAAGCTAACGTAAAAGTAGGTCAGCAGGGGAGGGACTTCTACATACATTTCAGCAATCCTTTATATTCCGCGAGTTTCGTAGCATCGTCGAGTCTTCGAAAATCCTTGGTTTTCTGAGCCAAATCTTTTCGTTGCACAAGAGAGTCGCGCTGGTGAGCTATGATGTCCGACGCTGTAGTATCAAGCTTTGGCACTAGGCTCGAGAGGTCGATGCCTTGGTTTCCCAGTCAGAATAGTTCGTAAATACCCATAGCACAAATTCATTATTATAATTACCTCTCCATACTGCAATAGCTTGCTGGAACTTGTTTTCTTCCTGGGCTTGTTTTTCGGATTTGGCGGGCTTCTCTACCTGACCGGCCTTACTTGGAGCACTCTCATCGAGGACGCTCTCAGCCGCGACAAGGGCATCCATCATGCTAACACGGGATCTGCTGGTATCAGGCGTATAATCTAAGCATAATAGAAATTCTAAATCAAATCCTCGGACCACAACAGACCTGCAGTGGCGATTGAGTTCCTCGCTGCCATAGATGTCGCCAACTGTTGATATCGGCACAATCCAAGTCGGAGTAGCTAATCATATCGGATAAACATTGTTCCGTCCTTACTTGCGTTGCTTGCACCCAAAATGACGCCGCCATCGCAATCAGAGATAGCTCTTGACTCCCCGCGCGAAGCAACAGTGTTTCTTAGTCACTTTTTCAGCTGGTAGTTTTGGCGGGGAGAGATCGAATCAGTGGACTCGCTCTATACAATGAGTTCAGACGACGATATCGATAGCCCCCGCAAAAGACGGCGCATAGCTCCTCCTGAGACTGGTCCGTATGTGCTGCGACAGCTCATAGAATCGGTTCCGGTTGCTGGCGAAGGGAGCGAGCAAGAAGTGTATATCACATGTGTAGAATATTGGAGTATGTTGAAGTATCTCTCTCCCTTAGGGATAAACTTTAGGGGTGTTATGTGTTATTGACTGTTGTGATAGACGATAATCTCTATATCGGGACCTCCCTCGGGGAAGTTCTGCATTTCGTTTCCTTTCCCTCCGACTCTGAAGAATCAGCCGAGCCATCCTTTATTTTGGCGTCAAGACTACCCATCACGTTGTCGCAGAGTAATCTACCTGCAGACACACCACCGGGGGTGCAGCAGATACTCATTCTACCTTCTACCTACAAAGCATGCATCCTATGCAATGGCGTCGTCACATTTTACTCGCTCCCTGAGCTAAGCCCGACCTACGGCACTACGAAAGTGGGCAATTGTAAATGGATTGGAGGGCTCGATCTCAATGAACCAAATGAGGATGGGCAGCCTTTTGATCCCGTGGTTATGATTGCAGTTACCAATAGAATAATGCTGGTCAGAATCGGCGACGAGCCCCGAAGAGTGAGAAATATTGAGTTTCCAGGATGTCTTGTATCTGCCCGAAGAGATACAATCGCGTGCGTTGCAGACGCATATTCGTACTCTCTGCTGGAAGTAGAGCACCGTCAGAAGATTCCACTATTTCCAATCTCTTCGTCAGAAGAAAGCTTTGAATCCGGCCATGTGGAAGACATACCAGTTCGAACTGACACCCCAGTTCAAGGGAACCAGCCTGCATCGGCTGGAAATGTTCCAGGACACAGCAGAAGCGCGAGTCTAAATACACTTGGCGGCGTCGGACGGCGCCAACCAAGTCCAAGCCCTCATTCAATGTTTCCCGAAAGATCGAGCTCCATAACTCCAGAGCCCTCCATGAAGTCTAAGACTCTCCATGGCCCGCCAGGCTCCCCTGAGAAAAAGTCTCCTGACACATCAGAACCATCTTCGGAAAACGGTGGTCCAGGCTCTGATGGGTCTTCTTCGTCAAGCCAGAAACCGTTACCACCTCCTCCGAAGCAATCCACCACGAGACTCAAGCCGCACGTTGTATCGCCGACCCCATCCGAATTTTTGTTGGTTACGGGGACTGAGCCGTCAGAACCCGGCGTAGGTATGTTCGTCAATGTCGATGGGGATGTTGTTCGGGGGACTCTTGAATTTCCAAAATACCCAGACGCTATTGTGGTCGATGACGATAGTAACGAGGGAAATCAACCGCGCGCGAGTGACGACGATCAAAATGGGTATGTTCTGGCAGTCATTGGTGCCGACGACAACGAAGACAGTCGGACATATATCGAAGCGCAGAGGTGGAATGCAGTTCCGGGAGAACGTAGATTACAAAAGGCATTAGTAGAAATACCTGCAGCCCGCTCACCACCCGGCACAGTTGGAATTCGGCGTACCGTCGGCGCCAGCCGTGTGTCCTTTTCAGAAATCGTCGACGTTATGCGGATGGTTCGTTTGAAGTCGACCAGCATAATGGCGCCATCGATCCCTTCAACACCCCCAGAGAATAACGACCCGAGAACTCGCGCGTCCCTCGAACATCTACAAAAGGAAAAGGAGCTCTTCGATAACCAGGAAACTGATTCTGACGGTTCAAAGCTTCTCTCTTCGTCGCATGTCAGCCGTGACTGGGAAGAGGAAAGGAACCGGGAAGAAACCAAGTTTGCCCGTGGCCTCGCAACTGTCAAAAGTAGTATCATCATTTGGGAAGGGGATCGAATTTGGACGGTCCTGCGGAATCCACTAGCGCTTCAATTAGACAATTCTCTTGAATTGGCTAAGCAAATGAAGGAAGCCGATGGGAAGGATGCGGGTGTTGATAAAGAACCAATTATTAATATCATCCAAGGACTTCGAGATATGGAGCCCAAGACTGAAACAGAATACATTGGTTTGCGTTACGTCAGGCAGAAGGCAAGTTTGCTTCTATTTATCGATCTAATCGCCCCAAGCTCTACGGGCCCAACCGCAGCGACTATAAGAGCAACCGAAGACGCACTTGTCGTCGGGGAGCTCGACCCTCGAGTGGTTCTCCTTTTGATACCGCTGCTTAAAGGTGAAGCACTTCAAGGTCCACAAGGGATTTGGGTATATAATGGTTTGGAGAAGGTGATATCATCATTCTTCGCTCCACCAGATGAAGGAGTGGAAAATAAACCGCCAAATTTGACCATGGACGATAATATTCTCCACCTTCTTAAACGTTATCTGCTAGGTTGGCAGAAGAAACGAGGCTATGGGAGTGTGACGGATGAGACGTATGTGTTTAATAGCGTGGACGCTGCGTTGTTACATTTACTTCTTCATCTGGATGCGAAAAACATGCGCGAGGGAAATGTAGCTCCGGGAGCTTCTGTGCGCCCAGACCTGAACAAACTTGTTGACAACTGGAAGGGTAATTTTGATCGGGCTGTGCAGCTACTCGAGAGCTATAATAGGCTTTTTGTTCTCAGCAGATTATACCAGAGCCGGAAAATGGCCAAACATGTTCTGGCAACATGGAGAAGGATAGTCGAGGGAGAGAAGGACGAAGGAAAGGAGCTATCAGGTCCAGCAGCAGACATTCAGATTCGAAAGTATTTGGTAAAAATTAGGGATGTTCACCTGGTTGAGGAATACGGTCCATGGTTGGCTGCGCGTAACCCCAAGCTTGGAATCCAAGTCTTTGTGGATGATACCAGCAGGGTGAAATTCAATCCGCAGCAGGTAATTGCGTTGCTACAAAAGCGTGCCCCAGGGGCTGTCCAAGAGTATCTAGAACATCTCGTTTTTACAAAACACGTATATCTCCCTCCCTTTTTTTCTTCCCCGCACGGCACTGGATTAACCCAACTAACGAATTTCACAGGATACCCAATACGCCGATGACCTTATAGCCTATTATCTCGATACTGTCCTTTCAGTTCTCGAATCCTCCGCTGAAGCCCGCGCATCCTTAACAGAATCCTACTCAACCTACCGCGCCCTCCAGGCCCCTAAACCTTCCTATCTCAGCTTCATCACGCACAACCATCCTCCAGAGCCGTGGTGGCAATCCCGCCTCCGCCTCCTCCAACTACTAGGAGGCGGCTCAACAACCCAATTCACCTCCACTACCCCACCAACCAATCTCTCGTACTCGATCTCCACCGTCCTCGCCCGCATCGAACCCTTCAAAAACGAACTCGTCTCCGAAAGCATAATTCTCGACGGCCGCCGGGGCCGCCACCGCGAAGCCCTCCGCCTCCTTACCCACGGGCTCAGTGACTACGACACCGCCATCCGCTACTGTGCATACGGCGGACCAACATGGTCCACGTCAACCGTAGCAGAAATCGCAAGCGACACACAAGCTGAGCTCTTCACCTACCTCCTCACGGAGTTCCTGCAGATCGCGGACCCGGTCTGCCGTATTGAACGCACCAGCAATCTGCTCGCGCGGTTTGCGTCCGTGTATGATATCACGGACGTGCTCCGGTTGGTTCCGGACGAATGGAGCGTGGATATCCTAAGCGAGTATTTGGTGCGTGTCTTGCGGGGTGTTGTGAGTGGGGCGCGGGAGGCGAAGGTGCAACGGGCGCTAAGCGCTGGGCTGTATTTGAAGGTTGATGCCGGGTTTGGGAATAAGGTGGAGAGGCTTGGGGGATGGGTGCAGGATGAGACAGGGATTAGAGGGTTGAAGGGGAGTGGTGGGGGGAAAGAGAATGATGGGGACGATGGTGATTATGAGGAGGAGAGGGATGAGGACGGAGGTGAGACTAGTGGAGGTTTGATCGGGGGAATAATCGTTGATGGGGAAGGCATTTTACGATGAGATGATGCATATTCCTTTCGTGGAATGTAGATTATTGCATATTTAAGTTACCCCTGAAAGTATATTTTGGAGGCGGGTTTATTTCCCGTTCATTTTCTTGGACTCTCCACAAATTTCCGTTTCATATCCGCATAAACATGAAATATGATCATCACAACTCGTCAAAAAAATTAAGAATAACAGAAAACCCACCACAAACCACAACCCAATCAAATCAAATCAGTCAATCAATCAATCAACATCCGGCACCGGCAACCCGTCTAACAACCTAACCCGCATCCCCAACTTCTCCAGCGCCTCCCTGGAATTCCGCTCCCGCAGCGCCCGCGCCTCTTCCTCCGACACCAAGACAAACTCATACTGCAACATAGGCGTACCGAGCGGCACGTCGTATTTCTTCGCCATCTCAGGGTCCGTGAGCGGGTGCAGGTCGACGATGAGCGATGATTTGACGCCGAAGACGGCGTCGGAGGATTCGTAGGGGTCGCCGCGGAGGTAGAGGGCTCTGTATTTCATCAGTATGCGTGAGCGGGGTACATGGATGGATGGATGGATGGATAATGTGAATGGAATCGACATGGCCGTTGTCAATACCCATTCCATGCATCACATCCATTGACAGCGAGATAAGACGCATCCAGCTAGCTGTCCGGATGGTATCCAAAACTAGTTAACTAAGGGAAGGAGAAAGAACATACGTAATCAAACAATCCCACCCCTCCTTCCACAGCATAAAATGCATATGTGCCGGCCGATACGGATGCCTGCCCAGCTTTCCCAGCAGCCTCCCCACGGGCCCATCATGCGAAATCGGATAGGACACGGGCTTGATGGCCTTGAACCAGAACCCGCCCCGTTCATCCGAGTACATCACCCCGCGCCCATCCATGATCCGTTCCTGCCCGCCCACGCCACCGCCCGCGTACTGCACGTCATACCGCCCGCTACTATCCGTCTCCCAGATATCCACCTTGACCCCCTCCAGCGGCTTCCCCGCCCTATCGCGCACGGTGCAGACGACCAACAACGGCTCGCCGGCGCCATCGCTGAAGAGGGCGGCGCCATGATTCTCGAGCGTGGGGGCCTCGTGCGTGTGGAAGGGCCCCAGCAGGGTCCCCTCTGTGGCGCCGGGTGGTTTTGGGTGGTTGATGGCGTCGACGAGTAGCGAGAGGCCGAGGATGTCTGAGAGGAGGATGAACTCGTTGCGGTGCGGGGAGGAGATTTTGCCTACCTCGATGAGGAAGTGGAGGGCGGTGGACCATTCGGTGGTTGAGAGGCGGGTTTCGCGGGCGAAGTCGTGCAGGTGGGTTGTGAGGCGGGCGAGGAGGTAGCGGAGGCGCGGGGAGGGGCATTGGGCGTTTATGAGGTTTGTGTTTTGGGTTATGTTTTCGGTTGTGAGGTCTTTGAGCGGGGGTGGGGGGGTCATTGTTACAGGTTGGATTGAAGTTGGTGTAGGGAGCGTTCTTTGGCAAATGTAATGTACATGTACGGTTATGGGGATGCGTTTATGTGGTGATGCTTGATCCAATATATAAATATATATACTATTACCTGTGAAGCAGGAGATATAGAAATGTTTTACAAGGAATGTTTGTCGCCCTTCTTCTGTACACTAGCACCAGTACCAGTGCAAGGCGAAACTAAAGATATCAATTCCTTCAATGACTTGATATAACATTAAATATGTGATAAATTGAATCCATCTTCAAATATATATATCTATATCTCTTCTTCCCCCCAGTCACCCCATCTATATCATATATGACAAGCTTAAAACCCTACTCTCACCACTCATAACAGATCACAGCCATCCAGCCCAGGAAGATGTACGCAAGAGCTAAGATTTGAAGCTAGTTAGTTACTCATGTGGGGTGAAAGAGAATTGATTAAACAAGGTGCTAACTTCAGAGTACAGACAGGCTCATCCTGTTGCACTGAGTATATAGTTATCTAAATACAATAAACAGCTCAGTTAATAGTTATACAATACTCTTTTCATAAGCAGCATTTCTCAATCTCTTCATACTTCATACTACAACATTCATAGAAATTCAGCATAGGAAAGAAAATCTGAAAGAGAGAAAATACTAATAATATCACTCAATGTAAATTCATGTGAAAATATCAAGTGAAATAAAACAGCAGAATATCAAACTCAGCTAAATAGCTAGCTAACTAATTTTTCTTTTTTCTTTTATTTTTTTTTTCTTCTTTTTTTTCCTTTAGAAATAAAAAAAAATCAAACATCTCAACTATTTTCTAAAACTCAAACCTCATTACGAAACTCAATGTTGCTGCCATCTTATCATTCAAATCCATTCATTCAAATCCATCCGTTCATGTATTTCAAACCATGTAAACTCTCATAACTCCCTTATTTCAGTTCCATTTCGTGTTCGCAAAAGGAAAAAAAAATGAGAGGGGGGGGAAAGAAGAGAAAAAGAAAAGAGAGAGGAGAGAGGAGAGTGAGAGAAAGGGAGAGAAAAAGAGAGAAAAAGAAGGGGGAAAAGAATAGCCTAGATAGAATAGAAAATGGGAATAGAAGTGTAAATATAATATGATATGCAACGCACAGGGACGGAGGAGGGGGAACAAAACATGCCAGCAAATCACAAACCAGGAATGAAGGGCATTATGACATGTGAGCACATGAGGAAAAGGATAAGATACTGGCTAATAAAGGTAATAGACAAATCATGTACAAAGCCGGGGGAGGGGGGGGGGGGGGGGGGTTCTTAAAAACAAATTAAAAGTTATGGCAAAAGGAGGGGGGGCCGGGGGGAAAAGGGGGGGAGAGACTTGTTGATGGTTAGAAGAACTGTCACGAAAGATGAGTCAAAAACACAAAAAGAAAGAGAAAATATAACCGCATCGGCAATATTAAAAAAGGAAAAATCACGAGAAGAAAAAATATGGAGATAATATATAAATATATAGATAGACACCCTAAATATCTTCACATAGAAAGGCAAAAACAAAAAAAAAAAAAAAAAAAAAAAAAAAAAAAAAAAATTATATAAATAAAAATAAAGAAAAGGGAGGGGGCGATTCCATCATTCGTCATCTCGATCTATCTCTCTCTCTCTCTGCCTCTCCATTTCCCTCTCCCTATGTCCCGATGACCGCGCCGCTGCAGCTGCAGCAGCAAGGTTATGCTTCCCCATGGTATCCCTAATAGCTTGCGCGAGCGGGTCCGTGGAGTCGTTGTCGTCTGCGTCTGTATCTAACAGCGCTTGTGTATGTGCATGTGGATGTGTATGTTGGTGTTGGTATGAATGCGGATGTGGATGTGAGCGATGTGCTGCTGAGTGCATATCTCCGTGTGTGTTATCATTATTATTATTATTCGTCCACCGGTCGGGCTCGTGCGCCGCCTCCGCTAGGCCCGCGAGCATGCTGTTTTCGCTCTGCGAACGGGGTTTAGAGGTGTGGCGGATGCGTGTTTGTGGTTCGGAGGCGCGGCGGGTATTCGTGTTATTATTATTATTGGTATTGTTGTTGGGGTTGCAGATAATAGGGCCCTGGTCGGTTCCGGCGGTTGAGCCCGCGTCAGCGTTGATACCACCGACATTCGGCGTCCTATTGCCCCGCTGACTCTTACCAAGTTCCGTCGTCGATGCAGACGCTGATGTTTCCGCCTCCGTTTCTATTGTCGGCATCGTTCCATCATGCATATTGCCATTGCCACCGTCTATACTACTTTGAGGACGAGCCAGGTACGTCTCGTGCAGCTCCTCGATTTTAACTTCCTTCCACGAGCACTTGGCGTGTTTCTTCGTACAGCCCATGCAGGCGGTAAGGTTCTTGTGGCAGTCCATCTGTAGACGGCGACAGCGGTCGCAGGGGGGGAGGATGCGTTCGCCGCGCTGGAGGCCTTCCATGCGGCTTACCATTTCGATCTTGTAGGGCCCGCCGTCGTCACGCTCGTAGTGGTTGGAGGACTTTGGTTGAGGGAGGAGGGAAGATGGGGTATTGGGGATGGCCACAGGTCCGCTTCCTGCGAAGCCTCCTCCATACTCGCCGGGGTCGGAGGCGCGGGGTCGAGAGCGGGAAGCGTGGCGCGCGGGCGGGGCAGGACCTTCTATAACTTCATCATTTTGGTAGCCCCGCGCATGGCGATCGGCTGTGGTGAAGAATTTTTTCATTAATTCTGCACGTGTAGCAGGGGAGGCTCCCTTAATCGAGGTCCCGTTGATTATGGTGACGTTGTCTGTGCTGGAATGAGGGAACATGAATTGCGCTGCGGAGAGGATACTGGCGTCATCGGGGGAGTGTTCGTGTCGAGAAGAAGAATTAACCGCGATGAAGCCCTGAGGGGAGTGAGGGCTCGAATGGCCGTTGCTTGTATGGGCGGTACCCATTCCATTGCCATTGGCTTCGCGGAGTGGACTAATAGACCGCGGTTGTCGTGCAGTGAGTGATAAATCATTTTCTCTCCTGCTCACAATAGCACTCTTGCGATTTTTGAATCTGTGGTTCAGCTGTCTGGCACGAGCCGACACTATTTATCATGTTAGCTACTGCCTACAACAAAAAACGGACATCACATAAAAAAAGAAAATAATTATGTTTCTCTGTTTCTTTCTTTCTCTCTCTCTTTTTTTTTTTTTTTTTTTTTTTTTTTTTTTTTTTTTTACCTTGATCAGCCAGATTAATAATCTGCCCCAGATTCTTTTCTAAAATTTCTAACGCGCCCAATTCCTTCTCCTCATCCTCCACGATTGGCTGCGGGGGGATAATCTTCTGAGGAATCCCCGACTTGATCAGGATGTAGTCCTCCTCTGAAATTTCTATGCGACTCTGCTTGGTATATATCTGGCAAACAGGTACTCCATTTCGCGTCTTTTCAAGAGTGAATTGCTCCGGTTTGTTTTTCGCAAACTCGACAACATCGAGCCAGGAGACCGTTGTCCCTTCTTTCCCATGAGATTTTAGCACCTTGGGGGGCCCGTCGAAGAGACGTTCGAAACGAGAGACGAGGATTGGGCCGAGGGGACATGCGCCTAGGTTTCCAGCAATGCTCTCGTGACGCTGGAGTACGCCGTCGTAGTCGTTTATTATACGGAGGATGGAGGGGAGAGTATCTTCTGCAGAGACGAGGGGAATATTATGGGCGTATTGGCGGGCGAGGTAGTTGATTTGGAGATGGTTGGAGTGGGTTTTGGGGACTTTGGTGGAGGGAGTCGAATGGGTATAGTCGCCCGATGGGGATCTGGGACGTTTGTTGCCTGGCTCTGGTGGCATTGTTCTTGACTCCATTGCGACGGGGAAATGCCGACTATGGAATCAAGACAAATTCTCTTCACCCAGCTTCCCGAATGTGAAGTAGATGGAGATATGTATCTGAATTTGCGCACTACGCTTAAAGAGGGCTGGCCAAACGGGGCGGGGTGTAGAAGGTGAGAGGAGGCCTCCTGAGTAGGGGCGCGACAAGGCGTAAAAAAGAGACAAAATCGAACAAGAAAAATCAAGATGAATAGATTCCAGACAGAGGCAGCAGCAGACTAGACGCAAAGGCACAGTCGCAAGAGAAAGGGTTGTTGAATGGGCAAAAATCAGATTATCTATCTGAGTCGTTCACGAGCTGGGGGAATGGAACCGTGTAGGGGGAAATTAGCCGCAACCTCAAAGCTGCAGAGGAACAAGCGGGGGGGAACGGGGTAGAAAGTGAGGAGATAAGAGGATTGGGGGGAGTAAAGTGGATAAAGTTGAGGATTGAAGATGAAGATGAAGTTGGAGTTGAGGCGAAGTGGAAATCAGACTGTCCGGAGGAGAGGAGAGGAGAGGAGAGCAGAGCAGAGGAGAGGAGGAGGAGGAGGAGAAAAGGGAGGGAGGAACGGGGGGACGGGGGGGGTGGTGGAAACAGGAGCCGGCAGTGGGTGGAAACAAGAGAACTATGGAAGCAGGGCGTATAAGAATAATAAGGGGGGGAGGGGGGAAAGCAGACAAAGGGCGCGGCGCGGGAACTCGGAACTGTGACTATTACCACTATTACACCTACAAATTACAGTGCGTTACAGGGCGTAAAGTCATAAATACTCCACCCCCCTCCGCCCAGTGCCCACCGAGGAGGAAAGAAGAGAAAAAGCAAAAGAAAAAAAAGGAAAAAGGAAACACTAGGTAACTTAGGCGGCGTTCTGTTTGTTGCAGCAGACAAGACGAGCACTTATGATTGAGCTCGGGCATTGTGGTGCATAATAATACTAAAATAATACAAAATAATACTGTGCTAATGGGAGAGAAAAAACCGAGTGGCGCAAACAAACCGCTACAAAGTGCACAAGTTGTTGGCCGCCCCCCCCTGATGTGACACACGGAACAGCGAGGAGAACGAGGAGGGGGGAGGAGTGGAGACCAGCCCAGCCCGTGGTCGTGGAAATAGATGGTGTGGCAGTAGTGGCAGTAGCGGTGCCCCCATTCTCCTCCCCTCCTCGCCCGCTGATTCGCCGGAGCATCAGGCTGTCCTCCTCCCACCCCCGATCCATCCACGGTGCTTTCCTGGTGTATCGAGGTAATAAGAATAAGAATAAGAATAAGAATAATCATAACCATAATCATAACCATAACCATAACCATAATCATAATAATAATAATGAGAGGCGGATGACCTCGTCATGCTGTCCGAACCTATGGCCTGGCCATCTCTACAACTATCACTACTACAATCTATTTACTTCCCCATGGTCATTATCTCCTGCTATGCTCCGGAAACTGATTGATTATATATATTTAGCTGGTGGAAAGAGGTGTGTAGGAAGAGGTGCGGCTAGGATTGAAATACAGTCTACGTACGTACCGGACTCTATGAATTATCAGATACATGATACAGAGGCCCCAACCCAACACACACCACGGACACACAGCGGAAGCGACGAAGACGCCGAGCCTGGGCTGACCACCGGGACTGAGGATGCGGTTGTTGTTATTCTTGTCAACTATTCTTTTAAACTTTCCATGCCGTCCCGCCCGGTTAGTTCCGCTGCACTCTCACCACTCAAACATCCCAACCAACCGACCGCCCACTCACCCACCCACCTGCTGAATCTGTGGTACGAAATATACCGAAATATGATACTGTACGGAGTACATGTACAGTACATAACTTACATAGTTACGGGCTAAGTAAGGGTCTCTTATTATGATTTATTAGTCCCACAGAGGGGAAACCTCATTTTTTGTATGCGCGAATTTCTCGGGCAACAACCTCACCACCACCAAACTACTCCAACCCCATCCATCCATCAATCAACGTCGCGACATTTAATGAAAAAAATAATCCCATCTTCTTATAGTCCTGCCAGGGGGTCTATTTCATTATAGCAACGCGCACACCCACGCAAGCTCCCGTTTTCCTCATGGGGGAACAAAGAAACATTACATACTCTATAACATCCATATCAAACTGGACTAGCCCAGTCATCGGAGTGAGGTTCGGTGTCCCTGTTCAGAAAATCATACCCATCCATCCATCGGCTAAATGACTCCCCTTTGCTTAATTGGGAGGAGTGAGAAGGGGAAGAAGAGGTATAACTATAATAACTGTAACTAACATCGGAGAGGCATTGTTCAGGAAGGATTCCGCTGTTAGTTAGGGGATAGGGGAAACATACAATCACTCCATGGCGGTGGTGTTAGTAAGTATAAAACCTAAACATGAGATTCTTTATTAATTCAACCGCAAGGTAAGTTAACTCAATAATACTCCGTAGAGTGGATTGATTTATTGCGGACTTGAGTTGGAGGAGGGAAACAAATCTATCAAGCTACTACTTTCCCCCCTTCATCATCATCATTCATTTGCCTCTACCCTTCCTTTCAAGTGTCGGGCTCCGAGTTAACTGTCCCAAGAATAAATACTCCGTAGCAAATAAATAATAATAATGAGTTAATCCCGCATCACAGGCTAGCTACATCAAAAAAACATCCAGCCATGTTATGTTGCCGGCCTGCCTGCCCCCGTCTCCAATCCCCAAGCGGCCCGGCACAGCCACAATGGATTGCCCAACTCGCTAAGCTCCTCCGTACTACTGAAACGGGAAACACCAGTACAGTAAACATACCCTCTATAAAAAAAATATATAAAAAAAAAAACAAATGGTGTCCTTGGATAGATGGGTAGGATGAGCGGCAAGCATCACGAACCACCACCGTCACCCTGGCCGGGCCGGGCCCTCATGCCCCCATGCCCTGTCGCATGCTCGTGCCCGTGCCCGTGCCCGTGCCTGTGCCCAAGGCCCCGCTAACTAACTATCTAAAAACCACATCACGCCAATCATAATAAGTTCATAACTCAACGTTTGACCCATGCCCCCCGCGTTTCCAGGCGGGCCCCCCTTTTCTTGTATGTGTCTACAGCGTATGTGTGTGGCACACTATTTCAGCCATGCCAAAATGGCCCCGCCTTTCTTTCTTCCTTTCTTTGTGCTCCTGCAGCCGGCATCGGTACGGGACCGGTGGAGGTTGGATAGTTGATGTCATTGGATAGGATTTGGGAGGCGGAGGAGGGGGTGGGGAGGTGAAGGGATGGGGAAGGGTTTGCGCGCGTGGAGGAAGGGGATGAATGAACTGGATGGAAATGAGGGGCAGTTGGCTGGGTTTGATTTCGTTTTCTTTTTTCTTTTTTCTTTTTTTTAATTGTTTTTTTATACAGATGGGATGTGCCGAGGAGGAAGGAGGGGGGCTGATTGAGCATTTGAGTTGATATATTTGTTTGAGGATTATCCCCCCTCAAAAGCACGGGATGCAGAAAAGTTTTTTTCCTGTACTCGAACATCAATTGCTGAACAGCTCCGGTTGGATTTAACGGGTGCGAGTTGGAAGTTGCACCTTTGGACGAATTTTCTGTGAGGGCTGGGGACAATTAGACAATTCCTGCCCGCCACTGCGGAAAAGAATTATGTTCTGAAGTAGAGGGGGGATGGTATGATATACCGTCGAGCGGGTCGTATGGACCATGTGGGAGCGAATCTTGCTCCATGAATGAACGGACTGCATGCCTTTATTTTATCCCCTTCAGGTTGTTCCTTGTCAGAAGCTTATCCAGTAGCCAGAGCCTGAAGATGCCAATGATCGCATCTGGGAAGTGAGAATTCTGAAAGATGACGGTTGTATCGTCCGCTTCAGCGGTGGATCAGGGAGGTAGCTTGTGAAATCGCGATATCGCTAGGGCGCTGGTGCTAACTGGTGCTAATTGCGGGAATTTAAACTTCATGGTTAAAATCAGTTTATTGGGCTGGTGTTGGGGTATAACTACCTTCTATAGTCAGAAGGAGATTTGGATTGTCCACAGATACTCATTTGGAACTAGGCCCGGAGGAGCGTTGGAGGCACGCTGCTTGATCACTCCAACTCACTGAGGCTTGGATCAGGCTTGGGTGAGGCTAGTGGTCAGGCAAAATCACCCAAGTGGGGTGAGAAGATGTAACCTTCCGGCTAAACCTTCCCAGGTTTGGCTGGACGCCGCGACACAATCCTGTTTCACCCCCACGTGACATCTCATGCAGGGGAGCCTCAGCGCCGAGGGAGGCATCAGCCATTTTGAGGGAAGCCAGCTATTCCCATTTAGGATTATTACAATCCGATCTACAGGAGCTTCTGCGAGCTTAACCGTATCATTCTTCCGTTTTCAGGATACTTGTCACGTGGTAACTCGGGTGACTTACTAGTTAACTAATTAATCGTGAACTTCACGCAAACCCTTTCTTCATGTCTTTGATCCCTTCCAACACTAGTGTACTGGGCCAGTTGTGTTTAATCGACCCTCAACGCGTTGCGAGACGAGTTCCACCTGTTTGTCTTAAACTGGATCAAAACTTGTATTGGGGGTTAAGTTATTTACACCTCCCTCGACCTCCCAACTCTTTCTATTCTTGTACCTGCTCCTTGTGCCTGGATGTTTAATCCCCTGAAGGTTAGATATTTTTCAGTCAGCTCATGGCTGTCGCTCATTTTAATAATCAAGAATCTCTCTTCATGCTGAAACATTTGATCTGGATGTAAAAAAACAAAGCTTTTTACTGAGTCACCCCAGATTAAGCGTGGTCCCGGAATATCGTTATTGCGGGCATGTCCTGTGCATAGAGTTTTAATAAAAACGACCGAAGATGTTGTCCAAACTCTCCTTTGAGGGGGTGAGGAAATTTTTGACCGACCTAGTTGAGTCGTTTAACTCACCCAGTCTCTATAGTTAGTGACTCATAACTTGCAGTGGAGGGCATTCTCCGCTCCTGCAAAGCTGCTCTTCAGGCCTGTCAGTTGGAACGCTGTTCCCAACCACTTCAAAATTTACAGGTTCAGTTCTAATGAGCTGATGACCTCATTTTTGAAACAAGGACCAACAGGAATGTGCAGAACAGATCAAAGATGACACATAGGAAAGTTGAGTAAAAGATGGAATTTTCAACAGCAGAGAAAGCAACTCAAGAACTGGTTTTCAGAAATCATCTATCTCTCATCACTAAGAAACTTCCTGCCTCAACTCAAACACACGAGGGTTCACACATTATATGAGAATATAAGCACTGCTATTTCTATCTGATCATGCACCTTCAATATATTGACAAACTGATCAATTCTGTTGATTGCCACATGTCCACGCCACAACTCTCTAATTCATCTCACAAGTGTCAGCATTCAGAGCAAAATCTGTCTCAAGTGAGCAGATTATTCCAATCAAAAAAGCAGAAGTATGACCACTCAACCAGTTCTTCATCACAAGAATTCTGAGACAACCTGTCAAAGCTTTGATTAATCAAAGGTGCGGTGAGAGAGCTAGCTAAACTGAAGAAACACTCAGCCTACTTCATACCTATCTTATTTACAGTGCTGAAAACTAAACAGGTCATTGACTCATCAGCTTCTGACTGCACTGAATAATAATTATCAACTCATTCAGAATGCTGCTGACTTTCTTCACAACTGTGTGCTGAATTATTTGAAGAATATAAAGCAGTTTGCCAGGCACAGTGGTCTGAATCTCTCAGATTTGAGAGATGTAAGTACTTGTCAGATCACTTATATCATCTCAAACTAATCATTCTCTCTCTAGTTCTCAGAACCTATAAATTCTCTTAATCACACAATGAACTCAGATCAGTTCAGATCTCAATGTTGAAAGCAGTCTGCAACACTTACTTCATTCTCAAAAATCTAAGAAACTTAAGACACTGAGATTATCAAAACTATCAGCACTACAGCTTATAAATGTAACTTTAAACAGAATCTGATTGATCATGATATCTATTCTTCAGAGTATGATTATTCAGATAGTCAGTTTCTCTCACTATCAGATAACTGAGAGATTATTAATGAAAGATTAGTCAGACTCTGAGCTTTGCTTTCATCATTAAGATTTTCAGAAAAAAAATTTCAAGAATTTAGAAAAGCAGATGCTCATGCATTTAAGAAGTAATCAGTGACAGTCTCAGTGATTCTAATTATTAAGAATAAGATCAGCAATGCTAAATGTGTTGAAGAAGAATATATATTTGAAAATCTGACTTTCTTGACAGATAGTACTCTTGCTGTCAGTAAGCTAGATTATTTCTACAGAGTTTATTCTGAACAGCTTGACTGAAATATCTGCAGTAAGTTAAGTGATCTTATTATCTCTTCAACACAGAATAGTCTTCTGATGTCACTGAACTTCTTTCTGAAGATAAAGAAACTCAATGAATCTGCAGCAGTAGCTAGAAGACAGACATGCTATAATAATACATTGAGTGCTTGAGATATTCAGAGTCTTCAGTCATATGAGAAAGACAAATCAGTTTATAATAACAACATCTATACAATTACATCTACATATTATAATAACACACTCAAGTTATACATCTCTCATTCTATTCAGCCAGCCTGTTCTGAAGATCATTCTGAATATATTATGACACAACTCAAAGAATGATCTATGACTGATAATTCAGAAACTTTTCATTAAGAAGCAGTCACTTTTCAGCATGACAGAGACTTGGCAAAGAAATGAAGAGACAGATTCATTGAGACTGCAAATCAGAGAGTTTCAGACTTGAATAGCAAATCTCAATCTTTTGCATTATCTGACAAAGGGCCAGTTTCTATTTTAACAGCAGGACCAGTCTTGGTCAAGTCTGATACATCAGTCAATGAAATCAAGACTGAGTATGAGAATGCTCTACAGTGAAGCTTCACAGATCATGTTGAAGAAGTGAATGAGAAAGAGAAAGATATCATTGAAGCGAGTAAAGTTGGCTTTAAAAGGCAGAGAATTGGTGACAAGGCAGATGAGCAAGAATAATGAAAAAGTAATTTCTAATCTTCAATAAACTTTCATTATAGGAAAGGGTGAAGGAAACGATCTTGAAGCATCTTACACATAGTTGGGAATGAAGATAGCTTAACAGCTTAATGACAAAGGTTTGACACATTTTTCAAGTTCATAGAGGATCATACAAATTACTCAACTTTAATCTCTTCCTGCTTCAAAGATGCTGAGCAACTCGCCAACAACACGCATATCGCTAGTCATGGATATCAGACAGATAAAAAAACTTTATTCACGAAGCAACACACACGCCCGAAAAACAGGGTGGAACTAAGAAAAAGAACGGGGTTGATGTTTGGCCTGGCGGTTTAAAATGTGTTGTTGAAGTGGCCTATGCAGATCGTAAGATGGAGACCCTTTGAATCTTTCTGGTATGTACCAAGTATAGCTAATCACATATAACCACTATTATACGGACAACATCCAGAAAGCCCGTCACGATAGAGCGAACACCATCTTAGAGCATGCCCTTCAAAGCGTGTCGGATGATTGGGGCAAGATCCACGTCAGCAACACGCCTCATGATTTGGCGAAGCTCCTAGGCTCCTTGCAGAATCATGTTGTCGTGAATATGAAGCAACAAGCCTGTGAATAAACCAAGGCCGGACTAGCTGCTTATTATAAGGTCAGAGCTTAGAAGTCAACACTTCACCAGCACTAAAAGTTGTTCTAGGTTGATATGAAGACATTTGTAGACAATGTCTGCCGTCAGGTTGTAGAACATCATATTGTACGCAACCTCCGCCACCTCTTCACGCCCACAGATGTTCTAGCATTCTCAGATGAGAAGGTCGAGCTCATCACTTCAGAGCCAAACAGCAGACAGGACAGGCGAAAAGAGTTGAAGATCCTTGAAAAACATTTAGAGGAAAGCTTCTTTGAACTCCGCAGTTAGGCTGTGATATGTGGTATAAACCCCTGATTCGAAGGCTCGACCATCAAGAACAATCCGGCGAATCACGCATGCCGAATTATCCGATTTCATAATTTCCGAGATGGGCTTTCCCGCCCAGCTCAAAAGGAGCATATGAATAAACTCCCTCATCATGGTAATACAGGTATTTTGGGTCAAGGACAACAATCCCAAGACAAACTGGAATGTAGTTGCCTTGAATATCATGAAGCCTGTGGTATACTTTATTTTCATGTTTGAGTTTATGTATATTGTTGTGTTCAACGCCCTTTGTGAGTAGAGTGTAGCCATGTGACAAAAGATGGATTTTAAAAGCTGTCCCACAACTTCCTTCTTGTAGAGAGGATGACAGTTGACATTCAGGTCACAGTCTCTGAAGAGCTGCTCTCAGATAAGAGTATGAAACTCTGCTGACTGAATCTGTTGCTTAAGATGAGCTAGATAGTTCAGGCAGAAGGTGTTGAGTGAGTCATTATCTTGTAGAGTTAGCAAGCACTGCTGAGAACAGTAAGATTGGCTTTTGATCTTTGATGATTCAGCAGTATAATCTATTCAATTCACATCACTGTCTTCACTGGATTGTTCTTTCTTATCTGATTTTTGATCTGAGTTAGAGTGGGCTTGAGTGTTTACAGTTCATTCACAGCATGCGGATGATGACAACAGAGATGAAGACAGAGACATTGAGGGGGAATGACTTCTTGATTGAGATACAATATCTGTGTGTGACTGGCATCTGGGTTGTAATGTCATCTGAAAAGAAGGAAACTTGAAAGAGTGTCAGTCATGATACAGAGGTGAGACATGCTTCTGTTGAGTGATTGAAGATGTTTACTTCAGAATATCTGAGTATTCAACCAGTTAGATGCCAAGTTCTGTGACAGCATCATATCATTCTTGCAGGGCAGGAGGAGACACTAGAGCTCTTAAGATAAATACTAGTATCTGAGTGATGGCAGTTAAATGAAGACTGTCATCATTGATTTCTTCAACATCTAGGCTGAGAGTACAGATGAAACACATGACAGATGACAGATTGTCAAGAATGTGTAGAAAGATAAAGGCTTCTCTGATGCACACATAGCTGTATCAGACTCTCTTGACAACCATGTAGAAGAACAACTGTGTGATGATGGCAGTGACTAACCACTTTGAGCAGAAATCAGAATCATCTGAGTCCTTATCAATTACTTCTTTGAAAGGATGAATGTCCTGAGCCAGCCCTCCCACAATTTCATCCCGAGTGAGCTTGTGGGGCGCCTTGTACTCGATAGCGAGCGCTGGGATGTGCTCATCCTTTGCTAGGTGAGGCGCCATCTTACGAGAAGACCTGGATGGCTTGCTGCCCACCAGGTACTCCATACCCTCCTCTTCCACCTTCACCACGACCACGACCCTCGCCTCCGCCTCCGCCTCTATCACCTCTAAAACCACCGCTGGCTCCTCGCCCCCTGTAATCGCCTCGTCCACCTCTTCCTCCGCCTCCGCGATCTCCACGGAAGCCGCCCCGTCCTCTATCCCCGCCTAATCTATACTCACTGAACATAGTACTGAATGGCTGAGTGGGGCACTCTAGACACAATATAGAAGACGATACGTAAGGCTAAGATTACGATAAATGCGGGGTTTTGAAGGAGGTTGACTGATGAAGGCTAGCAAACTGAGCGAAGTGGGGTAAGCTACAAGTTGTTTCTGATCCCTGCTTGGAGTTTAAGCGCGCCGCCACGTCATTTGCAACAACGAGCGTCCCAGCAAGACAGTCACGTGGTAAGTCTAAGGGAATGCCCAATTTCCCTCCGAGGCCAACAAACTACAGCCTCTTTCTCCTATTTTGTGCAATTGTCCAACATACCACACCGAGAGCATTTGCCAGGGATTAACGCTGACGCCAGTATCTTTCTTGATACTTGAACCGTAACAATGAGCGCCCAAAAAAAAAGTACAACCAACCTCTGGGTTACTACTCTAGTTACTGGTATCGCAAAGTGAGTGGAAGCGGGCTCATCTAATTTGTGGCTATACAGACGCTGATAATATTGCTAGGCACTTTGGCTCAACTGATTATGCAGATACAACGATCTACATTGGCAGCACTAAGTTACCTGCACACAGACTTGTACTGGCTACGCAGAGCGAATATTTTAGCAAAGCCTTCAGGAGCAGCTTTGTTGAAGGTGAAACAGGCAAATTTCGATTTGAGAATGGAAATGGGCATGCTTATTGGCGAGTATTTGAGTATATGTATACTGGAAAATATTCTGAGAGTCCAGCAACAGAGTTAGCAATAGAAGGTGCTTGGGCCGAACCTGTGCTTGCAGCCTGAAAGTAACTGTTTTGCAGATGACACGGAACTGATGAGGCATGCGAGAGTCTATTCGGTAGCGGACATGTTTCTCATGGAAGGCTTGAAGGCCAAAGCATTGGTTGAATTCGAGTCGAAATTGACGAAATTTTGGCTGAGTGAATCATTCCTCGAATGTATTCAGAACATTTATGACACGGCCGCCCCGATGCCTCCTGGGGTGAAAAGTGCTGTGGTTCAAACTGCTACGAAGCACCTGGAGTCCCTCTGGCAAAAAAAGCCGTTTCAAGACATTGTCCGGGAAAATGGCGACTTTGCGGTGGATATGATTGAAAAACAAGTTAAATCGGAGGGGATTCTACATATATAAATCTTCGCGTCGTCCAGTGTCGCCGCCCGAGACCGTGGCACGGTATGCTGACGGAGATGCTACAGCCTACGGTATGGCCCATCCGATCGTGAAGAGCAATATAACGTCTCAAAGTTTAGTCACTTTGTTCTTACGCAATGCCTTTACCACGCGGTTTTTGACATCTTCTGCTGGCAGGTATCTTGTGAGGGATTATTCCGTCTTGTCGCTGGGTGTAGGTGTGATCACCGTGCTGATCCGGATGTATAGTGACGCGTCCTACTGGTCCCAGTTCTTTGTTTTGGAGGGCGGGGGTGGTGTGGGGTTGGGGGTGTCTCTCCTTAGGGTATCAATCGCCTGGCTTTGTCTGTATTTACATACACCTCCTCTTCCAAGGTTTCGGCCAATTCTCACCCGCTATTCAAGGTGGGGGCAGATCACATGTCAAGACAATCTACTCTTTCATTTTATAGTCTACCAATATCTAGGAATAGTGTAGAAGATCATAACATAAGACAACAAGAGTGCAAATGAAGGGGTCTTCTGTCACCCGGCTACTTGAACGCGGGTGAGTTTTTACCTCCTGAATAAATTGTTCTTCGCCTTTGGCTACAGGAACTTCGTTTTCGAGGTCCGTTTCAAACGTATATTCAACTGATTGCTCGTATCCGCGTTCAATGCAGGAACAGTCCCTACTTAGAATAGAAGTTGGACTAGAATTCATCAATATATACCTTCCTGCTTAAATCTACCACTCGATTTTCTCCTGTTGTTCCAACTTTTCGACCCGGCACGCATGCAAAGGTGCATTGCAAGTTCCTGATGCTCCTGTAGAAGGGATGCGAATCTGTCAAATTTCTGCAGCTTCTCCAGCCTCTGCACCGCTAACCACAGAATCCGGTCGCCGAGAGGATCATCAGGGGCCTTATAACCCATCTCTGTCTCCACGATCTCCAGTAGATCGCATACAACCGTATCAGAGTACCTAGAGCCCATTTCATCCAAGCTCTTGTAGATTATCTCCGCTGCCGCATCCTGCATTCGAGGACAGAAAAGTCTCTCGCCGAGTACATATACTCGCACATAGAGAGGTATGATCGTTTCATGCAATTCAGACGTCCATGACCCATTCTCCAATCCATTTCGATAGAGCCACTCGATAAAGAAACCGAAGGTAGCGGGTTGAACACCCTCAAGCTTTCTGCTCTTGGCCTTCAGTAAAACGATCCCGTTTCAAAGCAGCTTTGAAATAGGAGGAGGCTTTAACTAAAAGGCGTGAGTGTAAGTGGAAGGTTCGGGCTGAGTCAGAGGGACCGACGATGACGGGAACAATTGGTGATGATAGATATCTACACGAGTGACGATGAGCCTCAATTGTTTGATGCCAGAACATGTAGAATGTAGTTCTCACTCTGAAAACTTTTCCTCATCGGGATCATCGAGGGCCAGGGAACTGGTCGGCGCCAAAGGATCCTCCGCGTCGGGGGGTGGCATTTTGTAGCGGTAGCTGTAACAATAACTGGCGTTGGGTGTATGGCAAGATAAGTATAAATTCTGGGCTAAACTACGGACACGGTATCTTGTACAATCATCCCACGAAAGTGACGTCATAGGAGCTCACGCTAGGCTACTGGAACGATGACGTAGTGGCAACTAAATCCATTTTTTAATACTATGATAGAATGTGGGAGAAATATCTCAAGTATGTTACCTAACAAGAAAGAAAAGTATAAACTCTCCAGCCTTCCCAGGCACTCATTTTAAAATGAGTTTAGAATATGTAAACAGAGTATAGCACTGTTTTGTGTAGATCATGATTTTTCATTATTGCTATATTACTCGGTTAAGAACGTGAAAAGTAAGCAACTTAGAAAATGAGGTGCATAAGAGGGTCTGATGAGGTGTAAATCAACCTGCTAATGACTTAGGAGCTACTGCCAAAAAGGTGTGACTGTTGCGTTTTCACCCTTTTTAGACTTACGCGCTTTTGTGCTGAGGCCCACTGGAGTTTCTTGATGATCGAGACGTCTCTTTGAATGTTCTGTGTACACTTGACGGCATCCCGGACTTGGTGGAGAATGTCGCTCATCGGGGGCTGCTGGAGCACCTTGCCCACGAGCGCAATCGTGGATGTGAGATATTGTTGCACTATATTCCATGGTACTTGGTTCTGCCTGCCTTTGTCCACGGCCTGCAGGTGATGGCATGCTTCTCGAAGGTATGCGGCCTGCTCGTTGATGTGTTCGGGGCCATTGTTTACCTGTGGCCACTTTGGCGCCATTACCACCGATTGAACGCGTCTACACGCGTCAATTGATGTAATTGCCAAAGAGGATACGGGTATACTATAAATGTGATAAAATATTACGCGTTTTCAAAAATTTGTTCTAAGCTGCTGCTGGTGTTTTTTAGTTAACTATAAGGAGTATCCCGTCATATTGATTGATTGATTGATTGATTGATTTAGACTGTCCCAGCCGCCCTCAGGCAGCTATGCAGCGCACTACTATACATACAGGAGTTTCTGCTCTTTTCCTTGGAAATTCAGTTATTCTTGCCGAAAGCTTTCAGTTGGGGCCGGTTATTTCTGCAAGAATCGCTTCTTTTCCGCCTGAGCTTCCTCTATCCATAGTCTTCCTATCAGTTCTGTATCTTCTCTATTCGTGATGGAAGTGGATTACGGGAAGCCTGAGAGGCGGGCATCCTCCTGGGATCCGTCAAGGTATTTATGATGTAGTGTTTAACTCGACGTCAACGCCCATATCGTCCAAATATCTGATTTTCACTTTCGTCCCACTCGTCCTCGACATAACGCGCTGCATCCCGATCTTCTCTCATAGAGGTCGATAGATCGGTCTAGTGCATCTATATAATATGATGCTATTTTTAATTCCAATTGTTCCCTGCTGTGTCTGTCTTCTTTGCTCTCTGTCTTTGGATCCCTTTGTTTGATTTTGTTTGCCTTTCATAATTCATTCTGGTCTGGGGCTATTGGTATTGCCTATCTCACTCCAGGCCGTGGTCTCCCTTGCAAAGATAGTATAGTATTTTCTTTGTTTATGTCCGTTTGTTTGTGTTTTGTTTGTTTGCTCTTCTGTCCTGTTTTTTTGCCTCTCCTCTTCTATGTCTCTCTTTGTTTCATTTAATCGGCAATTTTTTCTAGCCTCGGAAAGGATCAATATTGAAATCACCAATCCGGTTCGGGGTGTATATGTTTTTTGGTTCGCCCGTTGCTGGCTTAAACCATATAAAATCAAGCAGACCGGAAATTCGCCTCCTAAGGAAATTCTGTCGCTGGCCAGAAACCGGCTTGACTGGCAATAGGGGATCAAGCATTCATCGTGGCTCAACTCAAACGAATCATAAAGCGATCCGTCGCCTTCTCCGTCGCTGACTTGGACTGACAATGGCTTATTGAATTTCTCACCCGCATGTCATGATTTAGATCTGTATATTCCTTATTTACCCAGGGAAGATTCGAGATAGCTTCCTTCCTCCTTTCCTTCTTTGCACTACGCCTTATGTTTTGGAACCAACGTCGCAGAATTCAATATTAATCACCGCTCCTTACCTGATTGAGATCTCCACTTCGCCCGCCACACATTTGCCGCTCTCCAATAATCAATTTCATCCGCTAGCGTAGTGAAAGAAAGTGTGCAATATCAGTTCGAAACCCGATTGAGGAGCTCTTTTCTGAGTTGAAAACTTTTATTCGGCGGCATTGGCAATTTATGAAGACAACCCTGATCAAGGATTTGATTCCTTCCTTGAGTGCTTGGTTGATACAGTGGGTAAAAGGGAACAAATTAACAGAAGGGCATTTCCGGAACTCCGGCCTAACAATTGAAAAGATGTGATGCAAATAAAGTATATATTTTATTGAATAGAAGACACGTGCATTTTTGTGCCTTTCTAAGTAGAACCATCTAAGGGAGAACAGGAGGTAAAAATTTTGAAGACAGAAACACCCGCGCTAACCCCCCGCAACTTATTTTGGCATCCGTTCCTCAGCTTCACAGTCAGAGACAGCCCGTAGAACAAAGGCAACTAATATCACAGAAATATTTTTCATATGTTTCCACTCATTTGAATCCCAGGGGCCAAATTCGTGCATAACCATGTATGCATCGGATAAATATCCTTTTTCCAAATAGTCTATATAATTATCTCCGTACTCGGCTATTACAATATATATTTGGTGACGGTCTTGGGACACGTGGATGCGTCTATCTAACTTAGCATATATATTGAAAGCAAGGAATTCCAAACACTTACCGTCTAGGAAGATTTAGACACCCACCTCGATCTGGGTGATAGAGAATCCATGCCACCATTTGAGCCGCTTCCTGCATCCAAATCATTTTTCTTTTCCTCTCCCTAGGAACTGCCTTGACTTCGATAAGTGCCCGGACCTTTCCATCAGGTTTTGTGTCTTCGAGGTATCCGTCTGTGCGAGCTTCGAAGGAAGCATGTGTGAAATGAGCCTTAAATGATTTTCGATGCAAGGTCCAGTGATTAGCTAACCGAGCGTGAAGCGTAAGTGCACTCAAGAAATTAACGAGCGCTGTATTCACGATCTGTTCATCCTTTGTCTGTCGATATATCAGATTTTGGATTTCCTCGGGTCCAGGATTTGCTGACGCAAGTGGGCTCTCGGTATCATCAAGTTCTTCTTCCGAGTCAGAGTCGTCAAGAAGGATTCCAGTAGACTTTGTCGGCGTTTCGAGGTGCGTGCGACTCAGCTGTCTTTCCAAGACTGTCGTCTTGCTGCGAGTTCGACGTGCAATAGGAGTGACTGCAACATTAGGTGCCCATGTTTCGTCCCAAGTGTCTGCGGCCTGAAGCTGGAAGTAATGAGCCAATGCAAATGTTGATTCCGAAATGGTGTCCCGGGCAAAGCCGTCACAATAAGTTTTCCAAGATGAATAGTTTGCAAGATGTTCATTTGCTTTAGCTTCCCACCTATTCAAGTCAAACCGCTTCCAGTCAAACTGTTGGATAGGATGGATTTTCCACAAGACGCGGAACAATAGATATTGATCTTCTTCAATCGTTGAGGCTGAACTTGGACGAGCTGTGTGAATCGTTGAACCGACCAAGCCATTCCTCTTAGCGAGATCTTGCCATTCATGCGGGCTAGATGGTAGCTTATGCGTGCTGGACATATTATTGATGAGAAGGGCGACGCCTTTGCTAGCTTTAGAGAAGTTTGCGCGGTCATTGTTGATAGAGATAGTAGAAGTGCTTTGTGCGGGGCCAACTCAAGCAAGTGGGGCCGCAGCCAATGACAAGTCGGCCTACCCGCTAATGGAGATTCGGTCCGTTTTGTTGCCGGGCAACTTCCCCAACAATAACATTGTGGCTCACCCAGAGCTCCTGCCCGCCTCATCGAACACCCTCTCCAGTCTTTCACTGAGTGTCAAATCCACTGAATACACAAATCTCCCAGAGTTATGGCAGCTGACAACCTCCGAGAGCGGAACTCGCGTCGCAAGATGCTGCGAGCCATCAAAAAATCCCTTGAACAATTAACAAGCCCCTATATCTCACGTGCCGACCTGAGGCAATTGGGTATACAGCAACTCTGGATGTCAATGTCCCTAGAAAAGGAGCCACTCTTCTTTAGACCTTACAACGCTCCGATCCAGCCGCCGGAAATTGATACCCTCACCGACTATTACCCTGAGTTTGATGAGTCGCCTTTTCGAAATGCGGAAAATCTGGGCTGGTATCTAAACCAATACTTCCAGAACTGCACCCTGCCAAAACAGGATCTGAACCCCCCTGGTTCATCCTATACATATCGACCAGCCCGGTGGCGAGAACTACACGCTGTGCTTCGTCCCTGCGCCCGCTATGCCATCTCTGCCTCGAGCATTGTCTGGCACATCCAGTTGGCCCTTGTTCTTGCCCCACAAAACAGGCGAGATCGTCGTTCATGGAATCCTAAAGGAGGAGATCCGCGAGCTCAGAGAGGATGAGTGAACGTGAACCCAACATGAGTACAAGAAGTAACCTGACCCGAAATGCAGGCTTAGAGCCCAGAACTAGAGTCATTCTCGCTCGTCAGAGCCGACTCACGAGTCAAGCAAGTGGGTCCAAGATGAGGCTGGTGGGTGATTTCCACGCCATTCATTGGCCTATATTCGCTGGACTAGTGACAGAGCCTGCAAGGGTATCTGGCTCCAGGGCTGAAACACTAGTTCGCGGCAACCTTTGAGGAAACGCACGCTGATAATTGGCCAGCATGTTGGATCGTTTCGCCCGAAATGACGGAAGTCAAGAAATCCAGTTCTGTATCTATGGAGGGGGTATATCTTACGGTAGCACCCGTCGTAGACTTATTTCTCGTAGTTTTGTAGCCGGTGGATTCTCTTCACACGAAGTAAAAAAACTTAGTTGTTTTTCATTGCTAAATTTACCAATACATTTCAATCCAAAAACATGAGCTCGACTCGAGGCCGGATTCTCAGTGTAGATGAGCTCCCACGCTACGTCACGCCGTACATGACAATCCTGCTTCAAGCCGAGCGGATACCGATCCTGCACAACATGCTCGCGGCATTCTTCACCTGGATCCTTCTTGCGGGATATCTGGTATTTCCTGGCACGTTCACCTCGATGCGCGCATCATCCGCTTTGCAGCCAGGGGCCGATAAAAGTGTACCGACGAACATGGTTGCCCACGTTGTGCAGAACACTCCACTTCTCTGGATAGCTGCTATTTGCTGCCTCGTCGGCGCGTGTGGGATGTTCTGGCTATGGAAGATATGGAAGGACGTATTGACATGGGTTATCAATCGGCTGATTATGTAGGCACATAAGGACACTGGCTCCAAAGAGGATTACTTCGCTGACGAGAGGAACGATTCCAGGCCGAGTTTTTTGAATGCTCTCATCGGTATGATCAATACGATCATTGCTGTCTACACCGGGAAAGGCGGGCACTGGTCGGTGCCGGCAATCGTGACAGCTAGTTTAACCGCTTCTTCGACCGCTGTAATGCTCGTATTGTTCCTGCGCAATTTCTTATATTTACGCAAAGTCCAGAACGATCACGATGCCACAGTCAGCGCGTCCGTCAAGGTATCGCAAGGAAAAGTCGCAAAAAGGTGCAATGGAAACGCGGGCGGACATGAAAGACAGCTTCATTGCTTTGGGGAGAGCAATTCACAAAGAAATACAAGATATACGTTCCAACAGTAGTTATGCAGTCATAGAGTACATAGCCTCCAAGAAAAATGAAGTCCAATTCTGCTTATTTCTCGCCACACGTAGTCCGTATGGCTAACGGCTAGAATTTCAAAGAGGGTGCAAAATTCCGAGTGTAGCGGTTGATGATGAACACGAGCTGGCGGGAAACCAGGGACCAGATTCCGGAGGTCTTTGCGGACGCTTCGGGGCCGCGGGCTGTGGGTTTCTGGAGATCGGTGGTGCATTTCCATCTTCGTAGCCGCGCCAACGCCCTCACGTGCATCTGATCGCCGCGATCCATACTGGCCGAGCGAAGAGGAGCTGCTGCAAAGCTTGAAGGAGAGATATCCACATAAGAAATGGAAGGACGTCCTGGTCAATTTCAACGAGCGAGTGCCATCCCATCGTGAGAGAATAGTTGAAGGCATCAAAGGCAAATGGAAAGATATGAAAGGTGCAGAGGAAAAGCAACAGGCCGACCTCCATAATCTACAGCAAGGACATTGTGTCTCAAAGCTGGATTCCTGGGAGGAATCCACTATCAGTTGTGCTTGCGGAGATTTGGTTCGTGACAATTCCAATCATTCTACAAGGCAGAGATACAGAGGAAGACTATGGATAGAGGAAGCTCTAGTGGAAAGAAAGCAATTCATGCAAGAATAACTCGTGTCACAGCTAGGCGCTTTTTGCAAGAAGAGCTGAATTTCCAAGGAAGAGAGCAGAAACTCCTGTATATATAGTAGTGCGCTGTGACGGCCGTAGAGGGATGACGGGAGAGGGATGACGGGTGTAATGGTGACTGAAGGGCGCAGTCCATAGATCCGGCTTTATGGCGATTTGATTTTCCAATATCCTTCAGTCGCCAGTACATAACCTTAAATTGAGAGGCATAACCGGTGGTTATGCACAGGTCTCTCTCATTCAAGATATCACCTGCTTCCACTCAAGAGCTTATTAAAGATGGCACAACTCCCTCCATGTGATGGCTATAATTTTCGAAGCATTCGGGCCTTTCAAATATCAGGACATGATGCACAAGCAGATGTCTTGCATTCATGCTTGAAACAGCATGAATGGCATACATTTGATCGCATTTACAGTAGTTCTGGCATGCGCGCTTTAGCCGGAGCACTCAATGAGCTTATTCCTGTGATGGGTTTATGGAAGGATTTTCACTTCGGAGCGATCAGGGATTTTGTGCATATGCATTACACAGAGGTAAGGCTAGCATGGTCCAAGGCCCTTTTTTCGACGCTAATAGGATCAAGGAACTCACATGTTACATGATGCGCATGAGAGACGCTTGGAAAGCCTTTCTTGAGAAGGATGAAAAACTGAAATCCTGCACTGATACTGCCACAGTCTGCATGGTGGAGACTCTTGTACTGAAAAGCTCCAGTGATGACCGCATGAAGATAGAAGCTTTGATTAACAAAGAAGAGATCTTCTCACAGGTGACTCATCATGATGACCGGAGAGTTCTTCTGAACAGCTTATCTGACATCCCAGGGAGAATACTGAGTTTCCACACTTTGAGTTATGATGGGCGAGTCCTCAAATCTTGTTCAGCAATACTTCGGGAGCTGTTGCCCTCCTTTACGCGAGGAAGCCGGAGCACAATAAGAAGAGAATTCTTCAAAGCAAGTCAAACGCGGAAAAGAACTACTCACTTGGAAGAAAATATGTCCCCTGCGCTAGATGAGACCACCAAGGCCAGGTGCTACTGCCACCTGCATCTTTACACCATACGGTATGATGTGGCTCCCAGAAAGCCTAAGGGGAGGCGTTTAACCCATTGCCTTCATCAATCATGGTGGAGCAAACTTGCCCATCAAGTGACTTATCTGGGTTTCAGCACTCCACAGATCCACGCTCTGTGCATGGTTGGTAATGAGGTGATTGAGGAAGCAACCCTAACCAGTGTAGACAACTGTCAACTCATCACAGATTCCCCCCCTCTGCCAAAAACACAGTGTTGTGGTCGACCAAACTTCGATGTTCTTGAAATATATCAAGATCACCTCATTCCAGATGTGATCCTTATGGATATGTGAAAGACAACAGGGCGTAATCTTACGTGGCTTGGAATCCTACATGACATCTTCATCTGCTTCTTTGGAGACTTGGGGTTATTTGAGCAGCTGGATTACGCTCTTGGCACACCTTATGCTAATATTACTGGAACCGCGGGAAGGGCAATTCTTGCACCAAGTTCAGTGTACACTGCAGCCCCAGAAACGGACAGCGAGGTGATGGATCTCATTGACACATACAGCCTAGCGGAAAACGAGTTTGCTCCTGGTTTTGAAACTTCAAAGGACATATCAATGGAAGTGTTTCACCCTATCCCAGAATAGAGAAAACCTTCCGCTATGATTGAGATCTTCCTTGAGAGTATGGAGAAGCCCTTTATGCTCTTCAATTATCATGATGAAGAGTATGCAAAATACTCAGCATCAGACTCCGGTCAGCAGGCATTGAGTGAAATGTTGGCTGATCTTGCAAGCCGCAAGCGCATGTTTATCATGTTCCTTGAAGACAATCAATTCAAAACCCTCTCGCACAGACGAGTGCTGGAAGCAGCGGGACCAACCATGCTTGTTCTGGTTGAATGATGAGGCCAATTCCTCTCTGACCGCGCTCGCCCTCAGATAAAGGAGAGCTTGCTCAACTGAGTAGATACATTCAGCAGAGTCACAGAATGAGAGCATGCGAATTCTGAAGATTACATGTAGAAGTGGAATTGATTTTTGTTTTTTGATTCTATTTGGGGATTGATTCAGCAGCTATGATGTTTATGCTATGATTCTGACACGCCGTCACTAAGCATCAGCCGAATCCGTATAGAAATAGTTATTGAAATTGATAGCTTAGCTCCAGTCTGAGGATATACTGAAGATATTGGCTAATACATGATTATCATTGATGCTCATATACGAGCGCGACAAAATCATCACGTAAGTCGTAGACATATAAAACTGGTTGCCAAACCGGTCTACAGTTCCCCTAGGCAATTCTGTTGCCGCTGACACAAATACCGCAACGGCAGCAGATCACCGAAGCAAAGCCCAGGCCCAACCAAGCGGATGGATCATGCAAGAAGGAATGAAATACGAGTTCGATCGATCGTCGAAGGAGATCGCTCAACTTCACTCAATGTTTCCATCTGGCCCGCAGCCTCTGGAACCTTGTGAGAGCGCATTGTCCTCTGGCATATCGGGCAGGAGCCACGTGCTTCCTCCTTGTTTCCCCGGCTATAAGAATGAATCCACAGATATGTATGCTAATCACCGAAGTTCCTTACGGCAGGCCATATTAATATCATATTAATCATATCCGACCATATACCCCTTAACGATCGCCTCTTCTAACGTTCCTCGGGTGGTGTACGTTGAACGAACAGGCTAGCGGTCGACTTTAGACTCTAGACTTGGAGAAGCAATGTCAACTGGGAGCAAACATTCTCTAAGTGGTAATGATTCTCGTTTTCCTATTTAGAAAATCCATCGAATGTTGGGAGATGTGGCCTGGACAGAAAAGTGATGGAAAATCTGCCCTTTTTTGTTTGCAGAATCGTCGCCTTCATACGGTCTTTTCTTGGGATTTATACAACGACTAGCATACTGCCGGCATAACCCATAACTACCCTGGCATCTTCATTTTATTGCATGTATTAAAACATAACGGCGCCAAGACAGCCGAAGGCATATAAAGACGCACCATGACCCGGTATACTACTTCCTCCGTTCTTGTCTGATTTCCACCTTCGTTTTTCTCTTTTTTCTACCTCTAACAATGGATTCTCTGAATCTATGCGAATCCTTTTAATGAACAGAGGTGCTCATTACAGGCCTCCCTTGGATTGTGGCTCGGTCTAATATGAATGTCGGTTAACGAACTTCAATTTAAGTTTGGATTGCAACTGTACCTGATGGGTTTTGATCGTCGACTCCAGGAGCGCAAAATACGAAAACAGGGTCCTGGCGTCCGCGAGGATTACCGCACAGTCAAAGCCATCCAGTTTATGGACTAAGATGTTTATACGCTTGGTTGCAGCGCGAATGATGTTTGAAAATACTGAGCGTAAAAATTTCTCTTTCCCAGCTAGGGTGAATCTAAACACCGAAATGAGCCTTCGACATGGATTATCGCAAAAAGAGCTTCAAAGTCGGGTAGACTCGCAAGAACCAGTGTGATAATCTCTGATGAACTGTTGAAAGCGGCGACAACATTAGGAACCCAAATGTAGCTTTCCAGAGATTGGAGAGGAGTAAATAGTTGAACGGCCAATACAAGTTTGATGCTAGTTCAAGAAACATATCATCGGCTCCTTTTAAGACGAACTGCGTTGTATTTATTCCGCCGAAGCATCACTACCCTGTCACTGCTTAAAAGTAAGGTTGGTAAGCAGGTTGGGTAGGAACAACCCTTTTGAGACTGTCTCCAGACTAATGCTTTCTTTTTCCTTTACACTTGATCTCGTCGCATCTGATGACGGGAATGCCAAACGATGAGGAGTGGCGCACTCCACTCGGTGCAAGGCATGCCTTAGTGGATTTCTGGAATACATGCGTCATTTTTGTCTTCCTCGTTGGAACGTTCAATAGGTTATGAAGTTGGTCAAATATGTAAAATCTTCATCTCTACTTTACATATAGGAGTCCGACAACAGAGTCCCCCTTTGCACATAATATTTTACAAACACATGGAAATGCTGAGGAAGAGTAAGCTTGATTGCAATGCCAAAATTTCCCCGACCTGACAAAACTCGTGCAACATGCGCTTTTCCTTCGTTAACAGTACAGAGCGCACACTTCTTCAGACTCTCCCTAGGCGTCAGAGGCGTACCAGGTGTACTTTCCTATGATTGTGCGCTGAACACTTATTTCCATCTCAAGGAACAGCTTATGCTGTTCTTCGATACTCGAGAGACCTTCTTGTATTAGAGTGCAATTGTGGTGCGTGAGGTTTATCTCCCAGCAGTAGATTAGCTGCTTGGTTTTCCGTGCTAGCCACTAATGAGCCCTTGTGCGTTTTGGGTGAAAATGGCTATGTTATGGGGTACTAAGGCGCTAATCCCCACATCAATACCCGGTTCATCGCAGCCACGCGCACGTGCGGAATGAGACAACCTGGACCAGGGGAGAAATCCAGAAATATGTGTTTTGCGAGCACGTCGGCCGTTGCAGATTTAGCCAGTTCCAGAAATTCGTGAATTTGCGGGCCCCACCTGTTCCCCATCATCAACCTCGATATCATAGCTCTCAGCGCACGAATATTGCTCTGTTTCCCAGGATGGTTACGGAGCATCGCCTCGGCAACATTGGCTGTGTCAGTCAGCAACCTGCAGGTATTATATAGGAGAGATGGAAGGCCAATCAATTTTGACATTCCCTGCCTTTGTCAGAAGTATATTCGTACTGCTGATGTTGTTGTGATTGACTTGCAGCTCATTATGGATAAACAATAGATCATTCAGTACCTACTTCATGGATCAATACCTCATTTCGATTCTTATGAGAAGTAGGAGAACTTGCCTGCTTGCAAAGAGCAGTGATTTCGAATTCATTCAGGGACTCACTTGGGTTATCTTCGATGTTCTCCAAAGATACATGAGATGTATCCATGTTCTCATAGACAAGGAAGAGGGTCTCTCCACTTTGGTAAACCTCCTTAAGATTGACAATGTTTGAATGGCTAGTTTTCCTCAAGCGGTCGAGAGTGTCTCCGAGAAATAGCTTCCATTCCCTGATAGCAACGAGATCAAATGTGATGTTATTTGAATAGGCGACCGTTTTTCTTCCCGCCTGCTCCTCTATCATAAAGTGTTGGTATTTGCTCCATGGTTCTCCTTGGGAAGGTGATATGAAAGATAAAAAGTGGTTATCAGACTCCTCTTTCCATGCTTGTTCTTTAGCAGCCTGTGACAGTTCTCTGGAAGATTCGGCTATGTCAGATATGAAATCTGTGATTTTGGGTACTGGGGCGGGCGGCATGCAAGGACTAGCGAATACAGCATCCTCGCTCCTTGGAAAGAGAGTGTCTCGTTTATCAGAGTTCTTAGACCACATGATATTATATGGGTACGAAATATGACAGTCTCCCATGGCTGTATCCATGCAATCCTTATATACACTGTGGCACTAGATCCGAAAAGCCAGGACTGTCGGAACCAAGGGTCACACGGTTTACGGACCGGGATTTCAAAACACACTGCGTCTCCATGAAGCTGGACCTACATTCACACAGGGCCGTGCCGATTTCCCAATGGACGATCGACGGAATGTCTGCCCTCAATGATGGTTTAGTTGCTATCGCACAATTGATGTAGCTTTTCATTAAATAACGATCTTTTTTGGGCCTACTTCCGTCCAGATGGCAACTCTTATACTAAGAAGATCATACCTCTCACTTGCGACAAGCCCCATCCATGGAGTGGAGAGCAATCCTCCGTCATTCATATCGAGTGACTCAATCACCCATTCTTTGAAACCGCATGAAACCGCATGATTGCCCAGTGAGCTTGTCACCGATATGGAATCTCCTGGCCACCCATTTCCCTCTCATGGACCTGCTTCCTCCCCACAAACCCTCCACCCAAGCACAATCCCTCGTTGGCCATTCCCTTAGTTTCCTTTCCATGAACTCATTTTCCTTGAGACCTGCTTAAGCCTTTGATAAGTGTCTTACATTCCCGCTATGGGACATCATCTCTTCCATCTTACTAATAGCGTGTAGTCGTGACGTTTTGTCCCTGACAAATATGTATTGCTCATTACAGGTCCGGGGAGGTGCGAAACATCAGACAATCTATATAGATCTATGTACATGAGACTGTGCCAATTGTATCTCCAAACAACTGCATTATACATCACAAGAGGCATCTACGAGTAGCCTGAGCTGGTGGGCACTCTCACGGATTTGGTCATAATCTGGCCAAAAGCATTCAATATCCTTGCTGCCACCCCCAGCAGGGAGGGCAGTATGAACCGTTTCGGCATTGCGGGGCATAATATATTCATTCCATGGGAGCTCACTTGGATGTAAGTCGGAGTTTGTTTCCAAGTCCAGGATGCCTGGAACCACCAGGGATGTCACCCTAGACTAGATTAATTCTAGGAAGATGAAGGTCCGGTGACACGCACCATGGGCTCTTTGTATACCTTAGTCAACAAATGATTTGGACCGTCGCATGTTACCACACCAATCCGTTAGATTCTTTTCTGACCCTACTCAACTTCTGTCTACTGGTTATACACTTGCTTGCTAGTTATATTGGAGTACTGTGGAGACAAAAATCCTGTCCCATTTTCAAGCTCTTCGAAGGGGGCTCTGGGTGAGCTTATGTGCATCTGCATTCAGATACCTCCTCGGAGAATATTGATGGCGAGAGAGGAGAGTCTCCCTACTACCAAATACCTAAACACACAAGTTGTCGGGCTATATGAGAGTTGACGCCAACGGGGGCCGCCGGATTCTGAAGGGAGCAACGAGATCGGCGATTTACCTCATTGTGAAACATGTAGTCATTGTTGACAGAAGTGACGTAATGATTAGCATTATAAATATCAAAGGTAGTTAACTTCCTGTCAACAACTATTTCATATAAGCCACAGAGGTTGTACAAGGTGCGACATGCTAGGGCGTTAAAAATTTCAGAGCTCCTGCCTCTCCTCTCTCGCTCTCTTTTTTGGTTATACCACGGCTCCCTAAACTATTCCGACTACTGGGTCTACGATCGTTTGGGTAGGTACAATTGGAATGGAAAGATTGTAGAGATGAGAGATGCGGAAAATTTATAGCACACGAATCGCTTGGTCTTCGTGAGACTTGACCAAGGATTCAACTATAGGCAGGTACATACTTCCATGGTTCCCCACTATCGAAGGGTGTGATGCTCTTAGGGTCGGTCTGGATGCGCGTGTGGACGAACCGTCATTCTAGTAATATTTTGTATTCGGGGGGTAGACCTTGTTTCTGATCATCTGCCTGTAAAATCTGTCAGTGGCAAGGAAACAAGAAGTGAACATTGTCTGAGGCACCAACAAGTTTCACCCCAACACTCTTAACCCGCCTAGTTTCAATCTCAATCCAGCCACATTCCTTATCTCCAATGTAGGTGCTATCAGAGTAAGTGATTGCAACATCAAAATCTATTCACACAACTCTTTCCGAGTCATCAGGAACAATCATAATGTTTTTGAGATAAGGGTCATTGTGCTCAACTAAAGCTGAATGTATCTGTTGAATGCCTTTGACTGCCTTGGTCATTTGCTCTTTGCTATAAGTGATGCAGTTCACTATCAAAGGGTTCAGCAGGAATTCCATCAAAATTGCACTTGAGAGGCCAGCATCGCGTTGAAAGGCATTCAGATGAGGGGCAAGGACAGTTGAGCGCAAGGATAGTGTGTATTCATAAAACTGTGGCACATAGCCCCCATTGCATATGCCAGATCGCTTGAGGCTGCAATAAGCCCGGATTTTGCAGCGAGCGTGATTCAAGTCACAGACCCTGTCATCAGCATACCCAGCATCTTCATTGTTGTGGAACTAGACAGGGTCAGAGCTGGTGTGTTTGAGATGCACTGATAATCAAGGCACCTACAACTTTCAGAACACGGGGCATGTCATCATAGTTCACATGAAATATCAATAATGCCTCCGATGTTTTCAGCTCTTTGATAAACTTAATCTTTGTGGGATTGATCTCAATCCTTAAATTGTTGTTGAATCCGCTTGCCTCGTAGATGGTACCCTCTGGGCCGCGAGGGAGACTGGTGTGCCTGGGCATGAGGGCGGGTAAGAAACCGAAGATAGCCAAACCACCGACTTAGATTAATGCGCACCAGTCTCCCAGGTAAGTTCCCAGATGTTGTCGAAACATTTGGAGCTGTATAATGAATGACGTCATGTCCGGAATTAGGTTGTTCCCGGCTGAGCGCCAAGTTGCCATATGTCATGTGACTGAACCGAAAAGGTAACACCTGCCGAGGCAACATGGCGCTGACTTGGCTGGCTGTCATCATCCTTGACTGCAAGCACTGATTCAGTGTTGAATTGTTGAGAGCATTGAAGTTCTGACTGTGAAATATCAAAATCCATATCAGAGAGTATCTGATCAATTGCAGAGTATATTCTTTTAAAATGAGTTGATATTCATATATCACAGATATTTCTTATGAATTTATACACTATTCATTTCTCTTTGCTATTCAGAGTAGTAAAATTGAACTTGTGAATTAAGCAGTGATAGAAATTCATCTTCTCTTCTTTAAGAACTGTATAGTGACTGTAGATTCTCACTGCTATGAGATCATGCAAGACTGAGAAGATAAGTATCTCTCAGTCAATCTCTTTTTTGTGCTTCATGAGCTTGAATAGCTCTTGTTGCAATAGTTGCATCATGGGCATTCTGTCGATCTGCGAAGTGCCGCTGCGCCACACTTAACTGATGATGGTATTGATGTGCTTTTTTGGTCTGTAAAACGTGCACTGATGAAAGTCGACTCTGGGAATGTCAATATTCCAATCATTGTGGAATCTCAGCAGCCAGTGGAGTGGCTTAGATCGCCCGATATTGCAGATCCCATCCCGCAATAGCGAACTTGAGTCCTTTGAAAGTCGTACTCTTCATGAAAATTCGCGAACGATTTCTCAAAAATGAAGTAACTGGAGATCCTTGGAATATCCTCGACCTACACAATCCAATCCAATCAACCCTCCCAACCTTCCTAATGGGGGAAAATTGCCAACTTTTGTCACGTGTGCGTGATGTGGTTTTGATGGGAAATAGTGCTGAGAGGCCTGTGGCAGTTATTAACACCTGGAATGAGTGAAAAATGTTCTAAAATGGGTCCTTCTCTGTGAAGGAGGCCACAACACAGCACCCCATATGGACAGCCATGTATTTTCTACATTGTTAACAGTCCAAGAGGGACAGGTTGGCTTTGGCTGGATGTCATGCCCACCAAGCAGGAACTCAATGACTGGATAAGGGATCCCCAAGGTTATACTGGTGGAAGATGGAAGTATGTTGTTTTGCGACCTGGACGAACTACCTTTCTCACCTCTGCTACAATTCACTACGCCCCCCGCCTCCCCAAGGGCCAGACATTGATGGCCGGTGGGCATATCCCCCAGTGGCCGAATATTGAGCGGTGGATGGAAACCATGATTGCCCAAATGAAGAATCCAGATACAACAAATGAGGACATGGAGTTGACTGCTGGGAAGTATGTCAAGGCAGTCGCAGATCTTATCCATGACCGGGACAAGAGCATTGGCGATTTGGACAAAGAAACAGCCAGGGAGTTCTTTGAGAATGTCAAGGTAAGTTCAATGGTCATAACCCAATTGCATGATGACTACTGACTTTTCTACTGACTTTTCTCAGGTTTTTCAGACCCTTCATTGGGAAAGTGCTGCAAAATCATCACCCCAGGGAATAATTTGTCAAGGGAAGAGCCTATTACTCAGGTTGGGAGGCTCTCCTTTTTTGGTCAGGGAAGGTAGGACCGACAGTAAGGTTGTAGAGTTTGACAATTTCTCAGCTAGCTAATAAATTTATATCGATTCTTCAATTTATCGCAGCCAATGGGTGGGCCGAGCAAAGTGTGGGCATGTCAGCTCCAAGATGTAACTGGTAGATGGTATCTCCTACTAAAAATGGCTGATTGTTTCCATATTTGGCGATGGACCCGAACAATTCGGATTTACATTCTCCTTATAGTTGGAAGCTGCAAACAGTTTGAATGGGAGACTGCTCGGTTGGATGATCTGCTCAGTTGGGAATTACGTTACCTACTGCTCTGCTTACTATATACATTCTTGCTGGGCCCAGCTCCCCGGCCAAAATGCTTCTTCCTCAGCTAAGAGAACCGCGAACAGGCAGTAATCTCAATACAACTATCCTTTTTCCTCTCTTTTTTTCTTCTTTTTTAATTTTGGGTCGGAGGGGGAGTTGTATTCCGTCCATACACAGTTAATATCCCGTCTTGCCTAAGTGTTTCCTCCCAAGGGCGAGTGCCGGTTGTACCATCATGTGTTAGGTGGCGCAAGCAGCCCCTTCTGAACGTCGCCTGGTTGCGGCGGTGGAAGATGGTTGATGTCGTGAGCAGCTGCCCTGGCGATCGCCGCTTGGATGTTGACGCCGATGCGCGTGAAGCAGTGCTGGAGCTCAGGATAGCGCTTCAATGCTAGGCCAACATAGAGGAGACTTAACTGGCCTCTGTTCTGCTGGAGTCTAGAAAGGTAATTGCTCTCCAGCCAACGCAAATCAGAGGCATCGTGGAACTTGCCACGTGTGGCAGCGGCTCGAAGCTTCCCTTTGAACAGGTAGACTGGATCTAACAGCATGGTGGCGCCGGTGCCTTGGGTTTCCCCTGTTACTTGGGCCGCCCTTGGCACAACGTCGGCCATGGTAAAGGTTGCCCCTAAGGGATCCATATATTAGTCGGTCATGCCCTAGAGTTTCGTTCTATCTTGTTTTAGCACGCCGACTAAAAACATACCAGGAAAGCCTTCACAGAAAATTTCAACAAGTACTGCCCGCTCACGGCTGGGCTTGTCAGACCAGAGGAATGCAACGTAATCCTGCCGCAATTGTGGCACAGCCACAAAGCCGTTCTTCCCATCTAGGATGTTGAGAATCTGTTGCTTGTTAACTGATGCAATACAGTCAACATCTTTGCTTTCGCGTGGCCCTCCCAGGGTCGATACTGCGTAACCACCAAATATGCCGAACTTGACTTGTTGTCCCGAGAGGACTCGGTGCAGCGCAATAGCTGCGTCGTTCAAGCGTGCTTGCTGCACCATGGTGTTGCTTGCAGGACGGACTGAGGTTTGCAAAACACTGTCGAAGTGTGGGCTCGATAAGAGCTGGATGCAAGGAAATAGAATGGACGCGCTATAGATATAAAGGATTTCAGAGATCAATCCATTTTTGGGTGTTAGGCAGCATTTACATGTGTGACAATTCCGTTGGCTACTGCTACAGCTGACTGCAGGACGGCCCTGGATATATACCGGAGGAGCTAACAGGGATTTCCCCTCACATTCTCTAGTACCTCTTCCAACTTGCTGCCTAGAGAGTGTGCTTGCAGCTGCAGTGGATGTTTGCCTTCCATCCCGAGCAACCATTACTGGATGTGTTCCAATTTTAGATGCCGCCGTCTGGAGATAACTGTAGGGCGAAATCCCTTCAGAATATAAATGTAAAGAGACCTTATGGAAACGAGTCTTCGGTTGATTGGCTCTACTCACGGTGAGCAATACGATTAAGGCAGTAAAAAGGTTATCTAGCTAGCCCCTCAACCGCCGATTACCATGGCCCGCTACATTGTGATCTTGTTTAGATTGGTCGGTAGAGAACCCTTGTACTGGAATAGCTCAAGGTGCATGAAAAACCGACCTCCACGATACGCCTGCACAAGTGCAAGAGATGTAAAGAATAAAAATAGCCCGAGAGACACAAATAGAAGTGTTAGGAAAATGTGTAGAAGAAACCAATAGCAGCCTGTATTAGGACTATTCCAACTAAGTGATGTGCTGCTCGTTAGAACTTTTGCGCGTCCAGCCGGCCACAAGTCTGGAGGATCTAGCCGTGTTTTGAAGGTCATTATCGGGTGGCTTTCTCACGGTTCCCTGCGATAGCAAATGAGGAGCCGGAAATAGAAAGCTGGATGGTAATTGGCGGGTTTACCAGTTCGCACATGGCACGCTGCGCCCTCATAGCTCAATAACTCTCTCGGGATTGAATGCATGCTGCTCTCGGCTTCTATTTCCAAAAAAACGCAACATCTTTGATACGAGACTGGTTGAACTTTTGGTCGACAGGTCGTTCATTTTTCCTGGTAGAACATAACCCCGCTGATTGCTAACAAGTTTGACCTGACCAATCATCAATTCAGAGGAATAATGTGTATGGCCAAAAATCCACCACTGCACGTCATTGAGACACGACGTCTCATCTGTGTTTCCTAGGAGATCCGTTGCAAATGCAGAACTCCACGGATTCCCCTCGTCCGACGGTTTGGATGTTCCTCGGGTTGACGGGGCATGATGACTGACGACGACAATTTTGCGCTTCGAACCAGTCGGTTTTTCAGCTTCTCTGATTGAAGTGACCTCGTTTATAAGCCATTCAACGTCGGCAGCGTGCTCGCTATTGTGACTGGCCACAGTCCAGTCAACAATTCGACGAAAGTCATTGATTTTGTTTCGTACCAACTCCTCTGCCTCTGCAAGTATGTGTGAGTGTAAAGTGCAGCCCAAGAGTGTTGCTTCCTGTAAATCCACACGTGTCTTATTCATGATAATCAACCTCTCTTTCAGTCCTGGCTCTTCCTGGAGCTTTGCCGCCAGACCCAGGCCTTCTTGGCGTGAGACTCCAAAGAACTCATGGTTCCCAAGAACAAGGTACACTGCTGCAAACTTTTCGCACTGGGACTGTAAAAAACCGCGAAAACCATCATAATCCGCAAGACGGCCGATGTCGCCAGCTAAAATTAGGTGAGTGGCATGCGGTATGATGTTGAATGCTGCATACTGCGGGCCAACTTCGAGATGAAGATCGGAAACGAACTGAAGCCGAATTCTCCCTTGTGGGCCGCGCGAAAGGAGCTTGGTAAGAGCCATATGGCAATAGTTTCAAGCTGGTCTGGATGATTTGCAGCTTCCGAGCTTCGTTGGGGTTGAAGAAATGGATGCATGTTGGGCGGGCCCTGTTATTTATAGCCGTCGGCGCGGAGATACTTTTTAGCTCACTTTAAAATGGACGCGTTCAACTATTCCCAGTACAGTAGTGTACGGCCACCACTTAGCCCCAAACAACTGTCGCGTACTCCGTGCCAATCTCCAGTCATTCTTTGTTCACAGGAAATTAACCCACCGCACCCAGCCTTCGCCACATCTTCACGATGGAGTTTCCGAACATCCACCTGTTATTGAGCTTTTTGAAGGACGCAAGTATTCCTGTGTGTGTCGTGGGGGAACTTGCTCTAAATTACTACAATGTACCGCGTGTAGTCCATGTAAGCTACCCTTGCCTGCTCCAACCGTTCCGCCCACAATCGCCCTGACTTGCGGGAAACAGGACCTTGAGCTTTGTGTTCCTGCGAACGATCTCAGCAGGGCCTCATCAATCCTTGAGGCTCAAAGGGATGTTGTTGAAAAGGTCGGCGACAACGAATATAACATCTACACGGAATATAAAAGAGGATTCCCTCGATTTCGGTTCCATGTCTTAATGATTAGCTTTTGCGTTGTTCTCTTCACCGATGAGTACTGCGGCCTGAACCCTCTGCAGCAAAACCTGGTGTCCAAGCAAGAGCATGAAGGTGCGAGAGATTATTACAGCAAAGAGATTCTCGACTGCTTCTGTGCTGGGCAGCTCGCCACTTTACCCCTACCTCGGTTCGCACCGTTTTTCATAGGCTTCTGCCGCAGCTATGTGAAGAAGCAGGAAACAACATCTGCCATTGCCGCAGAAATGCTGGTGGATGGGATGGACCTCAAAGAAGAATGGTGTTGGACTCATTTTGAGTCTGAAAGTGAAGAGCTCAGTTTTGCTCTGGGGCTGATTGGCAGCAAGCAGTCACGGATTTCAGATTTTTCACCAAACACTGTGACATGTTTCATAGTGGACGATCAGGAAAGGCAAAGGGTTAAAAAGATTCCAGGGTTTTGTTGAATCTCGGCTATCAGCAATTGTGTTCCATGAGATAGGAGCTGTCAAAATGTTCCCGCATCCTGTGTCAAAACAGATGGCAACCAAGGCTTCAAAGCGATAGCCGTTCAGAACACGGAATAGAGCCTATAGCAACATAGAGGCTAACAAATGTAGGAGACTCCATCTTTTACTGAAATATAGGCACAAACCACACAAAGCTTATTAAGAGCACCTGATAGATGCATAAGAATCACTGATTATCCTTGCTCCCCTGCCTATCCTAAAGATAAGCCCTAGTTGGAGCCGTGGTTGGAGCGTGCATTTGCTATGGTTAATAGTGCATTGATGCAGGGATTGATATATACAATTGTATCGAGGTGAAAAAGAATGATTTATCAAGGAGTTCAAAGGAATGCTTTATCTACGGTTCTTGACCCTGTGATTTTGATATATTGTATGTTGTTTTCAGCGATGTGAAATTATGGGAACTAGTTCAATGTCACCTATTACAGAGCAGGAATATATAGCCTGAATTGGGTTTGCGAATTCCATAGTCATTACCATAATGTCTCCATAATATACATTGCTACAATCACTGAAAGTATTGCCATAGCCACCACTCTGAACCCCTTTTACTCACATCTTTTTTATTGTTATATCTGCATGGCGAAAGTGGCCTTCCGCGCTCTCTCTTCTTCCACCACCCTAGTTAGTCATAAGGAGCGTTTCTTTGAATTCCCAACAGCTGTATAAAAAACGAGGCACCGCTTACACCCTGGAGGGAGCGATTGTAACAGTGTTCGCTTCTCGCATCTCCCTATTCCATTTAACCCGCCCGCTAACCCAACAAATCATTAGGAACCCCCTAAAACTAACTAACAATCATCGCATTCTCCCCAATTCCACGAAACAATGTCTCCGTCCCCACCCCGGCCCCGGCACAAGGCTCCCCCTCCCCTCCCTTGCCAACACCAACATCCATGCCCCCTTTAAATCCTCCACCTTAGCATACGCTGAACCGGCTCCTTCTCTATGATGGCCGCCCACAAAATCCTCGGCCTAACCAGCTACCAGAACACCATGCGGTCCGCATCTGGAAAGCACATCATGGAGAAAGAGCTGATACTTTTGACGTTTACTTTGCACCTGCTTCAACAACGCAACAGCCTCAGCGACACGCATCAGGTCGTTCCGCTTTAAGCACCGAAGAATTTCCAAAGTGCGTCCAGTATCCACCACTTTTTTCCACGCATTGTTACTGCTGATTGATTTGCGAGGAGGCCGTTGCGGTTGAGACATTGGAGATCCGGGTGAGTCTCGAGTTTTTGGGCGGGAAACTCCTGATTTCTTAAGGCACCTGATATCCGCGGCCAAGTCGGAACTCCACCGCCAGACCCAGGTACTCGTGCTTGCATGCACGGCCCATTCGCGAATGTCACGAATGAAACGCCGGGCGGTTCCCCTTTTCACCCCTTGTTGTGCGTATCTTCGCAGAAAGGTCGATTGCTGATTATGACGACAAATCACATCGAGCGCCTGGATGACGCGCTCATCCGCCCTGGCCGCGTGGACAGAAAGGTTTTGTTTCAGCTCGCTGATGAGAAGATGAGTTCTCGTCTTTTCTGCACGGTTTTCAAGCGGTCGAATGAGGATGACAGCAACCCAGAAAAGAAGACCGATGATGAAACAATTGACCGACTTGCGAGTGCCGCCAAGGTACCGGACCATTTATGTAGCCCGGCGCAGATACTACTATCGTTCCTGCTTGAGCGCAAGTAGTCGCCTACCGACGCAGTGGCTGATGCGGACAGCTGGGTTGCTAAAGCCCTCAAAGAAAGGGGAAAGCTGGAGAATTATGTCAGGGCACGCGCAATTGCCAACCCCACTGACTCCTTCGAGGATCTTGCGGAGAGTTCCCAGGCTCACAACGCGTGATCCACCGCGGAAGTCTGGCCGACCTGACGCATTCTTGGGTCTCGGTTTTATGCTTGTATAATGGAAAGTTTGATATGAATGGTCAATCTGGGAGGCCCTCCGGTGTTTTGTCTGACGTGATGTTAACTTACGCCCGTCGAACATTACGCCCGTTGTCGAACATTACGCCCGTCGACCATTACGCCCGTCGAACATTACGCCCGTCGACCATTACGCCCGTCGAACATTACGCCCGTCGACCATTACGCCCGTTGTCGAACATTACGCCCGTCGAACATTACGCCCGTCGAACATTACGCCCGTCGAACATTACGCCCGTCGTCGAACATTACGCCCGTCGTCGAACATTACGCCCGTCGTCGAACATTACGCCCGTCGTCGAACATTACGCCCGTCGACCATTACGCCCGTTGACCATTACGCCCGTTGACCATTACGCCTCGAACATTACGCCCGTCATATTATTATTATTGATTGATTGATTGATTTATTCATAGACTGTCCCAGCCGCCCTCAGGCAGCTATGCAGCGCACTACTATACATACAGGAGTTTCTGCTCTTTTCCTTGGAAATTCAGTTATTCTTGCCGAAAGCTTCCAGTTCGGGCCGGTTATTTCTGCAAGAATCACTTCTTTTCCGCTTGAGCTTCCTCTATCCATAGTCTTCTATCAGTTCTGTATCTCTGCCTTGTTAGGTCTTTCCTGACCCTCCTCAACTTCTGTCTACTGGTTTTACACTCGCATGCTAGTTGTATTGGAGTACCTTGGACGGGACCGCCTGGAATTGACCTAGGAGGCCTGTCCTGATCATCATCTTTGCTGCTTGTACTGCCATTGACGAGCTACAGAGGATGCATTTGATGTCCACACACGGAGACTTGCCTGCCCACATTCGATGTCGTTCTTCTGCCCAGTTCCGGCATTCCAGGAGGATGTGTCGCACGGTCTGCGGTCCGTAGCCGCATTGGCATTTATCGGTATCGGCCTTACTGATGTCGTGAAGATACCCACGGAGGCCGATCTTGCCTGTACGCATCTGTGTGATCGCGGAGCTAATTGCTCCGTGTGTTCCCATGTGTGTGTTGAGAATCGCTTTTTCCCGGCCGAACCCCAAGTCGGAAGAGATCCCTACCGTGCTTTGCTCTCTCCCATGATGTTTCCGATTCGCTTTTCATAGCCTGACGGATTTTAGATTCCGTGGATGCCAGCAGCGTCCGTATCGGATCCGTTTCGGGTTGTTCAGTGTTCAAGGCAGGGTCGGCGGCCCGCTTTGCCAGTCTGTCAGCTTCTTCGTTTCCCGGTACTCCGACGTGTGCTGGGATCCAGTAAAATTGCACCTCCCATCCAAGGTCTCGCAGTCGATCGAGTGTTTGTATAGCTTCGACGAGGATATACTGGCCCGACGAATGCTTGGGGTTCCGAATCGCTTGGATGGCGGCTTGGTTGTCGGTAAAGATGGCGCATTTCCCGGGGGAAGTGCCAGTTGCATGGATATCAATTACCATCTGAAGAGCCAACACCAGGCCCTTGAGCTCCGCCGAGTACACCGTGGAGGTACTGGATACGCCCATGTATTGAGTCCGTTTCGTGCAGATGCCGTTGTCCTGGAGTGAGGGCGCCACTGCTGCTGCCCCTACGTGACCGTTGATGTCACTCCCGTCTGTGTAGATGCGCATCGTCGTCGGTTCCATGGTGTCGTGTTTCTTGATCGCGTCATTGGCCGAATCCTTTATGCAGGTAAGAGGTGGGGTCCACCACGGCGGTACAACATGCGGTTGGCGTTTCTCAAGTCGGTTGAGTTGCACATTGTATTTGTGTTCCAGGATGCCAGAGAAACGGTCAAGGGAGCTCAGTGCATCGCAATTTCGGTTGGTTCTTGTATTGTTTTCACTTGATGTCGCCATGTCATGGTGTGACGGGGAGTTTCGTATGCGCATAGTGGCTTCCAGCGCTGTTTGCTCAAGTTGCTGTTGTATCGGAAGCAGGTGTGCCTCTACGTCCATGGCTGGCCCGGCGGTTGTTCGGAATGCTCCCGTGATTATTTGGGCTGCACGTCTCTGGATCCTCTTGATGGCATTTATCATGGCACTGCCCCGGCTCGTGTAGCCATTACCGGGGATATGCCATGCGGAGCAGCCATACAGCATCTGAGGTATGATCATTGCTCTGTACACCTGCCGGAGATTAATAGCTCCTGTTCCCCATAACACGCTTCCAGCCCGTTCTGGTCGCCGACATCCAGGAATGGGTTGGCTTCCAGGACATCTTTCTTCTGAGCCACCAATTCAAAGAAGTCATCAGCTGATAGCATTTCTGGAGTTTAGCAGGAAACGAAGCAAAATGGAACAGAACCGAGACAAGATGGGACACAACGGGATGACATGACACTATTTGTATTTGGGTTTGGGTCGGCTTTTTACCCCAACTTAGAAATCGTTTAACTGCAAGTGTTTCTTGGCGTCCATCGTCGCAGCCACACAGAGTCTTTAGCAGGTAGAAAAGCTCTGAGAGAGAAATATGGCACGATATAGAACCCACCGTTAATCATAGGAAGAAAAGAGGGAAGGACCGATCAATTCGCGTCATATCCACAATCGTCAAAATTACACACAGCCTGAGCATCAATGCATCAGGCTCATTGGTAATTAATCGCAAGGGGGTGACGGGAAAGTGACTCTCGGTTGCTGCCATCGTCTGCTCAAAGGGTCTATCAACGTCAGCAACTCTGTTCTGCAGCAACTTAAAACCACCTTCTACCCTCCCTCTTCCTGTCATCATGGCCCGCCATCAAAGCCAAGGTACGCTATTCATGTTCATTACCAGCTACTTTGACTGACCGTTGATAGAAGAGCGACCTCAAGGGGTCAGGAAACGATCACAAGAACTTGTCCGCAGGAGCCCACGTCTCAGCTGCCTTCACAAGCAAATTCAATTGAAGGACAGGAAAACTGAACAAAACTACCCATATCCCACTCCGGCAAGCAATACCAGAGAAGAGGCATGTTACTTTCCTCTTGCTAGACTACACCATGAAACTGACTCAAAGCTAAAGCTTCTCAAAACCTGCTGGCCTCTCTGCAAGCTACACATCAAAAACAAAAGCAGTTGCGAGAAGCTGAAGATTCTCTCCACATTCCAGCCGAGTGTATTGTAAAACAACCGTGAATGTCACTTGCTGCTGTTGAGAATATACCCTATTCAGGAGTTGGCAAGCAACGGCTGCGAACATAATATCAATTCAATTGACCACTGAAGGAAGGAAGGAATCTGGCCCAAAGAATACTTCAAAAAGAGAAGTAATATGAGTCATCTACTTGCAAGGAAAACATCAACATCTTCTCTACGCCGCAAGCCATCGGAATCTACTTCTGTCGCCAGCTCCACCACACCCAGCGACCAAAAGTCAAGGGAGGAAAAGAGCACTCCATATGGAAATGCGCGCTACAGAACACTTGAAACCAAGGACAGTTTTATGAAAGAATCAAAACTGGGTATCACGGATGTTAGCAAAAGCAGTTATCAAACTTTGCTGGATGCTGAACAAAGAGTTTTGGATAACTCATTATTTCGTGACAATCTATTCAAAAAAATCTGTGAGAAGATGCAGAATAGGAATGAGGCCATGATTATTTAGGTTATTACTTGATTGACTGTCCGTTCAGCAGAAAATCTAGCCATATATGGCAATGAGCATCACAAGATTTTGATTGAAAGTGTTAGTGAAGGCTGGGACAACGCTATCCTGTCATGAAACCTCATTCGCAACCTGATTATTCTGTGGGTTTGAGGCAAGAGGCATTTACAGATGGCCAACTGCAAAGACATCAGCCCATTGTTGGTGACCTGACTGATACATCCTACTTCATGGTGACATTCTACATGTACTTCCCATTCTTAACATGTGAAGTTAAGTGTGGCGCAGCGGCACTTCGCAGATCAACAGAATGCCCACGACGCAACTATTGCAATGAGAGCTATTCAAGCTTGTGAAGCACAAAAAAGAGATTGACTGAGAGATACTCATCTTCTCAGTCTCACATAATCTCACAGCAGTGAGAATCTACAGTCACTATACAGTTCTTGAAGAAGAGAAGACAAATTTCTATCACTGCTTAATTCATAAGTTCAATTTTATTACTCTGAATGATAAAGAGAAATGAATGATATACAAATTCATGAGAAATATCTGTGATATATGAATATTAACTTATTTTAAAAGAATATACTCTGCAATTGATCAGATACTCTCTGATGTGGATTTTGATGTTTCACAGTCAGAACTTCAATACTCTCAATAATTCAACACTGAATCAGTGCTTGCAGTTGAGGATGATGACAGCCAGCCAAGTCAGTGCCATATTGCCTCGGCAGGTGTTACGCCAACTACTTCCTTTACACAAATATTCAAAAGGCCAAGGAAGAAGCAGTAACTTGGATCTTCACACAAAAGGTTCTAGGGAACTGCTCTAATAAGGAAGTGGCTGCCTATTAGGCAGGCAGCCACTCTTCCAGAAGTATAAATAGCTGTATCTACTCCTGCTTAGCTAGGAGCTGCCGTATGGATGCCGAGCTGCCGGTGAAACCGGGGAAGAAGATACAATGGAGATTTGGGATGCGCCCGTGTAAATTGGAAAGGAACCAGCACTGTTGAACGCGTTCATTTATAAAAGGAGGCCAATCCCCCCAAGTCTGAGGCACGGAAGAGCCGATGATTGGTTTCCTAGGATGTTAGCGCGCAAACAATCACTTTACAACAAACTTATAACTTCTTCCAACAAAATCTTAATCAATTTGCAATTCAAATATAATCTTCAGTTTTCTGCCATTTATTCAGTAACATTTCCACTTACGTGGTTAGAAATGGGTCATTTGAAAATACCCGGAGATGATAAGGATAATTAGGGGCAACGATGCGTTCCTATGACATATACAAATCTAAAAAGTTGAGGCCTCCATCTCCTCGAAATCCGACATACTAGGAAACCTCCAGTTATGACAGGAACTTGACACTTCCGGCAACTGCATAAATAAATGTGTAGTATTGGCAGAGGGCTCTCGTTCTCCCATGGAACCGGTAAATCCCCACGGGCGGCAAGAGCTTGACACCTCTGGCAACTGCATAAATGAATCCGAAGCATAGAAGGTGGAGACTGGTTCTCCTATCAAGCCAGTAAATCCCCAAGGGCGGCAAGAGCTTGACACTACTGGCTGCTGCATAGATAAATGTGTAATATTGGCAGAGGACTCTCGTTCTCCCAAGGAACCGGTAAACCCCCAAGGACGGCAAGAGCTTGACACCTCTGGGAACTGCGCAAAGGAATCCAAGAAATTTGACGACCCAAAATCTGCCATGTCTTGGCATTTCCATTGGCGATAGGAGCTTAGTTCTGGCGGCTGGTTTGATGAATTTGACGCACCGGCACGCCCCGATCCAGACGTAGTTTGAAAGGCTTGATGAGCGGCACTGTTAAAACTATGACTTTCCCGGTACCTGCGCTGACAGTCGTCCATCCAAGCTGATTTTTCGCTCGCAAGACGTGACAAGCCCCTCTGCTGTCTAAATTCCGCAACAAAAATTTGAACGTTCCCACGTTCCATTTTCACGAAGGATGGTATGAAAACGAGAAGCGCTGATATTCCCATTGCACCAAATTCCCTCTCAGCAGACAATATTTTTATACCGTATTGGCACGTTTTGCTCGAGGCCCTGTCGATGCCCTCTTTGTCAAGAAACTTGTTTATGGAACAGTGCCAGCCATCGCACGTTGCCCTCTCATAACGTAGTGCAAGTCCTCGCCGGAACAGCAATGTTCGAAGTTGAACATCAAGCTTCGAACGGCCGGCGATTGCTTTAGAGGGTGTTCGTTCAAGATATTTAACCATAGGAGAATAGAGGGTATTAAGGTGCCGGACTAACTTGAAAGGTGGGGATGTTGAGGAAGTGGAGCCGACATCCGAAGTCGAAGGTGGGTTTGGTGCTGCATTAATGGACAGTGAGAATTCATAAGAACCATCCAATGGCCATCTGGAGGGCATTTGTGCCACAATTGTCGAACTCCGTGTGTCCTGATCATAAAACACGTCCTGACGTTGCCCGATTGTCGAGCTTAGCGTATTCGAGGGTGGCGATTGATTGTAAAAGGTACATAAAGTATTTCCAGCAGACTCCTGCACAGCAAATGTACAAGAGCCTATTGCCCGGGAAACTGACTGCTGAGCGGCGACTTTAGGTAGTTCACTAGCATTTTTCGGCCGGTGTTCGGCATCTCCCTTTATCTCATCAAAGAGAGCTTGACATTCCTCTAGCCACTCTGATTTCTCAGCTACGAGCCGCAATAATGACTTTTCTTCCCTCAATGCGTTGATCAGATCAATGAGTTGGTCATACGAGATACTCGATAAACGGGAAAGCGCAAAACAAAAAAGGATCGATATTCCACTTGCGCCATATTTGTACTCTGTAACCAGTAATTTGACGCCCACTCGAATTTCTTGCAATAGCGCATCTGAGTAAAGGCCAGTTTCCTTAAGAAACTCGCTCATACGTCTGTTGACATGTATGCTTGATTCATTTTGAGCCAGATGCTGTACGCGCCATGTATGACATTTGTCAAACATCCAGATATCAAATTGTTTCCCTCGGCTCCGCAAACGTAGGAGCTTTTGAAATTTTAATCGCGATTTATCTCCCGTACGAGTTGAATAGCCGACGGCAGGTCTTGCATCCCTATCGACGAAAAACTTGATGTCATGATAGTTATTCACAAGCGATGTAAGTAGGCTGTGGATCTTTGGATCCTGGTGGTAACACTGGCGCATGACGGAGATGGAGGGGAAAGGCGAAGGTGCTGCAGAGGCAGGGTCGAATGGTGGTTCTGTGTTTTGATATCAACAGACAGTTGCTTAGGGGGATCAAAACACTCCGCCGAAGATTTAGCCGACTTAAGCGGCCAGCCTGATCGGCCACCACACAATAGCCACTTTGGGCAATGGAAAACCAGAACCTAGTGTGGTTGGTAGGCCATCAGGCAGCTGGTCTGATGATATTCGGCGCAAAGGCTTGGGTGGGGTAGGGAATTGCATTTAACCGCCCATTATTCTAGTACAGGGTACATCCACGAAGTTACATGAATGTCGGTAGAGTTGTCCAGGAAGGACAAACTCAGCCCCTTTGGATTTGCGATATTTGGCACTAGGCGAGTCCGTAAATTTTCCTCCATCAGGGCCCAGCGATATAATTGGGCGTATTTGACGGGTCTCAAAGCAAGGCCATTCCCCACAAGGTTAGCACGGGTGATTTCAGTTGAGGTTCGAGCACCGTAAGTCTCGACCGGGGCACTTAAGCCGAATCCCATTGTCTAAAAGTAGATCCCGCGGCCGCAGCCCACATGGTTCGCTCGGAAGGAAATTCCGTTTCCGATTGGGTCGCTAATCCTTTCCGAGTTTCGACGTCTGGTGGCCAATGATTGATCACACTTCAAAGTGGTTTCTGGAAAAAGTTGGCAAACATGCCAATATGAGGACCCTCATCACGTGTCAAATTCCTTTTCGCAGTATATATTAGGTGCCGTGTTCTCTTCTGTGAAACACTGAAGAACCATTCCCAAATAATATCATGATGGAGGAAGCACCGGGCGGCTCCCTTATCATGGTCGCGTTCCCTGTCCTTCCCTCAAGGTATTATGCACACTTACTAGCAATATACGGTTTAGTTCAGTCACGCGATTAGAGTTCAGTGGATCAGACCGGCGCTCGGTTGCTTCAATCATGGCTTTTTGTGAAGCGGAGACGCCGTCTCCGCATCGTGTGGCCAAACTGACAGCGAAGCTTCTGCTATCCAGGGGTTGTAGCAATAATCCTCTGCGATCGTCGCGTCGGGATGATTGTGGCGTTGAAATTCACAGCTAACCTCCGCGACAATGAGGCGTTTCCTGATTGGGACGGCCTTGGCGTTTGAACTTCCTGATTGAGATGCACTTGGCGTTGGACCTTCCTGATTGAGATGGCCTTGGCGTTGGGCCTTCCTGACTTGGATAGTCTAGCGTAACCTCTGTACCAATCAACCTCCCCCTGGTGTTTTCCGGAACATATATAGCAGGTAATGCTCTGGTATGATGACTTCCATTGTCGTCTCGTCGTTATCTCGCTCGTCAGAAAACTCCTTATTTTATTCATCAGATATCATCGCGGTCGATCCAAAATGCATGCCTCCACCAGCCGCTTGAGTCTCGACGATATGGAGCGGTCCGTATCAAAGATAGATTTACCCTACGAAGCAAATCCGCTGACGGTAGTGAGCACGACCGATGCCCACGCTGTAGCCCATGCTATTGACACCGCAACCTGGTCGGTGCTCTTGCAAGTCCCATTTGCAGCGTGGGTACTAAAAGCGGTTGGGCGTGACACAGACCTGATGGATAGTTTCTTTTGGTACCACCGTGCGCTCGGTATTCGACTCCATAGTCTTCTTCGGATGCATTCTGAGCTACCGCGGTTCAAGAATGAACTTTGGGAGGTAGACTAGAACTCGGATAATGCAACTATACTGCGTGCTGACACTGGAGACAGACTGTTCCCGGAGTAAACCCTCTTGCCCGCGCAGTGATATCTAGCTGCGTTCAGAACACCCGGTCGTGGAAATGCGTGGCCCATGATCTTGAAATCGGCTTCATCACTGAACCCCTTACTGATGTCTTCGGCCATCAACCCCGTTACTTGGACGCGGACGAATTTTACCTTCTGAATGCCCGCTTTCAGCGTATCTATGGCGAAACCGTTCGGACGGCTAGGTTTCGGGCCGACTTGATACTTTTCCGGGGAATTAGAGACATGCCGCCAGCCTCTTTAGCCGGCTCCATCACAACCGAAGACTTGAGATGCTTCCAGAACGCCTACGCCCTCGTACTTTCGGAGCGAAACGAGGGGTGGCGTCACTTGGGTCGCTCTTGGCAACAACGAAGTGAAGATTCAATCGAATGCCTTCGAACCGGACTTCAAATACAGTGGACCCTTGGTCGAACTTGCCATGGTAAACTGATCACTGCAGCCTCTTTGCCCCGGAGTACTTCTGACATCATATCAAAAGTGCTTGTACAAGCAAAGAAACCTTTACGGAGTGACCGCGATTGTAATGGGTCTGAAGAGTTATCTGAAGAGTGTTTCATATGATGAAACAATGATCCCACCGGAGTTGGGTAGAATTCTCGAACTGGAGGAGAACTATGGTGCGTATCGCAACCATTTGCGAATGTTGAGAGAGAAGGGGCAACCCGTGTTGCCTTTCATATTTCCCATTTTCAAAGAGTACCAGATGTCCGTTCGGATCCTCCAACAGTTCGAACCATCCTCCCCCCCATACGAGACTTATTTGCGGAGGGCAACATCGAACGCTGATGACTTGCTCTCGTTCAGATCATACACTGCAAAGACGGGAGTCGTGGAGAGAGTCGGGAGCATGTTCAAGTTCTGTATATGCTTTTAGAACCACATCGTGGCCTAGCCTGTATCTCAATCACATGCCGCAAAAAGGGGCAAAAATTAATGCAATTGCAACTCTTGGCTGCTTGATCGCGTGCAGATTGATATGTCGAATGATCCGTCGGGCCAAACGCCATACTGCTGCTTTCCTCTTCAGACAGTTCGTCTACCCTATTTTGATTCGCCGTAACCTACTGTTTGGACCGGTCACCCCATATTGTCTATTTCTACTCCTTACCTACTGCTCTTTGACTTTAACATGCAACCTCCTTGGGGTACACTCTGTGGCCGAAGCTCACTCTCAGATCAGAACACTTTCTGTGATCAACATGGTCATCCTACTTGTCAGCCAACCGAGCCTGATCACGGATGCGCTTGGGTTATCACTTCATTCATATCTCATTGCCCACAGTGTGGTGGGTCTGATGGCATCCATCCAGGCATTAGCACATGTTCTCTTATCATTGAAGATCAGGGAATTTTCCTTTAAAAATTCCTTGCAATTTCATGAGCTTCTGGTAAACCCTCTCTCTTCTGGGCCAAGATTTCCTGGGTCTCTTCAATCTTCTTTTGAACTGCTGCTAAAATCCCCATAACAGACAATCATTGCATTTGTCTTGATCTTGGTTTCACTTTGTCTTCGCAGGCATTTTTATGAGATTTTCATCAAACTGTACTATGCACTGGCTCTCAGTGCTCTCTATTCTCTTTGATGATATATCACTGCTCAAAGAGTATACTCTCACATATATATCATGACAGAAGCTGTTATTTTCATCAGTACTACAGTTGTATAATTTCTCAGAATCATGATTTGAAATATCACACTAGAAAAGTTCCTGCTCAGAGTGAGCTTTGTTATTAGAAATGATACTGTAGAGATTGTCATGTTGAATCTCAGATCATTCAAGTCACATTTCAGTCAGTTTGTCTATCTTCAGATTCTGAGAGTGAGTTTGTCATTCATTTTTGAAAATCATCTCTTCCAGATTATCTGGTGATAAGCAGATGAACAAGGTCATGTCATCTCACTCTTTTTCCTGATTCAGGTAAGACAGGGATTTATCAAAAGATTGCTCAAATATGTAAAAAAACATAAGAGCTTTCTTACATTCATCAACAGGTCATATGAGAACATGATTGACATCAGTGACTACAGATATATACTGATGTTCATGACTGAAATTGATATTACAGCTCAAATTCTGTACATTAAGAAGATTTTAAACAGATATAGAAAATGAAGCTCTTCAATCAGAAGCATTTCAATAGTCTGAGAAATTGATGACAGTGATATGACTCTCTGCACCTGAGAGAGATGTTCCTCTTGATTGAAACTGACAGAGCTTTTAGTCCAGTTGAACTGAGTGTATGAGTGAATGCAGAAGCTCTTGAATCAAGATCAGAGAACTTATATAGATTGAACATGTGATAATTCTTACTACAGACACTAAAGTATTGTAGATTCTATGAATATCAATATATCAGCCAAATTCTCATAGAGACCCAGAATGACTGGGCAGTCATGAGTGTATTGAGATGAACTATTTGAAGTTCATGAAAGTGTATACAATTCTAGACAGAGAACTTCAGATCTGAAAGAGTTATCTTCTTGTTACTGATACTCACTCATTTCATCATTCATGTCTCTTTCTTCATTGATTATTAATTAGTGGCTGTGCATGACAATATTTGTGATGCAGTTCAATATTGCATTCTTCAGAACCTGTCCCAGCTGGGTAGGGCATTACTAAAGGCTGTGAACCCTTTGATGAAGAAGCAAGAGAGCATCACTGAACTTATGAGAAGTGCAATGAAAGCATTCATTCAGTCAGTGAGGGAAGTCTGGAAGGGTCATGGCTCTGTTGACTTCATGAAGAGCAGAATGGACGGGCTGATTCATTCAGTTGAGTCAGTATGGATGAATTCAGTGCAGAGAAGAGATTCTGGATCTGTTGAATCGATTGACTACTGAGAACTTCCCTTTCAGCCAAACTAGATAGTTATAAGCTTCGTACTTCTCCACATCATATCCATGTTTATTACAATTTTCATCAGCTGATAACTAGCGTGAATTGACATGTATATTCTAACCCTCGTGAAATGGGGCAAAGAGACTCTTGACATCCCGGGCTTCGATTATTGATGAGTTCTCTATATACCAGATAAAAGCTGCCCGCTTTTCTTCACCGCACAACAGAAAGGAATTGATGACAAGATGTACCGGTCAAATCAACAATATCATTTAGAGCAGCTCTACACTATCTTCTTATTCACCACCGTATCGCCGAAGGAGATCTGAAACGTATACTACAAACTTCATGTGAAAGTGACAAGGAGGACCCAGAGCGACAGTAAATGGAGACATGTGCTGTGGTTGTTTCCTGGGGGTGCTTTCAATGCAGACAAGCCAGGATCTCTACTCCCATTGCCGTCATAGAAGACACGACTAGTAGGTGTTAGACTGCCGGAATAAGTCACGTGGGTCGCATTAGAGGGTGGAGAGGGAGTGGGTGTGACACTGTTGATCCACCCAGAGAACCCGGTATAGAAGACGCCCGAAGGGATACCTGACGCCGTCACACTGCTGACCACGGGTACTGCAGTGCCTGAAGGACGACCAGTAGAGGCTACTATCAAAGGCTCAGTCACATATGTCAGACAGGGAACTTGGGAAATACCGCCAAATGATGACTGGCTGACAGTCATAGTCAGTTCTCAATCGGTTGTCTTCGTGCTTTCAGGTGGCTTTTCAAAAACCAACACAGTTGCTGGATCCGTTGCTGTGGCTTTACTCTGCCCTGCACCAGGCAGACCCACATCAACCCAAACAGATGCGATGGCACGCGGAAAGTCTCGAGCTCCTCTATATGAACTAGATTGGTATTGTTAGTAGAAATACTGGATGGAATAATACATCATACTCACTCTGAGGCAACTAAAACCATCATGTCAGCAATAGCCAACAGCAAGATGTAAATCAGCATGGTAACGGGGCGGGTGATAAGGGTTAGGATTAAGTTCCGGAGGATGGGCTTCCGCAGGACTAGTATTCTCTGAGATACGAGATACAAAATGTTTTGTCTGTAGGAGCCACTCAGCAGAGACAATCACCTTAGAGAATGAAAGGAGGTGTTCTGATACTTTTCTCAATACCTTCTTTCCAGAGGGGTAAAGCAAAAGGTTTCGTCCCAGCTTTTCAAGACGAGCCTTGTGTGGTGTCTTCGCAAGTTCTTCCGAATTGGCGATCTAGCGATCTGGCTTGCTTTAACAGCGCTAGGTAAAGATCCAAGATCCACTCATTCAGGAAAAAAAAAAAGACAAACCAAAATGAACAGGATGGTTTATTCCCCATAGTTGCCCTTGCGGCCTTGTAAGGACAGACGATTAATACATTCATCCTTTGAAACTCTCATTTCGGGAAATATCAGCTAGTATAAATGCTATATAACAATGAGTGAGAAATTGACCGAGCTATCTACAAATTGTACAGGGGATCAAATGAAGGTATGAAAATATTGTTACAAGGGCCACTTTCAACAAATTGACTTTCATCATCTCTCAGGTGCTCAGGAGGATCCAGCAGCATCTTTTCAACAGACGAAGTCATCCAAATGGGGGGCTGAATAGCTCTTTTCACACTTAAAGTGTCACCCCCAATGAATCGACCTTCGTCATCTCCCAGGCGCTCAGGAGGATCAAATGCCGATATGCCCGACAGTGTCATTTCAACAGGCGAAGTCACCCAAACGGGCGGTTGTATAGCCCGTTTTACACTTGGCATTGACTTTCCTGCTTTCACCCACTTCACTTTGTTCAGATTTCTTGAAATGTTGCTGGTTGCACTTCCAGTCAGTTTCCTGACTTCTCTCAGCTGAAAGTCTGCAACTTCCACCTTCCCCTTCAGTCCTCTCTTACATATGTTAGTGGAAACTGAGTTTTGGGCCATGAATATTGATGACTTACCAGAGTACTCTCTGGCGGTGGAAATGATGGAATGTCGGTAGTATTTAGAGTGTATATTTCACCTTGCCGACATACCAATGCGTAGATCTCTGCTCCACAGTACAGGCTTAATTCCCTGAGCTTGCAGTAGCATGTACTTCTCCGGTTCTTCCACTTCTCCTGGTCTCGCTTTACACGGTCCTTGTCCACATCTGAACTTTGGTTTATAAGGTTATTGGCGCGGACTTCTCTCTGCTGAAAGTCAGTGATTTTAGCTTTTCCCTTTGGTCCGCCCTTCAATATGTTAGCCAAAGGTGCACCTTTGGGTGACAGTCCCTGTAGACTTACCAGTTCACTCTCTGGCGGAGGGAATGATCCGTCGCCAGTGACAACCAGAGTGTATATTTCACCTTTTCAACGAATCAATGCGTAGACGTCTGCTTCGCAGTACTGGCTTAATTCCATGAGCTTGCGGTAGCACATCGATCTTCGCTTCTTCCATCTTTCCTGACCTCGCTTGTGAGGATTCTCGGTGGTCCCTTCAGCTTTGCCCTTTTTTCACTTCAGGCGGTTATCAGAAGGGGGCTCTTTTGTCATTGGTGGAGTTCAGTGTTGAAGATTTGAAAATATGAGTCGTAAGAATGAGGTAGAAGGGTGGTCGTCCTGGATTTTCTGCTCTGCCTTTTTGTACTGATGAGAGTAGTGTAGGCCCGGTCGCCCGCCTCGTGGGTTGCTAGGGGGGAGACTGGATGATTGAGTCACTCCGTTCCTCAGCATCGAGATCCCAAGGTGGACGCCATCTTCTAATCGATAAGTTTCCAGGTCTTGCGAAATGGAGTTTTCAGCTTATCATCCTGCACAAAACTGCGGTCTGCCATAACGCTTGGGATCCAGTATTGAACAGCGGCGACTCCCGTGTAGACCACTAGAAGCCTATAAAAGGACCATATATCCTAACCTCCATGCATAATTTAAAATATCAACAATCACAGCTCTTTCACTCTCTTTTCTTGATCTAGGCCTGTTGTCCTAACTACACTTTTGAGGTCGTTTCCGTAAACGATCGTTCACAACATGACCTTACCAAGCGCTTTGAGGACACAGATATTAATTGGACAGCAATAGAGGAACAACTCCTGCGGTGGGAAAATCTATTTCGTCAGGGCAATACTGCTGGCTGGATCCAGTGGGGAAGAGGCATTACAAAATGAGAACACATCATATGAAAGCCCTGGTTAGATATGTGCTACAAGGGGGTATCCGAGAGACCCATGACGACATTCCTGATACAATCCGGACCAATTGTACGCCGAATCGAGAACCGACAGAAAGCCCCTAGCCACCTGGCAAGTGGATCAATTTTCCCAATCAGTATCAATGTCGTCCCGACCCAGTCACCCCAGTCTCTCGGGCCCCGCCTCAAATAGTATCCAAATAACCACTTTGAGAACTGGCCGGGCTGGTTCGATCGATATTCCCGGGCCTCTTTAGATAGCAGTGGAGGGTTATACTGTCTGGCATTTATCACTAGTGAGCACTGGGAGCTTCAAGGATAATATTAAGAAGGCGCGTGATGTCGCATTGAAAAATTGCCTCGCCTAAACAGATCCTTGGTGATGAAGATCCAAACTTTTTCTTACAACATGGAGTGAAGATTGGTGCCTCCCGCAGGTTCGTTAGCGATATCCCTCTCTGGATCAAGTATTGTAAACGCGAAGGGACTCCTGAGGATGAGGATATTTCAGATTAACTAAAGTCATTAGAGAACACCTCCACTAACAGATGAATAAAGAAGTAAACAATCATACCACTGTATTGAATTTAATACTCTTGCGTCGACATATCACTTGCATGGCCCAGCCACCACTTTGATAGCTGAATTAAAAGTTTGTGATTCCGGTGCTCCAAGTCATACAGTTCAGTGGCACGCACCACAAGCTCCTTGCCATTAAAATATGCCTCCAGGACCCGAATATGGTGCATTCCTACCACAGAAAATAACAAAACCTGCGAAGAAAAGTGTTAGCATTCTGTGCCTCCCTTTGCAAGGCATTCCTTGAAAAGACACTTACAGGAGCAATGATATGCGGACGAAGCGACTTCGTGTTTAGCCGCCGACACATCACATCAATAATGGCCAGCAGCTCTCCACGAAACAGTTCGTCCTTATTTCCAATTATGCCACTGTACACCAGGACTTTCATATGGGGAACTGTAGCGTGCGCTATATTCCAGGCTGCCTGCACCTGCCACCGGGGTTCTTTGGATACATCCATCAGCTTCCCAAATTTGAAGCTTCCGAAACTATAAGTACAGTGGGTGGTGAGAAGCTATATCTGAAAACAAATAAGCGGGAAAAACGAACTCAACTTGGAGTCACCTGATCCAGTTGTACCCCATCTTTGAAGCAGGGAAAGTTGCTTTCTTTGTTCGCGGTCTCTCCTAGTTGGTCATTCACATGGGGAAGGACCTACAGAGAGACAGGGGCCGAAATCTGTACGATTTGACAAGTTGGCGCTCGTCGCCTGGTGTCCTTAGGTTAACAGCTCTAGTTCCAGCCACCTGTTATTGCCGATCTTATCCATGCTGAATTCCGTCTGGTTGGGTAAAAGTCGGATGGGTGTTGCGACACTCCTGTCAGACGGCTATTTCGAGCGATCGGTCGTTTTGTTGCGGCGCTTGTAACGCCAGGCCACGAGTTCGGATTGCAGGCCACGGTTTTGTGATGCAAAATTGTGCCCAACCTCTGTTACTGTGCATAAGGGAAACCGAGAGAATAGTAGACCTAGAGGCTGCTTGACCGGGAGAATGCTAGACCACCTAGAGAACTTGACCAAGAGACTGCAGATGTCAGTCTATATGATCATTGGGAAAGCTTTCCCCAAAAAAGAGGCTGAAAAGAAGCAAGATTCTCAGGACGAAGGGCCTTCCAACCCCAAACCGAGATGACACCTTTCGGTATAAAAACAAAGTTTTGCCAGAGGTGTTGGTCCCTGCGCACGGAAAGTGGGACGGGGTAAACCTAAATCTGGACCCGCAAAGAAGCTATTCTGCTCGACTGTCGCCGAAGCCTGATGCATCATCCTGAGAGACATACTGGGAATAAAGAGCCAATCATTGATGACGTGTTTGGGGTTGTTTGGGAAGGGACAGAGGATTGGTCTGAGAACCAATATTCTGGTTTTAAGGCATTGAGGGCGCGCTTGCAATCTTATCTCGTAAAAAACAATTGTGATATCAGATGGCTTTGTTTTCTTGTTCGCGATATTGGACATCTACACTTTTCAGGTATCCAAAGACCCTTCACGCTGTATGTAGTATCAATGTGCACTTGACAGTGAGACATTCTGATTCGTCCCATTATTGGTGTTGAAGCTCAAGTTTAAGAATGCATGAGTTCAGTAGAGGATACCGCATTGAAGAACACTATGTTCAATAGTAAAAGCAGCAGAAAATCGCAGTTGCCCTTAGCACAATCAAGGGCATAGCCGCTTTGCATGCAGATCAAGCTCAAATGCAAGTGAGGACAATAGGCTGCAAGCCCACAGAAGTTGCTGCTATAAGGCTAGGCAACTGTGCACTGTATCACCTCTGAAAAGTTACCTGCGCCATCCTTAATCAGTGGTTGCTGGTGAAGAAAGACAAAACTGCTGTAGCAGCTGGGACAAAGAGGGGGATATTGTCCACAAAGATGTTGCAGAAGTTTCATTCTCGATATTGCAACCGCTGTTAAGGCATTCCATGCCCTGGTAGATGGCTTTGAAGCATCCGGATTTGCCATGCTGGTTGACTGAATGGATTTTGCCACCCCTTCTCAAACTCCCTAGTCCTCACAAACTCTGTGTATACTGCCTTGACCTCATCAACGAGTGCGCTTCGGCCCTGGTTTCAAAGCTACTTTTTGATAATGCCACGCGGTAGCGAGGCGGGATTAGAGCCTTGGCCTGCAAACACTAGCTGTAACTTGAATCATCCAGTTAATTTAGAGCCTGTTTTGTTGTCAGTCTATTGAGGAATACTTCCATGAAAGGGAAGCTGATATCATTATGATGAAGAGAAATAAAACAAATACTATTTTAAAGACTACATAGCAAACTAACACAAGGGGGATGTGTTGAACATCCGGAAAATCAACATTCAAATGTGTTACATGGAAGGGTCACAGAGCAGAAAATGAAAAGGGAATAAGATTAAAATCAAAATGTGGGCTGACACTAGTTCAGTCAGCTAAGGAAGCGCTTTCCGTGTTGGCTGGAAGATGTTGTGACAGTGTCCATCAGCTCATCCATCTTTTGGCTCATTCTTGCAAGTTGGAGATGGATGTTTGCAATTACAGGATCCTCATCCTGGGCAGCACTGTCTTTTAACATGCGGCTCTTTGCCCTTTGCCCATGATGTCATTGTTGTGTCTGTGAGTTCGATGCTTCAGCAGCAGAACATCTGCTGGGTCAGTTGTGAGTGACTTTGACTTCACTGTCACTATCACTGCCACTCCTGTCATTGATTTGTTGAACAACTCTCTTTGGTGTCCTAGCAGCACGACCGCTACTGGGTCGGTTGCAGGAGAATTCGACTTCACTATCATTTTCATTGTTCATTGTATCATCACTAGGCACATCATGTTGCTGTCTTTGCAGCATGTAATTCAGTGCTCTTCGCGGCTTATACTCAAGCCTTGCCATCCTCTCTGGGGGTATCTCTCCCTCACTTTCAAATATCTCACTGATCACTGTGTCTGTGTCACTCATTCCCCATATGTTGCATAGTGCTGTCTGAGTTATCCAGTCTGTTTCACCCTCACTTCCTGAGACCTTAACACAGACGAGGAGATCTAGGCCAGGTTTGTTCTCTGAGTGAGTGACTTTCAAGATTGCTTTGATTCCTTCATAGTCATGAGTCATGCTCTTTGACCCAATCATTCTCTTGTCTGGCAATGCAAGGTAAGTATGGGTTGCCCTCCAGCCTATCTCTGATCCTGATCTTATCTCACATATCAGACTGTCTGGTCCATTCACCTGCATAATAAACAGATACCTCATAACTTCAGGTATCCTAAGCTTTCTTCCTTCTTTTCTTGTACGGAACAACTGCTTGCAGGCAATAATTGGCTCACCCTGCTGAGTTTTGCTGGGTTTCCACATCATGATTGTTCTTGGCAAATTTGAAGCTTCCGCAGGCATTACAACCGGCTGAGGTTCATCCTCTCCTGAATAGAATTTAAGAAGTTGCTTGCCATTCTCACTGAGTGAGAATTTGACCTTTCAACAAGTAGAATAGTGATTTTCCTCAACCACTGTTTCTATGATGGAGTTGACTTTGTCGATATCTTCCTTGGATTTCTCATACTTTGCTTGTAAATACTGAGTGAGAGTTAACTCTATGTCTCAGATGATATGATGCGCAATAAGCGCCTGTGAAGCAAGTAGATGATACTGTATTATGAACACAGAGTGCTTCATAGTCACTTGTACCCCATGGTTTTTGACCTCTTGAGTGATCAACTCATTGATTTGTTTTAGCTCATTCTCAGCCTTGAAGTTGAGGGGATTCTCAAACAAGTGCTTCACAAATGGTGTTGCTTGGGTATATAGTTTTTCAATATACACATCCGGAACTGGTCTGGGTTCATAATCAGGCATTGGTACATCACCATCCCCATCAGATTCACCTTCATCTCCAAATGCATTCCCAGCAAAACTGGCATCTGACACTCTCAGGGCCTCTCCCGCCCAGTTCAATCCTGGCAGGTTCTTATTAGCTGTGCAACATTATATAGCTGTTTAACTTTTACCTACTTTTGAACACTTCCTTGGCATGTTGATGCTTGTTCTTGTCTGGATGGAGGAGGAGTGCCAGACACTTATAAGCTTGTTTGATATTTTCCAATTCACTAGGATCAGGCACACCCAGTATCTCATATGGATTTGTGGACAACGCCTGTAGCATCACTTCCACAGCTTGCTCTGCTGGTGTTATGTTTTCCTTTCCCTTACCTTTGGAACTGGACGTGACGGCGCTGCAAGAGACTTTCTGTTGGCTTCTGTGAGGCTCTTCCCTGTCACTTGGATCAGAGACTGTTGAGGCTGGTGATTTGAAGACAATGTTCAGGCTTGAATGTGGCCTTTCATCTCCATTCTGAACTGCATCAGGTTTGGTACACGGGACTGCAATTACCATTTCAGATTTTAATAGCCTTAACATGAGATTGGCATTGTCTGGAGGTGGAGATTGTTTGAATCTTTTGCAGCTGGTAGAAATGTCACCAAGAGGAGATATTGAGGGCAAACAGGGATATGGTACAGTAGGCATAGCCGGCAGTCCATGTAACCGCGCACTTCATTGTGGTGAGGGAACTGAGGCATTCAGATCTTGTGCCTGTTCAACACTTATGAGTTTTGAGTGTTGATTATGAGACATGTTGGGGGAATGATGGCAGTATGGATATGTGAAGTGGAAGGCAAAAGTACAAGGAAAAGCAGGTCCGATTATCATTGACCACATCATGCGGAAAGAAGGATCTTCTTATAGTTCTCATGTTTACGTTCGCTATCAGATTTCAAGTGTTCAAGCTGGAAAGTAAGAACTCCATTTCGAGAGATCTGGAAATTTGTCGATTTGGCACAAGGGATTAAGTAGCTTGACCGCCCATGGTTGGCAAAAGGCGGAACTAAGCCGGATCTCCATATTTCCAGGTATGGAGATGTTTGTATTACGGCGTGTATAAATTATGCCGTCTACCGTTCCACTCTCATGCCTAACCAAACCCTTTTTCTACATCTACTTTGCAAATATTTTCCTACATTTACTTTCCAATCTTTTCATCGTTAATCGCAACTGATTAGCCGGAATTCAAGTCGACAATGCAGCTTATTAAGAGTCATCTTGCCCTGGTGGCAAGCTCTGGATTGGTGCGAGCGGTTGCAGCCACCTCCACCACTTTGACAGCAGCTTATTCCTCGCCGATGGTCCCACCCATCAACTCGCCTACCCCACTGGTTCAATCCTGTAACAGGATCAGTGAGAGATATGTGGCTCGCGGCACACTGAAAGACATTCTTGAACTACAGTTTTGCCCTGACATGGTGAAGCTGCAGCCCCTAGTGCCCGATAATGATGTGATCAAATGAATGTACAACAAAGACACTTCAGAACATGTTGTAATAGGTGTCAACTGAATGAACAAATCAAACAAATCAGACTTTAAGTTAGATCTCCATGACTGTCTACACTTTCTCCGCGATATGGTCCTGGACGGCTGTGATGGTAATGACCCAGGTAATCCAATGAACTGGAAAGGTGGTGGGCTGCTGTGTGTGGATGAGGTTGTGTATACAATTGAACCTCTTGTCCAGCGCCAACCATACCCTAAAGAACCTCATGGCGTCTGCAACATCACCCATGAGGACAATTATCACCATGTTATTATACAGGGCAAGGGTTGGACAAACTCTAACTAAGGGAAGATGCTGGAGGATAAGCTGTGTGATTGCAATCTGCTCCCTGACACATTTAACTTTGTCTATGAGCAGGATAAGGATGGCGGCAAATGGAATACCACAATGTACATCAACACATGAAGAGAAGGCTGCATTGTTGATGCTGCAAAGCAGGCTGGGGCCCCTGGTGACTTTAAATGTGATGCAAGTACATGAAGTACAGCTCTCATTCTTCCTCACTTCTCACTCGACTCCTTTCAATCTCTCTATCCCTTGTTAGCTTATTACTCCTGTATTTATGTTGCCAGGGATTCACATGCCCCCCTATGAGCAGTTATACATCAGTTGCTTTATCTAATTTTTTTTTAAATTCTAACAATTAGTAGTTATGTACTGCTCTGACTCTGATGGATGTCAGGCCTTGTGTTCACCCAGCTCTTTCTCATGTCGCGTTGTCAAGTACTTTGCCTCTGGTAGAACTGGATATCTGGATTTCTGGAAAACGATTACTAGGGCTCGCTCACGTGCTAGGATTAGACAGGGAGCCCCACAGTGTTTTTGGTACTCCCATCCGAGAACAAGGGTCCCCTGCATAGGGGCTGCATTTCCCCTATGTCTAGGATTTAACACTGAATGCAGCTCCCCCTAAGTCATGTGTCCCTCTGCCACCCTGGACCGCATTTGGTAATAATACAGTCAAGGCGAGAAATATATTTTTGAAGTAGATACTCTGCAAGAATTGGTTCAGTGCATCAGCACTAAAAAATAATTCTGTTTTTACATCAAGATAGAATTAGAAGAAAGCTATGGCTCCCGGCGCACCCGCACTTAGAATTGCCGCCATTCCGGGAATAATATCAGCATACATATCCTGCCGCTTCTGAAGCAAAGATATTTCATACTGTTTTGCAAGGATCTTCCTGCTGCTTCTGAATTTTCCGAAGTAAGGACGTTTTTTGCCGCCGCCGAGATTCCAACTCCTCCGAATATATTTCAATCACTTTTATTGTCGCTCTCGGCCATAGATACGGACATGTGGATTCTCGTCGAGGGGCTTTCGCATGTAATCCTTATATTCCTCTTCAAATTTGGTCTTCCTGTATGAAATGTCGAGCCTCTCTGTGACAAACTCCACTTACTGTTAGTTGCCTTTCTTCTGGTGAGCTCGCACGGCCAAGAGCTAATTTAGACACCTGAAATTTATTAGCACAGGGCCATAGATATCGGAATTATTAAATATGCGGCTTGACTTCTGAAATATCTTAAAAATATGTCAGTGGAGGTAGTTATAGCTGCTTATTATAGGTAAACTCAAGTCTTAATTTCTCGGTATCCCGTTCCACTTTAACACAACCCGCGCCTCAAGCACTCACCCGCACTTTTTTATCTTGCAGGATTGAGGCATTACTTTAACTGATATATCTTCTACACTATGCATGGACACCAAGCTTTTCTATGAAAGAGTCCAACCACTAGCATTTCCTATACAGGGTACTAACAAGCATTTGAATTGCGTGTGCTATGTACAGAGAAAATTGTCGCCCTCAGCTACATCCACGTCCAAAACGCGACTTTAATCCAAACTTCGATCTCGCCTCTGACATCGCTGATATTCAAGGCTTAGCTCCGCGGCAGCGCAAATTAACTCTCCTGAATGTAAGGCGCAAAGAAATTAGCACGCATTAGCTGAAACTCTTTGACAATCCATTCGCGCACAAAGGAATTAGATCTTTGCTATCTAGAGATATCGTAGAAGTAAGATACTGTGTAAATTCAGGTCATACGCCTCCTCCGGGGTAATATCCTCCGCATATATGGTGATTTGTTGAGCCCGGGGGTGTGATCCTCAATGTTGTGATAGAGACAGGTTGAAATCCGGAACCCCGCTGACGGAGGTAGACTTCGTCATTCAATGCATGTGCAGTGGCTCCAACACAGACAACACAGACAGTAATTAGTATCGCATTGGCCGTCACAGTGAAATTTTTATCCGCTGATTTTCCCCAACAAGCACGAATAAATAATATAGAAAGAAAGATTTGCGATCGCTTGCGAGTCGCCCGGATATTTAGCGTTGGCACGCCAAGAGCGGAAAAAAGCTTTTCCATGATGCCACCAAAACTTTCAGGCAGGGTAAGACATCTAACAAAGCTCTGGTAGTATCGGGAGAATCTGTGGGGAGATTGCGGGGATGCCCCGTAAATAGTGTAATAAATTAATGGCCTAATAATAGATTATTTTTTAATTATTAGTACTAGGAGGACGCTAAACCCCATGTTGATAGCCGATTCCTCGACACGCACAAGTGGTACGAGGCAACCAGGGGGCCAGACGAGAAATCTAGCAAGACGTGATTCGATATTGCATCAGCCGTTACAGATCCAGCCAGTTCGGAAAACTCGTTTGAATCTATGGACCCCACCTGTTTCCCATCATCAACTTCGCTATAATGGCTCCCAAAGCATGTACATGGCTCTTTTTCGCAGAAACATTACGGAGCATCGCCTCGGCTACATTGGCTGTGTCAAGACTCAGCAAACTGCAGGTATTTATACCACCGAAATTATAAACCAACTGATCTTGACATCTCCTGTCCTAGTCAGAAGTACATTCGCACTGCTATGTCGCCATGATTGGTTTGCAGGTGGTTATGGATAAACAATAGACCGTTTATGACCTACTTCATGAGTCAGTGCCTCATTCTGGTGCTTGTGAAAAGTAGGAAGATCCTGCCTGCTTGCAAAGAGCAGCGATATCGAATCCGTTCCTGGGCTCGCTTGGACTGTCTTCAATATCTTCCAGAGATACATGAGACGCATCCATATCTTCATGGACAAGGAAATGGGCCTCTCCGCTTTGGTTCACCTCTTCCTGGCAGTCGGGTCTGTCTTCAGGCAATAGCTTCCTTTCTCTGATCGTGACGAGAGATTGAATGCGATGCTCATGAGTGACCATTTTACTTTCCGCCTGCTCTTCTCCCATGAAACTTCGGTATTCGCTCCATGGTACTCCCAGGAAAAGTGATATGGACGTCGACGATTGGCAGTCAGTCTCGTCTCTACACGCTGGTTCGTTGGTGGCCTGTAACGGTTCTTCCAATGCCCCGGCATGCCAAATATGGAGTCCGGGAATTTGTGTACCGGCGCGGGCGGCTTGCAAGGACTAGCGAATACCGCACCCTCGCTTCTTTGGAAGAGCGTGCTCGTTTATCAGAAATCCTATACCACATGACAGTATATGGTTGTGGGAGTCATCGGTTTCACATTGCTGGTTATATGCAAGCCTTATACAAGCCTTATATACTGTGCGGCACTGGATTCGAAAAGCCAGAACTGTGAGAACCGCGGGTACAACCACCCAAATGGGTTGGATATATATATATATATCTTTGCTGGCCAGGATTCGCGTACTCGCTGCGTCTCCGGGAAACCGCCGGAAGCAGATTGACATTTAGTAATGGGAAGTTACATCAAGTGGGCGACAGCAACTAAGCTCTCCTAGCGCCCAAATTCGTCTCTCTTCTGTGGGCGCGAGTCCCGTTGACAATCTCTCCCGTCTATAGTCTTCCCCAGTTCACACTTCCTCTCGGTAATCACCTCTTGCAGCGTACTCTGCAGCATCTCGATCTGTTTCTTAGAGCTCTCCAGTTGAAATTCGACCTCCGACGAAGCTCGATCTCCTTATTCGATGCAGCTCTGTCTGCCATATGCGACTGTCCTCATTGTGCTGTGCTGCAAAACTCTCCTCCTTCGTCACCGATCCTTGTTGGATTCCCTCCATCGGTTGAGTTCGATCTGCAGATGACCGATCAACGATCGGCGCCGCCGGTTGGAAACTGTAGCTTCTCGAAGTAACCGCGTGTACGCTGTGATGCTGCAATCGCTGAATGCTATGTTGGGCGGCTTCCTCGCGGGCAAAGGACAATCTCAAGAGTTCCCAGTCAAGAAACTAGTCGGCAAGTTATCAGATTTTAGTTGCCTCTGCCTCTAAGTAGGTTGATTGATGCTCACCTGCAACTGGAGATCATTGAAAGTAGACATTCCGTCGACTGTCTATTAGAAAGTCGACACGGTCCCATGTGGGGTAGAGGCTCCTACTTTTAGATGTCAACTCTTATACTGGAGGTCAACCGCTCACATGTGACGACTGCCTTCCATGAAGTGGAAGCAGGCCCCCGTCATTCATATCGAGTGACCCGATCACACTTCCATGCAATGAATAAGCTCATCACCAGCATGGAACCTCACGGTCACGCATTCTCTCGTCTCCCATTCCCCCGTCGCCCATTCCCTCATCGCCAAAACACAGGTCCATTATTAACAATTCCCTTAACCTCTCTCATAGACCCAATTGCCTTGAAACCCGCTTAGCCCCCCTACGCTATGGGATGTAAACTCCTTACAACAGCCGTGTAATTGGGATGGCTTTCTCGCTCACACTGCATTTGTATCGTTCATTACGGGTTAGGGGAAGTGCAAAATATTGATAACTATCTGTATTGGTCTATGGTATGTAACGCTATGCCAGTTCTATCTCCAACCACCGCATTTTAGGTCAGAAGAGGCGTCTATCACCAGCCTTGAACGGGTGGCCGCTCGCATGGCTTTGTTCATAATCTGGCCAGAAGTGTTCAAAATGCTGGCTGCTATCCTCAATGGCAAGGGTAGTATGGATCATTTCAGAATGGTGAGTGATAACATCTTTGTTCCATGCAAGTTCACTTGCGTACAAGTCGGTTGGTAATGGTACCATATGTGATTCCGGGCTTGAGGTATCTGTATCACCAAAGACATCACGCTTGGGTCCGGTTAATACGAGGAAGATGAAGGTACAGATGGTGGCCGACACTTACAGAGGTCTGTTGGTGGGACGCCGCATCATCGCAACATCGGTGACGTGGGCCATGGGGCCCTTCGTATTCCTCGTTAACTTGAGACAAGATATGGTTCTTCTCGTCAGTTTCGACCTGCGGATCGTTGTCAACACGGAAGCCGGACAAGAAAAGAAGAACATTGGGGTCAGACTCACTGTTTGTACATCACGGTCCACAGGATAAGGAGGGATGTCCCACTGATCACAAGTTTTGATCTGCTTCCATGTTATCACACCAATGCACAGGATGATCGGGATCGACATCAACCCATTCTTCGCAAGCACAACTGACAGGGCATTCCTCCTGGAAATTCGGTATTGAGACGAAGTGGCCTCGCTTCAGATCATGCCGGTAGACCTGTTGCCTTTCCTCTGCGGCTTTCATATCTTTCCACTTGCCCTTTATGCCGTCGACAGTCCTTTCACAATGGGGCGGAACTTGCTCGTTGAACATGACTAGGGTCTCCTTCCACTTCTTACGTGGATATCTCTCTTTCAGACTTTGAAGTAGCTCCTCTTCGCTCAGCCAGTATGGATCGCGGCGGTCAGATGCACGCGAGGGCGTTGGTGCGGACATAACGGTGGAAAGGCGATTTTGAAAGGGTATGGAATGGTAGACTGGGCGATTTGTCGAGGTGGCTCCTGAGGAGAGAGGGTGAATGCGCCTTTTAAATAAGCGGATGAGTGACACAGTTTTCACAAAATCAGGTGATCCACTGCAATAATCAGTAAGGTTTCATAGACCCCTGAGTGACTGTAATAAGAGCAAAGACAGTAGCTTGTTGAAAATTTTTTATTCCTTTTATACCCTTTTCACCCCTTCTTTGTTACTATTCTGCTCCCTCCTTTTCCATAGCTCACTCTATATTCTTCACTTCGTGGCGAAAGCTAAGGCCCAGAATGTCGACATCAGAGATGACTTCAACACTCATCCGAGTTTTACCACCTGTGACAGAGTTCAACATAGATGAGATAGATGATACCACATGGCAGGAACTAGAACTGTTAATCCAGTGGGACCGGGAGACAAGCATCAACTTGCCAAATCATGCAGATTCTGAGGCCGGGCCCGGTCTCTCTGTTGGTCGATCCCTTGACCTGTTGAACAACCAGCAGGGAGATGCTGCTGATACAGGAGGCAACTTTCCCTGTTTTGAGGATCAGGCAGAACTTGATCAGAGGACTCCAACGGATGTCAAGCACCCCGGTGGTGAGGATGACAGGTTGCCCTTCCTCCCTCCGCCCCCAAGGCCGTCTCCGCGTCGAACATCGTCCGGTACATCCGGCCGGTCGCTACCATTGCCCTGCAGGATGCAACAGAGCAATGCTCATACAGCTCTACAGGAGGAGATCCGCAGGCTAAGAGAAGAGTAAGTGAACTCAACAAGAGTGCAAAATGTCAACTGACACGAAAGGCAGGATTAGAGCCCAGAACAGGTAATTATTTCCTGAATACATAAGAGTTAGAAGACTGACAACTCTGGCTGACATCTTCCCTGTAGCAGGCTTGACCGACTTTATAAGTACATCGACAACTCGTTGCAACCATGGGCCGTCGCGGTTGCCGAATCCATGCAGGACTGGATGAAATTATTCGGCACGATTCAGGGAGAGAGGCTGGCCCGCGAGCCATTGGAGTACGAGGTGGGGGAAGCAGACCAACAGGAGGGGAACAACGGGATCAAGGAAATGTTTAGTTGGAGCGACCGGGATGGTTCGAAATGAGGACAGCTAGGATTGATCTTTCACCTGTACCATAAGTTCACCAGATTTTGCTATCATCTCTAAGTCCATTGCGCCATCGGCAGGGATGAGAAATGTCACCTACTACGCCTTGAGAGAATTTCCGGAGAGCCTTTGGGAATCCAGGGTTTCTTGGAGCGTTAATCAGAGAGAGAATGCAACATTCGTATCCTTGTGTGATTTCCAAACCAACCCAACAAGTAGAGATGGTGGATGTAACAAGGGTGACTGAAGTCGATTGGCGCGCGTCAGACTATCACCCAAGTGGGTCCATGTGTAGTGGAAAATCTAGGTAGGGAGGGTTGGTAATTCTCCAGGCCATTCATTGGATTATGTCAATAGGCTAGTGCTACGCCTGCAAGGGTGCCTGGCGCCGGGGAGGCGGAACAAATCTTGGCGGCAATTTCCAAGGAAACACACGCCAATGATTGGTGGTTTGGCCAGCGGGAAGGAACCTCTTCGACCAAAAACAGAAGCCAGAAATTCAGTTCTGTCCGTAAAAGGAGGATACACTACGTCCTTGACATATTGCTCATTGTTTTGGAGCTGATAGATTCTCTTCGCATGATCTGAAGATCTTTTAATTGCTTTCCGTTGGTAAATTATACTCATATATTTTCAAGCAAAAATATGAACATGAAGTCGTCTCGAAGCCAGGCCCTCAGTAAACGTCTCGAGCTCGCTTTTTTCGAAACAGGCATGCCAGCCTGCTTCCTCCACATCATCTCCGAGTATCTGGTGAAGACGAAGGTTTCGAAATTTGTCACCGGCGCAAAAGCTTCGCGACTTTAAATCATCATCACGCAGAGAAGAAATCACTGGCGGGGAGAGTGCTTGAATATGTCAATCTTCGAGACGAGGACGTGGGACTGGCGCACTTACCCTCATTGTACAGCTACCATCCACCACCCCTAGGAACTGCTGACTGGCCAGAAGACGATGTCTTCCTGTGAGCACTCGAAGCTTTGGGCCTTCTGGCAGCTCAAGATCAGGTGGCTCCTCGCCTACCAGAAATAGCTCCTGCGGTTCGCGCCGTGAAAGTATGAGAGTGCGGTTCAATGTTTCCCTTGGTATTAACGCTGGTATAAAATGTATAGGCTCCTCTCGCAAACAATCCTGCTTCTCATATATCCGTACGGGTCTCTCCATATTTGCGGTCCAATGTTCGACTTCTATGCCCAGCATTGCTTTCGAAGTCTAGACATTTGAGCTTGATCTTTGCCCAACCACAGAGGCATTTCTTGTCCCGGAAAGTTGTGTAGGCCGCCATCTCTAAGTTGATACGTTTATTTCTCTTTAATTGGAGACCACTAGATTCGGTTATATCGAAATTTCTTGCATTCTCGGTTCACCATTTTCTTTTCATACCTAGACTGAGCATTTCTAGGTCTTGGTGTTCACTCAGTCAAGCATTTCCTAGACCAAACACTTTCTAGGCCTTAGTATTCACTCGGTCACGTATTTCCAGGTCTAGCATTCACTTGAGTCTCCGTATGTTCTTCCTCGCTACCCCCTCCACTAGGGGCTGACACCTTGATAGGTGCATCGCCATACTTACCTAGTTCGCATATCACATAATGTTAGCAAGGAAGGAATGATAAGTTAGAAATAACAAACATATGTAAAAGCCAGAGTCAAAGACTAGCTGGACTCTAACTGGACTCTTAGCTACAGACTGATAGAATAGATAAAAAAGATATTTCAAATTCAAAACTTTATTTCAGTCAAGTTAAAGAAGATGTGTAACCTGTTGATGTATTATATTAAGGTTGACTTGTAAAATTGGCCTCCTGACTAAGATGTCAGTGAGTAGTGGGTCCACCAATTCTCTGCTAGCGCTCTCCTTGGCGGTTAACCTGGTGCTACTCAAGTACGACAGGAAGAGCGATAGCACACACAATCATAATGATAGCACTGCACAAACCCCCAAGGCAGTGCTCACTGACCTTGCCACTCTCAACCTTGAAAGAGAGTTGATGAGCTTTCAACAACAGGGTATACAGAATGCCTGTTGGAATAAGGAATGACATGAAAACAGTAACACCGACGAGCACATGCAGTATCAAAAGTGATAGAGAAACACAACAGGGGTGAAAACTGGCTGTTGGCTTTCAGAGTGAGAAAACAAGCAGTGTGGCCAGTATCAGAACAGCAGACAAGTCAACAATCAAGAAGGCCTGGATGGTGGCAGGAGTAATCCTTGCTACATACTTCTTGAATGATTCTGATGGTTTCTTCCTGCTCAGTTGACAGGTTTTTCTGCTGATAATGAACTTTGGCCAGAATTTTGATAACTTGATGAGCAAGTTCTCACAATCATTTCTGTTGCTGTATCCCACACAATATCTTTTTGTCCTCAAAGAGAAATTCTTCAGAATCGCGTCATTTATAGGTGTCTCAACAGCCCCTAGAACACTTGAAGCAACACTCTGAACCTGGTCAGTGATTGATGAAGCCTGAGTAACAGCAGCAGATGCTCCTGGAATTTTGCTTCCCAGTTCTTTAATGCTGTCACCGGTTAGAACACTCCGGGAGTCTATCAGTTTGATTTCCAGCAAGTCAACAAACTAGAATTCAATCAGTTATTTTGAGAATCACTGAAGAAGTAGGTGGGATACTCACCTGAACTGTGAGAATGCCAGCATCCCTATTCTCCCGCTTGCACAGGGCCTGAAGACTGAGTACCACACATGAAACAGCAGCAAGAAAAAATGCTCTGATGATCTCAACAGATAGCCATTCTTTCTTCTTAAACATGTCTAAAATTTCTTGGGATGAATTGATAAATTTTTACAAAAGCATGAACAGTGGTTTGCATAATATTATCAGGCTATACCCTGTGATTTATATCTTACTGCTCCCCGCGAAAATTGTCTGGCTGAAAATCCAGGAAGCCAGAAGCATCAAACATGCTGTATTCTACAATGAAAGAAAGGACTTGCAGTTTTGGCTATGAAAATAGGTGGTGGAAGTGAAGGAGTCAGTCAACAGATGACAAACTTATGTAGAGAACAGAAATGAATGAATGAAGAGGTGATTGAATGAGTCACTTAAGCAATCAGAAATAAGAAATTGAAGGATAAAAGTGCTCAGAGATTCACTCTGTCAGAATCATCATTTTCTTCTGAACATCAATATGGCCTCATGTCACTGCAACCATGATAATGAAGAACAAGCTCAATGGCACTATAAATGCTGTGTTCACTTGTCAACATATCTCTGTAAGTCAATCAACCCTTCAGTAGACGTCTTGGCTGATATTCCTTACAGATGAGCAATTGGGAATCTCAGTCAACTCAGTGAACATACAACTAAAAACAGGCCCAAATGATTCTTATCACTGAATCCCTTTACTGTTCAAGAAACATCTGTTGAATAAGCAGTTGAGTAAGAGCTGCCTTCAAGATTATAAGGAGATCTATACCTCAGTGAGTATTGCACTTGAGGCTGTGTCAGCCAACACCCTGACAGGTGATGCCCATATCAGTGAAGAGACTATCATGGCCTTGCATTCAGTGCCAGAATCAGAGAGGAAGGAGCTGCAAGATAAACAGCCAGAGGTACCATGTTTGCATTCCAATTTTGAATATCCATTGACTAACTGACACTAGCACCAAGAGAGTTTTGTGTCAAGAGTGATACAGTTGACAGCAGAGAATGACATGCTCCGAACAATCCAGCAAGAATTGAAGAGCTGAGCACACAAGGGTGAAGCTACAGTACATGATTTGCAGGGCCAGCTACAGGACACACAAGCTATGATAAAAAGATTGAAGATAGAGGGATTCAAACTGCGGGAAAATTACCACAAGACTGTTGTCATGGAGAAGACATTTTGAAAAGCAGCCCAAGATTCTGAGCAGGTGCTTTGAACAATTATTGAAGGAGTGAAAGCAGCTAAGAATCAGGTCCCTTCTTTCCTTCAATCTCAGCTTGATCAGTCTCACACATCGACATAATATACTATATATAATTTATAGCGTCGTAGCCGCTCAGCAGCAATTTTCCATTAGCTTAACCAGATTTCGTCCATTCACACAATTGCGCGGGAAAAGTAGGTGCCATAAAACCCGCAAATAAAACAGGCGTGCCGGCTCGCAGAGTAGAGGCATGTGTTATAACATTATGTAAATGTCTCTTGCAATCTGTTAGATTGATAGATATTCCCAAAATGTACCAGGGACCTAATTAAGTATCTATCAGCCCAGAGACAAACCGCCATTTCACAAGCTTCTCAGGTCATAGATATCACAAAACATATTACTCCGCACAAATATTTAACTATGCCTCTAGGAAACAGCTAAAAAAGGATTTTTTTGTATATCTAAAATGAAGTTAAATGAGTTCAGGCAGCACTGGCAACTATGAAGCTAATACAGAAGTCACTGCCACAAATTTTGACAGGGACCTCCGTACCTACACTTCAGACCCAACATTCATCAGCTTTGCTTCAGCTAGAGAATGGCTGCATAGATCAAACATTGCCATCACATTCCTGTCTTGAACAGCCATGGGGGTTGCGCTCACATTTCTGAGAGAGTGGGTACATCACAATTAGAACATTGCTAGATGGCTTGTCAAGCCCAGAAAGCTAGAAATTCAAAAATCCCATCAGAAGATAGCTCACTCGCAGTGCTGAATACAGGTGACCCAAATGAGGGAATGTGACATGATGGGTAGACAACTTGGCGGGGTTTAAGGCAGTTGTGACAGAAGAACAGACATTAGCAGTCACCCAGTGTGGAAATGAGTGTCTGGGTGACTGACCGGCCATGGCTTCCATAAATCGCCTCTTTCCGCCTTTCCGGGTCGGTTCTATATGAATGATTTTGACTCCTTGTCTTCCAGTCCTATATTGCGCATCCCGATTCTTCCTTTGAGAGCAGTTGACAACATGTCTCAGAACAAAGCAGAGCCTACTGTTCCACTGCGGAACCCGCGCTGGAACCTGTCCTTCAACCTTACGCCCGCTAGCCGCGAAAACGAGGCAGATCACTCCGTCTGAGGACTTGTGAAGTTGTTGTGTCTTGGCAAAGATGTAAATACTTCAAGAGCGCTCGTGCCTGATACACAGACATCCCTACACCACAAAGCTTCCTCCACAAGCAGGGCACGCAATCAACAGATTTCAGAAGAGATTCTGATCACCCACCTTGACCATGTCATCACTAGCCATGGGGGCAAAACAGCCAGTATCAAGCGCCTTCCAGGACAGATCAGCCAGTTCAAGAATGTTTCATTTTCACCACAGGAGGAACTAGTAGACCTGAAACACAAGAACTCACAACTACAGGCGGAATTGGCATATCATGAGAAGGTTTGACATGTACTGATGGCACTCTACGCGAAGACAGTTGAACTATACAAGGGGTCATTGAGAATGATGAACAAGTTGCATGAGACAGTCCAGAGTTCATTGCAAGAATTGGCAACAGTCAAGCATGATCTTCTGGCTTACTGGGGTATTTCAATGGAGACAGTGAATAAGAACTTGAAGGACCAAGAGAATAACTTTTTTTAACACAATATATTGTAGAAGGCTACTCAGCCAAGTTGATTCCTAGATCCTACCAGTGTGAAAACACCACCTTGTGTACATAAATAGTGAAGTAAAGACATTATATGATTCAAAATCAACCAGACACCTCTCTTTTCAAAGAATTTTTTGCTGGTACTTTCCTTTATTTTCTTTTCTGAATCTTCTGAAGCACAATGAAAATAACAGCCATCTCTCCAGTTGCGCCAACTACCACTTCATCAATGACATCAGTCAGCCTACCCACTGCAGCTGATGAAAGAGAGTCATTGTTTCTGAGCTTTGAGATATCAACAGATGTGAAAGTTGGAAAACCAGAGATGATCTCCATCATCAGTTGAGAATGCACACCGGAGACGGAGCCAGATGAAGACACTGAGGCTTCAGTCTCGGAGAGAGTTGCCTGCTGATGATGAGAAGACACATTGAATGCCGGCCTCGAGTCTCCGCTTGTGGAGTCTGAAAGAAGGGAGGTGATCACAATAGATGAGGGGCTGGTGACAGACAAAAACTGATCTGTTGAGTTTGTTGTTGATGCGGTGATTGTTTCGAGCAGCATAGTTGGCTCCAGGCCCTTGGAAGTTGAAGGGCAAGTAGGCGCTTGAATTTGCAACTCTGAACCAGGCTGTGAAGGGCTTGCAGACACACTGTCTTGAATCGAAGTCTTTTCTCCAACAGCTGAGGAGTTTTCAGGACCCTCAGTAATTGTGACTACCTGATGTGTAGCAGAATAGGAATATGACTTTGTAGTGCTGATGACAGGCTCATCTCACACAGTGATATGGGAGGAACAATCTGCGGGAGAAGAAGGGGGCGAAAGCAAAGTAGAGATGTTTGAATTGAATACACTTGTCAGAGTGAGCTGCAGAAATGATGACTTGAAAGCTGTAGAGAGAGCATGGTATGAAATAACAATTGCTGACAGTTCTGAGGGCTGCAGTACTGTAATGAGATGTGAGGTCATTCTCAATCTTGAAAAAAGATGTTTCATGGATGACACTGATAACAAAGACAATGATTGTTCATAAGCACTTGTCATTTCACTGACCGACAAGCTGGGATCGACACTATTTCCATGGGACAAAGTTACCGTGCTCTCGACGCGCCCAATGGAGTCGAGAGGCACGGAATGTCGCGAGGTCGACTCACCCTCCACGTCCGAACGGCCCGAGGAAGCGATTTCCGCTGCGAATGATGTAGAGTTCAATGGATGAGAAGACGCGTATGTCATAAACAATTGAGATGTGAGGTGAAAAGAGGTCCTTGTTGATTGAAGTGGTGATTTTGTGGTATGAGTGATGACATTCTGCCACCCACCAGCAGGGAAGTCACTTTGCAAGTTGCATCCGGCCTTGGAGGCCGTCCGTGACACGCACATCAGAATGAAAATCCACTGGAATAACAAAGCCATTGGAGAATACCTGCACAGAGACTCACAAAACCTCTCCACACAAAGTGAGTGTCAACCGAAATATAAATGTTCCACAGTGAGAAAAGATACCATGTGACCTATACTCAGCATTGAGTCGCCCAATTATCTTGACAAATGCAAAGGTAAATGGATAACTTCACCAGTCGCCTAGGGGCAAATATAGAGGTGAATAACTCCACCAATCACCCGGGTAAGCTCCTCGCCCCAAAAGGAATCAATGGATGTCATGGTAATGCTATGCGGGATAGGTTCGCCAAGGAAAGGCAATGTCCCACTTCAACGGGCATAAAGCAGTAGTGAGGCCCTGAGGAACTTTCTGATCAGTCAGTCAGTCTTCAGTTTCAAGGCCCTGTTTCAAATGGCAAAGTTATACAACAATGCTGTTCACCTGTCCAAACTATCCTCATGAGTGCTGAGGATGCACAGCTAGTCCTCAAAGACTGTGTGATATCTGCAAAGTAGGTATTCCACCTTGACTCTCCGATTCAGATTATCAACAGCTAAGAATAGTATTTCAGCACTGGCCTGTCACAGTGAGCAAAGTGGACAAACAAAGCCAACTGATGGGCGTGCTAGAGCATCACAGTGATGAAGACAGTCAACAGCTTGATACACAGGTCCTGAAATTGGCGGCCGCAGATGAGACAAAAAGTGGAAACTCAGCTCTGATCACTGACCAATGCTGAGCACTCACAGCTGGAGCTGAAAAGAGATGATTATGGAACAGTGTAGTGTTAGACAGTAGCAATCTAATATGAAATCTGGGCGTTCATATATCCTTAACCGCTCAGAGAGATGTCATACATGAATTTTCAGCTTTGAGCTCCTATAATACCATGTAGAGTACTGCCGATAAAGGGATCAATCTAAAAGAATGATAAGTCATTGTTACAATCTCCTTAGTTCTGAGAATTGCAGTCATGATAGAAGAGCTGGTTCACTGAAAATCCAGGTCTCATCGCGGGACCAGAAATGGATGGAATCAGCATTCTGGAGACAGGGAGATTGCCAGTGTACAGTATCTGAGAGACTGCGGTATTTATAACAGTGATGCTGCGCGGATCTACCTTGGGCAGCAATCAAAAGATTTGTTTTCCTGAAAGTCAAGGATTATCATGTATGCTCATAGAAAAGATCCAGCTTGGCTGCACCTTATTGTGAAAGGTGGAGTTTTTCTACAGAATACAGGACACTTTAGTGAGGTCATTCAGGAGATGACCAAACCTTCAGAGCAGTATCCACAACTTATACACTTCATCAGAAGAAAAGTGAAAGACCAGGCCATCAAGAGACTGTTTTCCAACAACAACATTGAATGTGACAAGCTGACTGAAGTTGCCAATCTGTGATTGAAGACCTTCAGTGACAGCCTCAACAGTCCCCTTCTCTTCACTGACAGTGACCCATTTACAGAACCACTCTCAAGCAGCAACCCTCAGTCTGCCAAGGAGGCTGAGCAGCATGCAGTTGCATGGTTGCAACCCTCCACCCACAGCATTCTAGATGCTGTCTTCACTTGCCTCTTCTTTCTATTTAGTGACATTGTTTGCTTGTTCGCGGACGACTTTGCAACCCTTGAAGATGTTGCTTCTCAGGTGAAAACATGGACCAAACTCAGTAATGCATCTAATCTTCCACAGAGCATTCAGCCCCGAGTTGTGGTCATCGCGCCGGATACCATCTCATCAGATCCCTGCATGATGAAGTTAAGTCAGCAATGAATTGAAGAAGCATTTTCTTCCATTGACTTCTTCATCTGGGGTCTCATCAGCCTTTCTGGCGACATCACCTATGACCGACTAAAAAATGTCCTTCTTGAGCACGCGCGGGACATGCATGAAGTCCGCTGTGAGAATGACTGCCTTTTCTCAGTGACCCACCTGGAGTCTTTCTATCAACAGGTCATTCAGCATACAGCCCAAACAGTCAATTGCCTGTTTGACTTTGTAACCGCCGCACGACTTGGAAATGAGGTTGGAGAGGACTATATCAACCATATTCAGAACCTTTTGAACCTGGGGCATGGGTTTAATATTCCACACAGTGATCTCACTTTGTTCATCACATCAAGCATTCTGATGGATGCTTATTCTCCAAAAATGCATTGTGAGTTGCAACCCACTGGTGCTAGTCCTTGAGCTGATATTGACACAGACTTTCCTCCCAACCTTGTGTATCACACTCTCTATAAATCTTTCTGCCTGGGAGCTATGAGGCGATCAGTCTTCGATGCCGGTTCCACCCTTCTTCTTATTGAGATACACATGGAGTGGCTCTTTTCCCACCTTCTGTCTGAATACAGCTCTTCTGCACATCTCCATTGTGATAATCTCAGCAAGCAGAGCTGTAGCTGGATCCAGGTCCGATTCAACCAGACTTGCTTGTATTGCCTACAAAGGAGGCCTGAGAAGACCCTCAGCTGCGGTCATACAATATGTGATATGTGCATCCGAGTCTTCAGAGATGCCGTTCCTCATGTTGAGGAAAAGTTTACAATGCAGCAATGCATTCTATATGGGCTTCAGATCACATTCACTGCAGTGTTGCAACTGCTCACAGCCAGCATGAGCATTCTTAGCATCAACAGTGGCGGCTCACGGGGCGTCATCTCACTGAAGTTTCTCAGACTGATGCAGGAGATGATCGACTGCCCCATTCAGAATCTTTTTGACATGGCAGTCAGCACCAGTTCAGGTATGATTCAATTCAACATCTCTGCGGGATCCCAACTAAGCTTTATCAGGTGGCCTCATCATCATCAGCCTGTTTATTCTCCACTGAGAAGTCTGTCAAAGCATCTGCTCCTTTGTTACCCTCTCCAAATGTGTCTTCAGAAAGTGGAGAATCCTGTGAATAATTAGATGCTTGATGTTCAGTAGCATGTTCAGTGAGTGAGCGATAGAAGAATCTCTCAAAGAGGCATTCAGAACAGTTCAGCTGATGTTCAGTTACAATTCAGATAGTGCATCTCATAAGGTCCTTGTGACAGTCACCAAGATGAGCAACTCTTCTTGCATTGTCTTCAGCAACTATAATGGGTCTGTAGCCATACTGAAGAACTGTGATGAGTTTTCACATCTTCACATCTCAAATATTGCCCGACACTCACTTGACCGCCTTCCTCCTAGCATATAAACTTCTGAGAAGTGATGTCGCAGTCAATGAGCCTTCACTGTGGAAAATGTAAGTCTGGTGTATTGCCCTTCCTTGATGCTTTTGGCTCCTGTTGCGCCTCCAATTTGCCGACTAGTGGATTCCAATAACTAACACACTTGAAGTGGTAGAGCCACATCCGCTGTGCCCGGGTAATGACAGAACACTGACTTGTTGACCTGCCAATTTTACTGATGCTAGCTAGGCTTTTCCCGCCTGTACAGGTCGGATCCTGCAAGTTCGAGAATGGCAGACTTGGGCGCTACAATAATCCTGTCTACCTCACTCTTGCAGAGAGCAGAAGAATCCTGCCTTCAGGCACCTCTCCCGACCTGATTCTCTCCTTGGGAACAGGTGTCAAGAAGAAGCCTAAGGACCAAGTTCCAGTACCATCACAGAGTGTAATACATAATTCATTCATATATTGGCTTTCTCAGTCGATGCTCCAGTCAATGAATGGTGAAGCCACCTGGAGAGAGCTGCTGGCCCATATTGACATCACCTCAAAGACTGATTTCATCCGATTCAACACTAGTATCAACTGGCCTTTGAAGATAACAAATGTGGAAGAGATGAAGAGGCTAAGAAACACAGTTCATATTCAACCAGGTGTTTGCCAAAGAATTCAGGAAACTACAATGAATGCTCTAGTCACATAATTCTATTTTGTTCTAGATTCTGCCGCTCAAAGTGAGAGTGACATGTTTCAATGTCAAGGTTCAATTAGGTGTCAGGGAGATGGTCGCACAGTCGCCCTGAATCTGGTTCAACTTGGAATGTCCATCATGGAAATTGTTAAGGATACCGAGGTGCTGGGGCAGTTGAGTATCACTGATCTGAATAGGGACATTTGCTCAGCCTGCGGATGCTACTGCAAAAACATCTTGTTCTATGTATGCTGTCATACAGACATAGTAACAGTACAGATCCGGTGTGGAGCTATTTCTCAAAGAATAAGCAACTTTTCTCAATCCATGAAGTGGTTTGAAGATACGCAGGGGTTCAATGCCTGTTTCAGCTCAGCTGATCATGGTACTCTCAGCTGTCTTAATTGTCAGGCATGTGGTCCAGGCACATCCAATTCACGCGCTCAGAAGTGAAAAGCGGAATGTGAGGGCTTTGGTGATAAACACAGAGTCAAACAGTGATATGTCTCTACTCAGACACATGAGTGAGCAGTGCCTGAGTCATCTTACTTGTTTTTTGTTGCTTGTGTTCTCATGTATCATAATTCAAGTTGAGATTTTTGAGGAGTTCTTCAGTAATGAAGTATACTTTTGATTTCATATAGCATCTTCCCTGTAGTCACTGATGAAGAGATGAACAGTTTCTTGCAAACTCATGAATTGTCGTCACTGCCGAAGGTCATGCTAGCGTATGAGTCATCAATGACTAACACTACTGGGACTGAAATTTTGTTGTTCTGTGGTGCCCGGGGCTCACATAACTTATTTGTACTGTTTCCCTCCACAGTCAATTCAGCATAGCAATACCACAGGTCAGAAGCAGGAAATCAAGAAAAGAGACAAATCAGCAGCCTTACATTAGGTCAATACACGGAGGTGGTTGATAGCCACATCTGGACCAAACAAGCTCACAAGGGCTCAGTCAGTATCACATTTATTTGACAGATGGTGCAGCTGGACATGAAAAGATGTTTAACTTGCCGCGGAGTCTCTCTCAGTAAGTTGATAGATTTATCAAGCATTTCACAAAGCAATCAGATGGCAGTCCAGCAGGCCGTGAACACATCAAAACACATTTGAATTAATGCCCTGACTGAGCAGCAAGCAAGTGATGTGGTCTTTCTATGCTATGATTCAAACCTCAGGACATGAAACCCTGTATGACATTACTATCTAGCTACTCACATAATTCACCACAAACTTGCAAATCTCAGCAGCAAATGGTGCGGAGTAATGCAAGAGATGAATCAATAGAATATTCTGCCCTGGCTATTGTGTGTGCTCAGGCACATGCATCTTGAGTCTGGGACCACAATGGAAACTCAATGCCATTTGAGAATGAGGCTCAAATAAATGAAGATGAAGGAGAGAGGGCGTGTTCTGATTTGAAGCATCAGGTTTACACACTATATACATGACTCAATGAGTGAGACATGGATTCTGTTTCTACCTACCTCATAGATGATTTGCAAACAGTGCCTGGCTCATTCTTTCCTTCTCAAACCAAGCCGCGAGCATTAAGAAGCAGATTTTAGCATTTTTGAGTTCCAAAATCCGGATGCTAATTGTGATTATCGAGCTACTATATTCAGCGCTGAGGGTCTTTGGATACTCGAAAGTTGTACAACAAATCATTGTCAACCTGAATACATGGAGTCACTCAGACATCTACACTGTTACATAGTATCATGACTAGCAAAAGTAAAGCTATTCAATATTTCTATCTGCCAGTCCCGGCATTCAACATTGATAAGGAAACTGGCATTTTCATTCAAACTTCGGAGAGCAAATACAAGATGTGGTGGATTTTATATTGTTCAACTTCTTGGATTCCTGTGCGCAATTGCCAACATCCTTGAGAGTATACTCCCTTGATGAGAGACCTCAAGTCCTCTGTCAAACACTACAAATTTATTTATACAGTTGCCGGGAGTGTGAAGTTCCTGTCATAACTGGAGGTTTCTACTCTGTCAGATTTTGAGGAGGTGGAGGCCTCAGCTTCTTAGATTGCATATGACATTGTGCTCAATAAGCCTATAAATCACAAAACCTCATGCATTATCTCATTCAATTTCATGTTTCTAATAACATATTCTCAGCCACTTTCTTCCTCTATTTTCAGCTGAGCAGCGCTATTTTGTTATGAGACCAATGTGAAGTAGCTTGACTGCAGAGTGAATAATAACCCAATTATCAGTCACAAAGATAGCTTTCTCAAATTTGAAGTTTGACTCCTTTTCAGACATGTCGGATACACGGATGGGCGGGGACTCTGAATCTACCATCACAATGAGATAACCTGGAGACGGATTAAGCCCGAATCTGACCATTGTCTTCAAATTCCAGACAGTTTCACCAAGATTCTATCATTGGCAGTTAGTTACTATCAAGAGTAATGACAGTGAGGGCTATTTTTCATCTCTGCATCTAGTTTTGTCCGAATTGCATCACACATACAGACTGGAAGAGACTCCACGCTTTGCTGCGCTGAAACATTATCAGGTGCACTGGGCTTCCATGAGCATATCCCATCAACAAATTTCACCAGATTTATTAATTTGTCTTTGCAGTCCGGGAGTAGGTCTTCTGACTCGAGGTTACATTTTGTTATTGCCGACATCACTTCACACTGAGGACTGATAGGCGGAGGGCTGAGCAATCCGGGATGATGAGCACTGCGATATGTGATTGGAAATAAATGAAATGCTGTTGCAAGGGAGGTAGTTTGGCTTATGGGATCGGAACAGGCATGTTGGACATCATAATGTAGCGCAGGAATGATATTGGTAAGACTTCTGAAGGGGTTATGGTCACCTCATCATCACTTGACATGGGGGGAGGTGATGACTATTATGTTCCATTCTTCACAGCTGATCAGGATCCAGGCCCTCTCATTATTCCTCATAGATTGTGATGCTACCTCACCTCGTTGTTTTTGTTGTCGCAAGATGGTCATAAGAAGATATGAGTGACTGCATAAATGGAAATTTTCCTTCTTCACTTCTTTATTCCCCACTTCTCTCGAAAATATCTAAAATATACAAAATCAAAATAAAATAAAATAAGAAAAGAGAAGAAAACAAGAAATATGAGAGAGCTGTGTGGGATTTAAGTATCTAAATGTTCATGATTGCCTTTTCATTGCCTTCTATTGCACATGGGGCTGTGGGCAGCCATTTATACAAAGATTTAACAATTATTTACAAATTGTTTAAATATCATGAACTAGTCAATTGCTGGAACACGTGGACTGGGATCAGAGGTCATCCATATACTCTTCGGATGGCAGCCAGGTGCTACTCTCATCAGTGTTCAAGATAAAAAAGTTGATGTTCTGAATTATTATGAAGATTGACCGGAAGAGCACCTTTCTTCGCAGATGTTTTTGTCAAGGTGACTGGACATGTTGTGACTGCAATTGCTGTCTTGTTCTGGTAGCTAGCGCAGGACCGTCCGCACCATGATGTCTTGGCAAGAGAATATGCCATCGAGTATTTAATGAGACGGGGTGAAGATATTGAGGGGTATGTGCGCAGTTCCATTGGAATGCAAGTCATTTTGGTTTCTTTCAGTGATTTGCAGCGGGCTGACCAGCTGATGACGTGCTAAATTTCTGGATATCTGGAGAAAAGGACATAGCTTTGGGAAAGATGGCCATCTTTTAGAATGGGGCCACACATTTGAGAGACTTTTGGCGCATGGGAGGTAGATTCATCGTCTTTTCCGACCACGGAAAAGCTCTTGCACTGATGTCACATGACCAACGACCAAGATGATTGGACCGCCTTTGCGGGCCAATGGATTTCTGCCAATTCGGACTACTTTACTTCTTCGATTCTGTAGTTTAACTTAACTCAACTTCACGATGTCCTCGATTCTGGACCTACCGAGCGAGTTGCTCTTGTTGATATTTGAAAATCTTGATGACCTAGATGATGTTTTGCACCTGGGACGGGCTTGCAGGCAGCTGTACAACTGTCTCGATGGTGGGCAGAATCGACTTCGTATCTACAAGTCGGTGATTGTATGAGCATCTCTTCTTCGCAGGGGGAGTTCTCTTGCTAACAATAATCTCAGGCTCGTGCAGCACATCATCAGTATGACATCCAACTGTGCTATCTCATCGAGGCGAATCAGCGGTACACGTCGAACTATTTGACCTTTCAGGATGAACCACCCGCATCCTGCCGACCACAAGGCCAATTTCTTTCGAAATCGTTTCAAGTTTTGACCTCCGACCTGCAAGATGAGTTCGTGTGGTCGATTTCTACCCGGTGGCAGGGACTGCGGCTTCTTCGAGATCTCTACAGACACCCAGCAATCCAGTCTGCATACTCCTGCTCTAGCCTTCGCTACCGTGACGAATACCTTTCTGAGCAGGGTGTGGAAATGTTGCGGCGGGAAGGATCTCTACCCCATCTCGAGGCCAATTCACTTGGGGTGTCCCTAGTCCCCGTTTGACACGAGGCAGACACTGCGATTTCACAAGTCATTGTCGGCTCAGTGGCTCGCGATTGAGGCGTTATGTCTGTGGCGCGTGTTGGTGTTCCAAACGTCACAAGAACAACGCCAGACGTTCGAAAGGATTCTCGAGATCTGGACAGATAACCCGCATCGAGCGGTCTCCGAAGCAATGGATATCCTGGAAATATTTGATTTTGTCTGGGGATTTTTACTTAGAAGGATTTTCGGGGACGTTACGGATCTCTCATCCTGGTTGCCCCCTTCGGACCCCAACTTGAGTATTCACTTCATCATACATGGGGACGGAAGCGGCGGAGAGAGCCGGAAATGAGACTCATTTATAAGATTCCTTCTCCCCCATATGCGGCCTTCCAATATCATCGAGCTTCTTGTGCTTCGGACCTGGAACCCATCGCTTTCCTGGCCACCAGATAAGCCAAATTTCCTTCGACAACTTGGTCTCTTCGACACATGGGAAGGTATCTGTCTGGTAGACGATGTACAGTTTCCTTATGACACATATATTCCTCCCTATTTTGTCGAAAATGATGTACTTGGGAGACTCAAACAGTGTGGATCGAGTTCCGATATTATCGAAGCATGGAAGGTATACCGAGATGAAGCATGGATAAAGGATGCCAGAGGTAAGGTTCTGTATTGGAGTGAAGATCAAGGCTGGATTATCAAGCGCATCATGACTACGCTAGGGGAAATCAGGGGTGAGTGAGAAATACCACCCAGGGGAACAGTGCGATCCTGTTTTACCTGCATTTATTGAAAAGGGCTAGAGTTGACGACTTCGACTCGTAGGACTTTGGGATTTCTGGATTTCTCCACATGCCTTTAATCGTGATCAGCTCTACTCTTGGTATAATGTTCCTCATTTTAGGCTAGCCCATCTGAGGACCCTGAGCTGTCAACTTAGTCGGGGCCTGAGATGTTTCTGAAGTTACTTGTTACTTGTTACAGTTAAGAACCAAAGTTATGAGGAAATTCATGATGTCACAGCTGCAAATGGAGTAACGTGAAAATGATCTTGTTCTTCAAGTTCAATCTAGGCCCCAGCTTGGGGGTTTTTTGGTGCCTTTTCTGGGGTATGGGTGAACAATTCCTTATCCGGCGCTTTTTTCAGAAGCGATGCTCCGGGAGTGAAGAAAGGCTGCGGGCGTCTTATCTTAGTTTAAGAGTTACAGCGCGTGGAAGAAACTAGCAAAGAGTATTCTCCTCTGCTACCGGCTTCTCCAGTGGCAGGGACACAGACTTGGAAACCGGGGGCTTACACTTCTAGTGTGGACCGATGCCACGGCTGCGGCGGCATTGGGTCACGGCCTTTAGGAACTGTGGACCAAGCGGCAGGTCGTCCATGTGAGATTTAACCTATTACGCCCAGAGGACATTTCCGCACGGCTGTCCGCCTTGGCCCATATCCCTCTGGCCCTACATAGAGATCCTTCGACGGACGCGACAGACGAGAACGTAGCTGAGAATGTGCATGATGATGAAAGGACCGGAGAGCTGTACGGGAAGAGACCCAAGGCATGGTCCGGTTCTGGGTCGTCCCACTCACCAGACACCCAACATCTGCGCTGGCGCAACAATATTGAAATCTAGAGGACATTCCAATGTCTGATTGTCCACCTCAAAGAGATGGCCAGATTGATTGTCATTTGTTACCACGAAAATAGCGTCGTGGTCACGTGGCAAACCAGCGTAGGCAACCCGATAGACCTCGAAAGACATTTCGTGGGGGGACTTCCCTTTTGTCCTGTATCCTTATGAGAAGAGTTTTCATTTTATAGCTACGGGCGAGGGTCCGGGAAGACCCCAGTGACAAACAGCATTATAAACTAAAGTCCCCTCATCTAGCACGGCTTGTTGAGCATGTCAAGGAATGGCGGAAGATCGAAGTGGCACAAACTGCACAGAGAGGTCCAAGAAATAAACTTCTCCGCAACACTTGCTCGCCGCTATTCCCGAGCATGATATGCAGGAATTTGCCAAGCTCTTCTTCATTAGTAACGTCAAATGGCCCGAAGGTATGGTAGGTCCTTTTGGCCCAAAGAAGACCATCCTTTTTCTGGCCAAGAAGACTGGCATGAGCGCGCCTCGCATCGCATACGCCCATACTTTACATACCGCAGGTGGATTGAGATTTCTGCGCAAGGAGAAATATAATAATGCAGGACAGGAGGCACGCTGATGTGGTGATTAGTATTTTCTACAGAACGTCAGGTTGTCGGAAGAAATCACTGAATTGAACCATTCTCATGTGGTTGTACTCATCCTCTTATATTCAGGCCAGTGATAATTTTGGTACTAGTCATTGAGCCATTGGGCGACAGCATAGATCAGATGGTGTTGTGGCACCTGGCTGCATACTCTCCGGAGCACAATTTGCCTTCAATCGCTTATTGCTCAATATTGGTTACGGTCTGTAGTCACAATATTCGGTCACAGGTATACTTTTTTCCGAAGTGAATCACTGATGGTGCTGATTCGGAAAATTCGGAAACGTTATCGAATTCTACATGGATCAGTGGAAAATTGACGATGTTGCCGGTTCAAAGTCAAGTGATGTACTGTTCATCGCGCATTCATTTAATTGGATGATGAAGTGCCATCAACATCGATTTAGCTTACCACTAATGCAGCCCAGCACTTCAAAGGCGCCTGGGGATGAATGCCCCCTCCTTCGATTGTTGTGTTTCACCCACCCAACCTCCTGCCATTCTGCAAGCTCAAATTTGCCAGTCAAATTCCCGCGAAACAAAGCTCCTTAATACAAAAGGCGAACACCAAAAGGTCAGAAAACTGTACAACAACCTTCTTATGTTAATAAATTGGTCTGACATGTTAGGTACAAGACACGATGTCACAGCAAAACTCGCGCAGCGCTTCATGCGGGGCCGACACGCTAGTCTGCACCACTCTGGAGGAGCTGCTGCAAAGAAATCCTCAAACAAGAATGAGCGACCTGCCTACTGGTACTCGAGTTCTTGTTAACGCCCAATATTGGGTTACGGTTGGCAAAGACAGGCCTCAGGGGGAAAGCGGAGTCTGGACACAACGAAACATCAAGAAAATGGAGAAAAACCCACCTGACGGCAAGGATTCTGAGAGGATCACTGAAATCAAACGGTTACAGGAAGAGAGGGCAGCAGTAGAAGCTTGCCTCCTTATAGTGCGGAAGGCAGATTCTGAAGCTAAAAATATGCTGGTAAATCTCCCTTTTATTTCCAATAGCATTTTCAGTTATGTTGCTGTGTCTAAGTTCAATTTATTCCAGTCCGAGTCCAGCCGAGTAACCGACGATGAATGGGAGATGGCATAAATGTGTCTCAGGCAATTATTATTATTATTATAATCAAGTTTAACATCCATGCCTAGCCTATAGGCTACGACAGACTCGTCTCAGGCAATAAAAGGATGTATGTAGTGTTAAGTAGTTACTTCCACTCGATTGTGGATTGGCCGATTGTTTGTTTGACAGATTTTGCGGATCATCTAGAATAGGCAGGCATGACAACATTTATATATCTTAACGAAGTGGCAATTTTATCGTCATGCCACTTTCTAGAAGTCATTTTGCCTCGTGCTGCATCTCAGTCTCATCAAGAAGATAATGTCCACTGCCCCAAACCTATACCTCGACCGATGTTTGTTCAGTGGACCGACCGAATTTTAATTTCATTGCCCTTACTGCCAAACAATTTAGCTGAGTGCTCTTTTGAAAGCAGTTCCAGCTCCCGTTTGTCCAAGTTGCCAGAGTACCCTGCACCCAGTGGTTTTGGGAGCGATGTCTCCGGGCTTTGTTGACTGAAGGAAAAGATTTCCTACAATCCGTGCAGTAGTAATGATAATCTGCGTCATGCTGACGAAGGGCCTGTCGATCGATGAAGGATCTTTTGCAGTCAATGCAATAATTTCTTCCCCCTCTGGGCCGGCTTTCGCAACAGAAAGTAGGCAGCGTGCTGATCCATCCCCGATGTCAGCCGAAGATTTGCGGATCAAAAATATCACGGCTCTGAAAATTCGGCCAGAGTTTGAGGAGACACTGCAGGATTTCCCTTCCTTCACTCGGGATCTACTGTGAGGATGATAGGAGAGGATTAGCAAAAGGAGAGAGAGGTGTTAATAGTAGATCCCGCCCCTGATTACCACGAGACTATCTAGTAGGTGGCGAGACTTCAGGCTTCCTTGTTGATGATGTATTCGGCTCCTTAATTATCGGCTTGTCGGCCGTTCTGATACTGGCCACACTGCTCGTTTTCTCACTCTGGAAGCTGACAGCCAGTTTTCACCCCCACTGTGTTCTCTCACTGCTTTCAATACTGCATGTGCTCATCAGCATTATTGTTTTCATGTCATTCCTTATTTCTATGGGCATTCTGTATACCCTGCTGTCAAAAGCTCATCAACTCCCTTTCAAGGTTGAGAGTGGCAAGGTCAGTGGGTACTGCCTCAGGAGTTTGTGCAGTGCTGTCATTATGATTGTGTGTGCTATCATTCTTCCTATCATACTTGGTTGTAATTAGTGAATTGAGGCAGGTTCACCAATCATGATGAATCAGCCAAGAAGTGGACTTTGAGTAGCACCAGGTTAACCACCAAGGAGAGTGCTAGCAGAGAATCAGTGAACTCACTACTCACTGACATCTTAGTCAGAAGATTAATTTTACAAGTCAATCTTAATACAATACTTTAATAGATTATATATCTTCTTTAACTTAATTGAAATAAAGTTTTGAATTTGAAATATCTTTTTATCTATTCTATCAGTCTGTAGTTAAGAGTTCAGTTAGAGTTCAGCTAGTCTTTGACTCTGACTTTTACATGCATTTATTATTTCTAATCTATTATTCCTTTCTTACTAGTTAAACATTACATGATATGCCTACTGAGTAAGTACAGCAATGCATCTATCAAGGTGTCAGCCTCTGATAAAGAGAGTAGTAAGAAAGTGAAGACTTATATGAATACTAGATCTGGAAATACATAATTGAGTGAATACTAAGACTTAGAAAGTGTTTAATTTAGAAAATGCTTGACTGAGTGAATACTAAAGACCTAGAAGGTGCTTGGTCTAGAAATGACTTGACTAAGTGAGTACTAAGCTCTAGAAGGTGTTTGATCTAGGAAATACTTAACTGAGTGAATACTAAGATCTAGAAATACTCAGTCTAGATATGAAAAGAAAAATGATGACCTCCCGGAATAAGAAATACCTTTGTAGATAACATCTCTGGTGATTTAGACATCTGAGACCTGGAAATCAATGATATGACTCATTATCATTCAACTTATATTCAAGTAAGCTCTCATGAAATGAATAAATTATGCTTTACAATGTGAAACAGTTCACACTTCCCTTTCTGTGAGAAGTAACAGTCAGGATATTGAATGCCTTTGACCAGATTATAATCAAATTCATAAGAGTGATAATCAGCTCTGACTACTTGTAGATGTTTCTAATATATAATGCTGTGAAGATACAATTGATATCAGTGTCATGTACATAGAATCTATATAGATTGACTGATCTTTCACATTTTCTCAGATCTGAAATAAATAGTACATGTTTGTCAGGGATAAAATGTTCTGACTACATGCTATTAGTAAGATGAAAGAGATGATGTCACAGAAATATCATGTAAGACACTTATCAAAGGCTTAAGCAGGTCTCAAGGAAACTGAGTTCATGAGAAGAGAAATAAGGGAATGATTAACAAGAATTGTACTTAAGTGAAGAGTTTCTGAGAAGGAAGTGAGTTCATGTGATAAAAATGAGTGACTAGAAGATTTCATATCAGTGACAAGCTCACTGAGCAATCATGTGATTTCATGTGATTTTAAAGAATGAGTGATTGAGTTACTTGATATGAATGACTGAGAATTGTTCTTCACTTCATAGATGAAACTTGTTACAAGTGAGAGGTATAATCTTCTTAGTATAAGAGTTCTTATCTGAACAGAAGTAGAAGTGATCTACATTCACACAGAGCTGTGCTGATTTCCCAATAAATAATCAACAGAATGTCTGCCTTCAATGATTCTCAGCTACAGATAAGCATCAATCAGCCTAGCTAGAAGCAGAAAATAAACTAAAAGCCTGATAGCCTGCTGACCAGTTTGTGAATTGAGAGCTTTTAAGATTGTTCTTCGCCCGCGAGGAGGCTGCTTAATTTAGTATTCAGTAATTGCAGCATTACAGTGAGTAATACACGCGATTACTTCAAGAAGCTACAGTTTTCAATCAGTAGTGTCAATCATTGATCAGTCATCTGCATATTGAACTCAACAGATGAAAGGTAATTCAACAAGAATCAGCAGTTAAGAAAGACACTATTGCAGCTCAGCTTAATAAGAAGAGGCAGCTATATATGGCAGACAGAGCTATGTTGTATAAGAAAATTGAGTGTTATCAGAACATCAAACTTCAGCTGAAGAGTTTCAAGAAACAAGTTGAGATGCTACAGAGCACACTGCAAGCAGCAATCAGTGAGAAGAAGTGTAAATTGAAGTAGATAATAGACTGGGAAAAATGAGCAAGAGAGCTGATAAGTCTAGAGAGAGAAGCTTGAGTTGAAATAATAGAGACAGTTATAATAGTTTAGTTTGTATTGCACAATTGACATAGCTTTTCACTAAATAACAATGTTTATTGAGCAGTTTCATGAAGATGAGTGTGTATTGAAATCTTGATCTGCAAGTCTTGTTACTGTGATTCTGACAGTTCTGGCTTTTCAGATCTAGTGTCACAATATAAACAGGAACATATACAGTCATCTTCTTTCTCTTATTTTTCTGTCATAATTGCCTTCCGATCCTGGAAGCATGGTTACATGCCAATTCATGTATTGACTGATAGAGATTGTAATAAATGCACGGAGAATGTATCAAATCTATATTTATCTAGTTGGCTGAAATGAAAGTTCTCAGTAGTCAATAGATTCAACAGAACTAAAATCTCTTCTCTGCACTGAATTCATTCATATCAATTCAATTAAATGAATCAGCCTGTTCATTCTGCTCTTCATAGAGTTGACAGAGTCATAACTCTTCTGAATATCTGTAACTGATTAAATGAATGCATCTGTTACACTTCTTATAAGTTCAGTGAGACTCTCTTGCTTCTCTGCTAAAGAGTTCACAGTCTTTGAATATGTTCTACCTGATCAGAACAGGTTCTGTAAGACACAATATTAAATCATATTATGAACATGATCATGCACAGTCACTATTAATGAATCAGTGAAGAAAGAGATATAAATGATGAAATAAATGAGTATCAGTAAGAAGAAGATGACTCTTTCAAGTCTGAAGTTCTCTGTTCAGAATCTTATATATATTCATGAACTTTAAATAGTTCATCTCAATATGCTCATGACTGTTCTGTCATTTCAGATCTCTATGAGAATTTGATTGATATATTGATATACATAGAATCTGCAATATTTTAGTGTCTGTAATAAGAATTATGACATGTTTAATCTATATAAGTTTCTCAGTCTTGATTCAAGAGCTTCTGCATTCACTTATACACTCAGTTCAACTGAGCTAAAGACTCTATCAGTCTCAATCAAGAGAAACATCTCTTTCAGATATGAGAAGTCATATCACTGTTATCAATTTCTCAGACAATTGAAATACTTCTGATCAGAGAGCTTCATTTTCTACATCTATTCAAAATCTTCTTAATATATGAAATTTGAGCTGTAATATCAATCTCAGTTGTAAATATTAGCATGCATTCATAGTCACTGATATCAATCATATTCTCATATAACTCATTGATTAATACAAGAGAGCTTCTGTGCTTTTTCACATACTTAAGCAATCTTTCAGTAAATTCCTGTCTTATCTGAATCAGAAAAGAGAGTAAGATGACACAGTCTTATTTATCTGCTCATTATCAGATAATCTGAAAGAGATGATTTTCAAAAATGAACAGTAAACTCACTTTCAGAATTTGAAGATAGATAAACTGATCAGAGTGCAGCTTGAACAGTCTGAGATTCAATATAATAATCTCTACAGTATTATTTCTAATAATAAAGCTCATTCTGAGCAGGAACTTTTCTAGTGTGATATTTTAAATCATGATTCTAAAAAAATATACAACTGTAGTACTGATGAATATGATAGCTTCTATTATAATATACATGCAAGAATACATCTTTTAAGCAGTGATATATTGTTAAAGAGAATAGAGAGCACTGAAAGTCAGCATATAATACAGTTTAATGAAAATCTCATAAAAATACCTGCAAAGACAAAGTGAAATCAAGATCAAAGTAAATGTAATGATTATCTATTATGAATATTTTAGCA